CTTGGTTCTTTGGTAGGATAGGTCATTTCGCGACAGTTGTGTCGGTAAATACAGTTGTGGCCTCTTAGAATCTTAATGACATTCAAACTATTAAAAAAATGTTTAAAAACAAAAACTATGTTGGTTTAAAGTTGACAGGTCCTTAACAGAAATGGTGCTCATGCGTGAACATTTCCGTGCCATAATTTATCACAATTTTCGTCGCAATATCCCAAGACAAATGTCTCAACAAACTTATTTCGATTTATGACGTTGAAGCACCGAGTCAAACGACAATATGCCGCTGGTATGCCGAGTTCCGACGCGGTCCTGTGTCACTCAGCACTGTTTCTTCGTCAGGTCGACCAAGAACAGCGGTCACGCCTGAAAACATCGTAGCAATGCGAACTATTATATTAGATGACCGTCGTGTGACATACGAGCAGATTCGAGCTGTTCTCAGTATCAGAATGACGGCAATTCAGTCGATATTACATAATGAGCTGTGTGTAAAATAATATGGTATTAAATGCCAAAAAAACTAAATGTATTCATTCCTTTTACTCGTCCTAGTGTAAGAAGGCAAAGTTTTAGTTTATTATTAAATAACGTATCCCTCAATCCTGTTGAGTCTGCAGTTTTCTTGGGGATTACAGTAGATTCAAAGCTTCAGTGGAGTCCCCATCTATCATCTCTTGCGAGTAGGGTAAGCTCCGCTGTTTTTGCGATTAGGAAGGTTAGACAGCTAACAGACATCGACACTGCCAGACTTGTTTACTTTAGTTATTTTCACAGCATCTTTAGTGCATCTGATATAAATTCTATATTTATTCTTCAATAAAGAGCTGTCCGAGCAATCTATAACATCGGAGCCCGGAATACACTCAGAGATATTTTTAAAGAGATTAATATACTCACTGTTGCGTCTCAATATATTTATTGTAATATTTTGTATGTTAAACATAATATTAATAATTATCTAAAGAATAGTGACAGACATAAACTAAATACTAGAAATAAGGACAAATTAATTACGCCATTTTTCGTCTACAAAAAGTAAATAGATCGTTCATGGGGCAAAGTGTGCGCGCATGTATAATAAAATCCCACAATCGGTGTTAAGTCTGCCACTAGATGAATTTAAACGCATCTATTATACCATTGCAGAATATCTTGACGACGCCAATGTGTGGGGTTAATGCTGTTGATACTCACGTAGGCTATAATGACATACTTTTTCTATTATATTGTAAACTAATCGTTTTAAAAAAGAGCAACTGTTGAGTTTCTTGTCAGTTTCTTCTCAACAGAAACTGCTTTCCGAACCGGTGGTAACTTACGAACGTATTAATTTTTATGTAAAATTTTTGACATTTCATAAGAACGCGCAAGCGTCTAAGTGAATAAATATATTTTTGATTTTGATTTTGAAATGCCGTTTATAATATGGTCTCAGGTGACGAATCATGGATTTATTCATACGAGCCTGAAAGAAAACCTCAGTCAGCAGTTTGGGTCTTCGAAGAGAGGTCAAACCAACGAAAGTGGTTTGCTCTCGCAGCGTGTCAAAGAAAATGGTCGCTTCAGGAGCCCTGAAGATAAGGCCTGAGGATGAATGGACCAAGTACTCATTTGTTCAGTGGTTTTATAGAGGGATCGGAGACTGCTTCGAACAACAATAAAATTAATGGCACTTTTTACTCTGAAAACATGCAGACCTTAAGGGTATATGTGACATCGTACGATTATAAGGATTATTTGTAATATGCTGTGACTTGTATAAGTTACGATTGGGTTGTCGTATTTTTGTAGATAAAAACCCCTTAAAAATAAAAGATAATAAAAAATCATATGGCTTTGTTTGAATATTTCCTATCTTTACAAAAACCACGCAAAGCGCCTCACATGTAAAGCGTTTTTCAAGTTACGAAATTTGGCCAATATCTCACACACTACGGCGAATTCTCGAAACAGGCAAAAAGAAAAAGAAACCTCGAACCCATCTCATTAATATTGTAATGTACCCGCCGTCGGTTGAAGTCCACTTAAACTAACATCTTCTGAAACTAACTCGCTCGAGTGGGCCGCGGTAAATCAAATTCCATCATAATTAACTTTCCAACTGCTAGTCCTTCAAGAAACTCGCTTACAAAGTCGTAAATCAAGTTGCTTATTACGCTCCACAACTACGAGTCTGGTGCAAAATAAACAAACCATAAACTTTCCCTTTCACTTGTAATTGTAAGTTTTCGCTATTGAACGCCGCTAAGCTATATTTAAATTGTTAATGTGTTGTTACTCGTATTATAATATGATACTAGCGGACCGAACAGACGCTGTCCTGTACACACGTCTTAATTTCGAAAATTTCAAACTTTTTTGAATAACTTTTTGAATCTAAACCATTCTCGAATCCACCCAAGGGCGGATCCAGTTTTGGTGCCAGGGGTCACGTAGTCGTGGTCAAGTTATAAGAGGTTATAATTAAATTTTTATAATCATAGACAAGTAGGTGTTTTCAACCGACTTCAAAAAGAAGGAGGTTATCAATTCGGATGTTAATATTTTTTATGTATGTTCGGACATAACTTCATCATACATAGACGGATTTGCAAAATTCTTTTTTTGTTAGTAACATTTCGTTTCTTTTTATTATTGAAGTGAAACTTCTTTATCGGGGTTGGAAACAAATTTAGTGTAACATTTTTCCGTTACGCGCCATCTTTTTTTTATCTTAAAATGTTCCTCTAACGCCATCTAGTGTTGAATAGAGGGTTTTTATGTCGTCTTTATTCTTTAGTGGTTTTAATAGTTGACACTAGATGGCGTTAGTTCCTTTGTGTGTTCATAACAATATATATATATATATATATATATATATTGTTATATTAAAGTGATCAGCAAAATCAAAGGGTTTATTTTAATTCTAATTCTAAAATGTAAACAATATATTTCGTATTTCAGTTACCATAAGCCATTAATAACACAAATATATAATAACGACATCAATGATAGCAATAATTCTATTACAATTAATGAAATTCAATAATAATCTTTGTAGTAATGACAGTGCTAGCTCTAATACTTCAGAGCACGACACTGTAGAGACTTCCTCTTCTCCAAAGGCAGGCACCGCCCACCGTGACCTGACTGCGCCTTCCACCGAAGACACAATCTGAAGCTGACCGATGATGCTCTTCGAAACCTCGATCGGCTCCTGGAACTTGCGGTTGCGACGTCGATCCAACGTCCGCAAGTTCGGTTTTCCAAAAAAACTTCACTCACAACACTCGCGCGCGAGTCGAATGTCTGCCTTCTACTCACTGGCTGACTATTCGGCAACGAAGGACCATGTACAAATTCAAAGCGGTTGCATTTTGGGTCCGTGAGGTTAATTGAAATAAACAAGGTTCACGTTGCAAGTTTTCTAATAACAATTTTGATTTCTGTAAAGTTGCATCTAATATACAGGATGGATTTTTTCATCTAATATGCAGGATGGATTTTACAAAGGTGCCCAAATTCACACAAGAGGTTCAGACACGGTAGTATAATCGTTTATTGAAATAAAAACAAACTTTTTTTTTAAAAAAAATTGGTATTCTATTCCCTAAAAAACAGAACTTGTTGACAATGCGGTAGTCATTCATAAATGCATCGTATACTTTTGGATTGATACACTTAGAAAAGCCTTCCTGTATAGTATTTTTTTAAGTAACCATTGGTAGGCTTACTTATTTTTGAAATTTCTTTTTATTTATTTCTGCATTACCAGATTTTATGTAGTCGTATTGGTTGTAATATTTTTCAATTCCTCTACTCCGCACGCTGGCTCAACTTCAATGACAAGTAGCCTAAGACGAGACTATCGGAACAGGGGTTAATAATAAAATATAATCAACCCAAATGAAAACTCCTAAAATAGCCGTACACAAAATAAAATTACATCGTCCACATTAAAAAAATGTTATTATAAATAACAAAAAAAACTATTTATTCAGTCATTCATTCATAATATTCAGCGCTCAACCATCTAATCCAAGACAGAATCCACATTCATAACAAACGGTACGAACAAACTTTATTTCCCAAAGATGGGGTCGCATACTTACGTCCACTAAACCACCACCTCTCACCACCCATCAAAACGGTCCACCCATTAAGACGAATCAAACTCAACGCAGTTGTGTTCCTTAATTACTGAGTTCCTATGGCCACATTCAAGCTCTATCATTAGACCCTGAATCATGACGAATCAAACGAGCCGAGACAAAATAGGGTTGTGTCGTTTCTTTACTGAGTTCATATGACTATTATGACTTCCAGCTCCATCATCAGATCAGACCCTGGTAACTATCTAAAAATTAAGTACTCGCCAAGACGAATCAAACTCGATGAGGTTGAGTCGTTTCATTGCATAGTGGTCATAGGAACCTCACAGAATAGCCTCATAGACCTCACAGAAGATCGCGGTAAAATACTTCTGCGTTTTGTCTGGTGAGTGAGGTAGCCGGAGCACACTTTAGTATAAGGAGAAAACGCATCTGCAACCATAGGGTTGCAGATGCGTTTTCTCCTTGTCCATGGACGGCTGAAGATGGAGCTCCAAGGATGAGATCCTGATTACCAATGAAAGACAAACTCCTCGTCAATACGATTCAAATTTACCCATACACGATGAGGCTCTGTCGTTTCGTGAACAATTATCGAAGTATTTTTTTTAATTGTACAATATTTAAACAACTTTAACTTAAGTATTTACTGGCAACACTGCGCTGCCGTCATCACAATCGCCAGCTGACATTGACAATTTGACAAGTGTACCAAATACATGAAATGCAAAATAAATAACTGAAAAAATGGCTCTAAGTTATCTTACAGAAAGCGAAGCACCGCGAGATTTCAAAGTTTCGTCAACAGAAAGCGATAGTCACTACAAAAAATGTGTTCTATGTTACACCGTGAAGAAAAACTTTTACTGCGCAGAATGTGTAAGAAATGGAAACTTTGTTCATTCCTCGATGCCTTACTCTGATAGGTAAGCAAGATTTGGCTGCCTTTCTCCCAACACGTATCATCTAAATGTGTCATACATATCTGCATAACGGACGCGACACCGTTTTATGTATTACGTAGCCAATCATTTAAACCGATATTTTTATTATAGAACGATTTAGTATTTGCGCTACTTATATAAACAGCTATGAAATTATTTAACATATTTTAACTTATTATAGAACCGTTAAGTGCAAGGGATCAGTTACTATTACAGAGGGATATTAACAATCTTTGTAAATGGTGTGAATGTAATAAGATGGAACTCAATGTAAAAAAATGTCACCACATAAAATTTTCAAGGAAATATAAAAAATTCGAGACTGATTACTATATTACAAATACTCGTCTTAATCAAGTAAAATATGTTAAAGATTTAGGCATAAACATTGATTCTGAAATGAGATTCACACGTCATATTGATATCACAATAAATAAGTGTAATAGATTAATAGCATTCATCTCTCGTAACACTACAGAATTTAAGTCCAAACTTTAAAGGCCCTCTATTTTGCGTTGATCTGTAGCAATATAGACTACTGTTCCTTTTTTTGGTATCCAAGTTATCAAAACAATATACAACGTATAGAAAAGGTAAAAGAATGTTAGTTAGACTTAGTTATATCGAAGGGACTTATCATACTTTTAATAGCTAGAAGAAAAGACTCGAGCATTACCATATGATAACTTTAGAAAGGCGTAAAGATGTATTAAGTGTAACATTCTTGCCTAAGCTCTTAAGTTTTAAAGTTGACTGTCGGTCTCTCTTACTTGATATCGATATCACTGTTCCAAGAATTAGTGCACGTCTACATAATTCATTAATTAATTCTCAGTCTCATTAATTCGCATTTCAGATTTGCTGAAAAACAGGCTAAGCTTATGCGTTTGAAAATTAATAGGCAGCATGTTTTAGACAGATGCGAGAAACTATTAGCGCCTAAACTTAGAAAAGACATTCTGCTCACAGAAACTAAGCTGTCCAGAGACAAGCTAGACTTGATGAAACTCGCTATTGAGCAAAGACGAAGTATAATTGAGAAAAAGAAAACAGAGTTAACCGATTTAACCAGCTATAATAATGAACTTCGTCTTAAACTGCCAAGGTATCAGAAGAGGGTGTCAAGCTTAGGCAAGCATGCTCAAAATCAGAGAATTGAATTGCAAAACAAAATTTGTTCGTACAATGACCAATCTCAAGCTCTGGCCGCTCTAAGGAGGTCAAGAATACGGCAATTTACAAAATATATATTTCCAGTATATATGAGTTATGATTCCAGGTGAGCTGTGAACTGTATTGTTTATAAGAGAGTTTGTGTAATGTGGTAGTAGTGTAATTTTCTTAATGTTCAAATTGTTAATAATAGTTAATATCTGTTTCAATTTTTATTTTTGAATTCAATACTTGCCTTGTTAGCTCAGTGTCCGGGCGCTCGCCTTTAATTCAATATACTCGAGCAACCTGAGTTCGATCCCCGGTGCCGGCACCAATGAAGTTTTTAACTCTAAGTGCTGACTTATCACGTGCTCCGCGGTGAAGGAAAACATCGTGAGGAAACCTGCATATTTTCGAAATAATAACAAAAAAATATATTTCGAAAATATGTGAAGTCCACCAATCCGCAGTGGGGCCGCGTGGTGGACTATGCCCTGATACCCTCTATATAGAGGAGGCCTTTGCCCTGCAGTGGGACATGTATAGGCTGTTACTTTTTTTTACTTGCCTTGTTATTACTTGTGACTACTGTGACATTTAAGGAAACTATTATCAAAACTAATGTTATTTAATAGTAGAAAAAATTTAAGCATGATTTCCCTGCAACATAACAACTTATATAAATCTCTAAATATTATTTCTCAAATGTTATTTTTTATTGGTACATCATATGTAATAAGGTTCTTCATCAAATTTAATGATTCAAACACCATTCCAAAGCTAATTTTATCACAAAAAACAAGGTGAAATTTTCACATAGCTCAATTAGGTTTGATAATTCTGTGGTTTATAAAACTTGAAAGATATGTAGGTATATTTCCATTAAGTCTACGATTGTTATAGTGTGGCATGTATGTTTTGCAATCTATTTGTATGTATGGTATTACATTTACCAATATGGATTGAAAAACAATGATGCATGATAGATCAATTTCACTAATCTGACCATTGCTTAGCTGAAATATAGATGGGGTTTCAAAAGTAGTGTCCATTAAAATGGACACTACTTTTCAAAGTGTGACAAAGATATGCATTAATTTACCACCACCACTATAAAAAAGCTGTGATAGCTCAGTGTCCGAGTGCTCGCCTTTAATTCAATATACTCGAGCAACCTGAGTTCCATCCCCGGTGTCGGCACCAATGAAGTTTTTGACTTTAAGTGCTGACTTATCACGTGTTCCGCGGTGAAGGAAAACATCGTGATGAAACCTGCATATTTTCGAATTAATAACAAAAAAAAATTCGAAGATATGTGAAGTCCGCCAATCCGCAGTGGGGCTGCGTAGTGGACTATGCCCTGATACCGTCTGTATAGAGGAGGCCTTTGCCCAGCAGTGGGACATGTATAGGCTGTTACTTTACTTTACTTTACTATAAAAAAACATGTTCCACATTACCTTTTCGAAGCAACTTAGCCTTGCTTTATTTATAGTCCAAATTTAATAATCTATTTTAAACTTAATCTTTGTTTTAAATTTAATATAGATATTAGGATAAGTATGGGTAATATGTTTTTAAATTTTTTTCCAAGAGAACTTTTTCGGGGAAATACTGAGCATATTACCATAGTGCCAATATATCATTTATGAATCTTTTGTGTATGATTTACTTGAGATATTTTTTATTACTATTTCACTTTGAGCAATAAATATTTCTTTCTTTCTTTTATTATTATTATTATACTTGCTAATAACCCAATTTCTTTTTATCTCCAGCGACAGTATAGAAGATTTGGAGTTTCTGGGTGATGATTGTGAGGAGGAGCCACCGCGACGGCCGCAACTTCACATTGTTGCACCATGGATAGATGCTGACGGGGATTGTTCTCATATACAAGCATGGGGTATTCAATTGTATATTCCGAAGTAGAATAGAATATTGATGACCTGTATGGCATAACGGGTAGTGTACCTGCCTCTTGCGCCAGAAGGTGTGGGTTCAATACCCACTACTGGGAAAAAAACACTACGTTCATCACACAATATGTGATGAAAATAGTGTTTTTCTGGAGTCTGGGTTTATATATGTATAATATTTACTTACAAAAGAAAAGTATGTCTTAGTATCATGTGTTTATCATATCAGATGTGTTTATCAGTTATCTAGCACCCATAGTACAAGTATTGCTTAGTTTGAGACTAGAGAATGTGGTGTAAACAATTTGCAATGAATAATACATTGGGCCACAATTTTAGTTCACTATTCTGCGGGCTTGTCGACCAAATAGCCTAATATTCTGATGACTCCATGGCGCCAAGTTGCCAATGTGTTCGACGACAGGGGTCGTAGGCTCGATCCTCACACTGGACAACTATTTGTGACCCACAGATATTTTTTTTTAGTTTCGCATCTGAGTGTTTGTCCATGTGAAATTTATGTATGTAAGACATCCTTACAACACAGTATAATGTTATCCTAAAGTAGGCGTTATGTTTTTAAAAGAATGAAAATGAGTATATTTATTTATTTCTTATATTCACTTTTCGGTTTAGCACCTGCCATCTACTTCTCACCATGACAAGGGTTGACTGGTAGATAATGCCATCAGGCATTAAGTCCGCCCATTGTAGCCTTTAGTCTAAGGTGTAACAATGAAGTATAAATAAATAAATATTCTAATATCAGGCAATAGCATTGGGACGGCGCGTCGCGGGGAATCTTGTATTAAAGTGATTATTTCTCGATGGTGTCTAGTGATGTTCTGGATATCCATATCCGCCGGAGTAAAAAGATCCGTATCCGTTACATTTTTGACGGATCTTTACACATTATTAATTTTGAATTCACTGATTCAATTCAAAAATACTTCATGACTACTTTTATGATTACACGAACATTACGGTATGATAGTATGTAAATCGATATTATCATTTTAACTATTTGACAACGACAAAACATCTTACTTAAATTTTAGTCGAATACGCCGAATATTCGTGGCAACTCGTAATTTGTATGCATTTCGGATTCGAAAATAATTCGATGGCTCCGTCGCTAAGCTTATTGGCTTCGGCATAGAGGGTCGTGGGTTCGATTCCCATACGGTACAAACATTTAAATAATTGTTCAAATAATTGTCCCGGATCCGGCGTGCTGTTCACACGATTCACATGTTGTGCCGACCCCACATAAATGGGTTAAGGGCAGAGGGATGACGATATGGTTTCGAAAATAAGCCTTTGTTTAACTATCTTTTTTTATTCCAATATGAGATATTCATCCCTCGAGACCCTACTTATGTTCTGAGCGTATAAGGCCCTTAACTACCTACGGAATGAAAGATACGTCAACGAAGAGTAAAGGGGGGCGTCGGTCTAGCGGCGCAGAGCAAGGAGGGCGCGGGCGGGCCGGAGGCGGGGCCGAGCCCTGCGCAGTGCGCGGGCGCCGCGCTGCTGCTCGCCGCGCAGCTCGTCGCGCTGCTCGCCTGGACGCTCGACGTGCGCACGCCGCACGCCATCTCGCTCAGGTGCGCTCGCCACACTTCACACACACACACACTTTCATGCAGTCATTACACTTTCATTTATTCCTACCATCGCCTTCGCATCCGTTCCATCGTGTTGTCATTCGTTCGTTCCATCGTCTTTTCATTCGTTTATTCCGTTTGCTTCTCATTCATTCATTAGATGACCCGTGTATTTGGATACTGGTATCTCGTTATATGGTATGTGAGATTGTTACGCGCACGTATCGAAATACTCACTGCCTAATCTTAAATAGAAATTTCATACATAGCCATTCATGTTGAATACATGTTATCTTAAATTTACTGTCTTTATGTTTAATCTATCGGGATTACATATTTGTTCCAGTATCTGTTTAGTATCTAGTTTCTTCTCTATCAATTCTTTCATCAATTAATCTACCCCAATAATCATTTTAATCGTTAACTTTATCGTTTATCAATTAATGTTGTAATAAATTTCTTTTTGTACTTGTTCATTAATTGACTTATTATGTGCTTCATTTCAGACTTCATTAGCTTATTATGTTTGTTGGTTAATTAAATGCGAAATGCCCGCACAATCAATTCGATAATTATTTAAGTTGAATTTTGAGAACAAGACTTACTATGCAGTATTCTATAGAACAACACAATTTACTTGTTACACTGCATGTTTGAGTAAACATTAATGACGATCCCGTGTCACCCTATAGAATATTTCTTACAACTTCTCTCGTTGTATTCTAATGCGTGACACGCTTGTAAGCAGCAAATATCTTGTGCAAATATCTTACAAACGGCGCGCTCGCATAAACTTCACAACCGTATGAACATTCTCATTCGTAATTCTGGTGGGCCCTTTAGCCTGATTCACACTGGTCAAATGTTTAGTACAGAACACAAGTACAGTGAGTAAGTTGCAAGTAGACTCGCCTAAACTTTAATAAACGCTAAACTTTATTGCACTAACTGGTACAAACGGCGGGCTTAATGTCATAAGGCATTTACTATCAGCCAACCGGAAAGTTAGTGATAGAGAAGTGTAGGTGCTACATTACTACTGTACTTGTCAACTGTACTAAGCACTTGAACAGTTTTAATCGGGCTTATTGCAAACGGCGAGCTCGCGGCTACCACAGTTATGAGGAAATCCGCAGCGAGTACAGCTCTGGGCGCGTTTGGGGCGGCGCTGTGCGGCGGCTGCGCGCGTGCGCCGCTGCACTATGCGCGCGCGCCGGCGTTCGCCGCCTCGGCCCTCCGCCCGCTGACGCCTCCCCCTCCCCCTGGCCCTCGGCCCCCGCCCCGCCCCCCCCGCCCCCCTCCCCTCTGGCGGCGCACGGCGCCCTCGGCGGGCTGCACGCGCTCGCGCTCGCCGCTGCCGCAGACGACCCCCGCCTGGGCAGGTGAGTATCGCGTGACGGTGCAAGGAGCGCTGGCGGTTCTGGGCATGTTCAGATGAGCGCCCGTATCGGGGCTGCTTGTTGACTCCTGGGGCCTTCCCTTCTCGAGCAGAACTGGGAGCGGCGATACTCGTTCCACTCACTTGTTAAGGTGTTTATTTTTATGGGAAAAGTTGGCAAGTGAGCTGATGGTCCACCTGATGATGAGTGATGACCCAATAAGGTACGCCCAAGCTACCTCACTCACCGGATGAAACGCAGAAGTGTGACACTTCCTCTAAGGACGTTGAAAAAATATCGATATATCAATATTTTCTCTTCGAGATATCAATAGAGGCCGATATCAATATTTTTATAAATATCGATATATATTTCCTCACTTTCGACATCCCTAATATACACTTTACGCCAATCTTGTGAGGTCGTGGTGGGTACTTACTGAATGAACCTGCCCATTCGTGCAACAGCCGAAACTGTTGTGTTGACCAGTATTAGTCCGAATGGGTTTTGTTGTCTAAGCGGTGCGATTGTTGCGTAGTGTTATTCAAGAAGTACACACATTTTTATGTGTATACAGCGTGTCGTTACCATCGCGACAATAAATGAACACACGTCTATCGCTACTTGCCAATAATCATAAAAAAATATTAACGTTAAACAAAAGCCATAATTAAAAAAAAATATTTTTCAAACTAAATTAATTAAGTAAAAAAGAAACGAAATTTGTAACATCCTATACAACTCGCGCACAGCGTCGCTTTACAAGCTTCTCATTCTAACAGTTGTTTTGTCTCTTTTAAGTTCATTCAACCCATTCATATGCTTTGTGACCTTTACAAATGAACTTTACGTTACGCTTTTATAGGTAAATATTGATGTTTAAAGAATTTAAATGTTTAATACCTACAATTTTAAAAAGTTATCCCCTATATGTGTGTTCATTTATTGTCGCGATGGTAACGACACGCTGTATATGAAGTGACGAAACGCGACAGTGTAATAATTCCGCTTTACGCCCGTCTTCTGTACCTGCAAATGTCGTGCAACAACAGTAGCTGCCGCGTGGCCTCACCGCAGTGGCTCTATTTACATTATGACATCGAAACAACACGTTGAACGGAGATGAGCAAGGGTGTGGTGGGCAGGGTGGAGCCGTGGCTGAGCCGGTCGGCGTCGTGCTCGTCGGAGTGGGCGGAGGCGTGGCAGGGCGCCGCGCCCGACCTGGACGAGCCCGAGCCGCCCGAGCACCTCTGCTGGCCCGACGCCAACGACGTACGTTACGCTACGACGTCACGACATCCCGACGTCCGTCGGAATATCACGGACGGCCGTCAGTGACCAGTTGTGATTATTCTCATTTTGACGATTTCAAACTTACCTTTTCCCACTTTCCACGAGCTCAGCGCCCGATGAGTCTACGGACGGAAACCAACAAAACGAACTCCAGCGAAAATTAATGACACAAGCAAGCACACAGCCACGGGCGTCACTTAGTTAATGACCTTGGCAAATCCCAAGGTCATTAGCTATGCGATTCGACGTCCACCAAAGGCGACCATAGACAACACAGTTTGTTAGTGACCCTGAGATCTCATTCGACTTTCACCACACGCGATCAGTTCCAGGAGGAGGAGATGAGCCGCAGTCCGGGCGGGGCTCCAGCGCCCTCGCTGGTCACGTCGGCGGCCGCCTCGATCGCCTCCATGTGGCGCGGCTGGACCAAGTAGCCCCGAATGCCCCTCACCTCTAACGATCCTCGCCTTTCCCTTACTTACTGTACTCAAAACCCAACTCCTCTAGTCTTCAGCCGCACTGGTGTGGCAAACCAAACAAATTATACCAACTCGCCACATTACGCCGCTACCATGAAACACACCAACAGCACTATGCCAATAGTTTGCCCACGTAGAAAAAAACGTAGAAAAATCTACTGTTATAGTCGGCACTGGCGATAAATTTTCTTCAAAAACAAAATATGACTGACTGGTCAATATTTCAACTACTGTCAAATACATTAAATTTCTCGATTTCGCCTGAATTATTTTGGCACACTAGGCAGAGCTAACTTAAACAATAGATTCCGACAGTAGTCAATTAAATAGATATCGTTGAGTACTATTACCCTATGGTTGTCGAACATAAAAAAATCACTATTATTATTTTAATAGAAATAACCTATAGTTTGTCTGTTTAAACGTTATAAATTTCTTTATTATTATACCGAATATTTCAATTGTTGAAATTTATTTTGTATCTTACCGACTTAATACTCTGTACTTAAACTTCAACTGTTTTTTAGAATACTTTTTAAGTAATAAGTAATTCTGAAAAAAAAATTGAGTTGCTGATTTATTATCTGTTTTCATATCTTGTTGGTTTTCCTAACGAAAACTTTGACAACTGGTTTGGCGGGAATGTTGATTGTGATAGTAGGGACGGATGTCGAGAGTGAAGAAATATGTTGATAACATTATATTTATAAATATGTCAATATCGGCCTCGATATATCGAAGAGAAAATATCGATATATCGACATTTTCTTTTTAAGCCTCGTATGTCAAGTATTAAATATTTGACACCTACGGACTCTGTGCCGGAATCGAATTTGAAAAAATATCGTTTTTGAAACGACTTTCGATATTGAATATTTGGTATCGATATATAGAATCCAAATATATCGGGTGAAAATATCGATATATAAAATCAAAAACATCGATATATCGATGTTTTTGATCGATATATCGATGTTTTTGACTATGTGATAGTATTGACTCATGTAATAAGACTCATGAATAATAAGTCCATGGTGTTACAATATTTTTCATAGGCATCAATCATCAATAATCTTTTAACCCCAACATTTACGCTATCGGCTGACAAGATTACAAATAAAACAGATCAAATGTCTTGAGCGTTTTCGATAGATAAACTATTATGTAAAACAATGTTATTTTTTTATTTCAGAACGACGTAAGAAATAGCGAATGTGCAATTATTAAATTGTTCTATTTCTGTTTATAAAAGTGTAAATAAAGATTTTTATTATGTGCCTTGTTACTCTTTTTAATCCGTTTACAAAAAAAAGACTAAAGATGGATCTAGATTCACAAATGGCTTTTAGCTGTGTAAAATTATGTCAAACCTGACAAAGTTATTAAAAATGAGATTACATAGACCTTCTTTTCTTAATAGAGGAATTAGATTAAATCGGGACCATATACTAATTCTTCTATAAAGAGATTCGTACACGCAACTTTTTGTAACATTTAGCAGTAACTACAGTTGTTAGTCTCATGTTCTCCATAACTAGGCGCCTAGTAAATAGGGGCTAGAAATTGAAATTGATAATGTTGATACGATTACTCTGTTCACGTCTTGTCTCCACAGTTTTGAAAGACATACATAATTTTTTTTTTAAATTGTTGCCTTAGAATAAAAGGGCTTATTCCGAAACATTGTATTAAAATATTATGAAATCGAAATTCGGGCTCTTATTCCAGAACATTGTATACAAAAAGTCGAACGAAATTCGGCCCTTAAACGTCCTCATTCTAGAACGTTTAACATGAAAAGGCAATCGATATTCGAACCTATATAAGGGGTCCGAAGTGTGCTAGAAAGCAGTTCAGCTGTGGAACCATATATATGTCTTATCTATGGGTGGAACACGGAGCGAACAGAAGAGTAGGGAAAATATCATGTAAAATGTGGTAGACATTTTTAAATTGTTTATAGTGCTAATATTTGCACTTAAGATTAAACATAAAATATGTAAAAAAGTACGAAAAGATTGAAACAATGCTTGGCGCATGCATTAAATGCTAAAAAAACAATGTACATAAAAGACGTTAAGATTTTCGTCGCTGTGGCAATCAGCCGTTTAGCTTAGTGGTCAAAGCGTCAGGCCGCGAATGCCGAAGACGTGGGTTCGATTCCCACAACGGTGACAATCTTTTCGTACTTTTTCTACATATTTTAATGTTAAAATGTGGTAATGTGAATATAAGTGGAGGTGTGAGGGCTTAACGTCTACAAAATCGCCCTCAAATCTGTTTAAATGAGTAAATAAAGTGAATTTTAAATTACCTTGTAAATCCACTCCCGCAACTTCTAGTTCGTAACAATATCATAGTTGTCGGTTTGATTCGGATTGGCCTGTCTTCTTTTAAATGGCAAAAGAAAATGCCAGGATATTATTGTATTAATATAAAACACGTTTCAACAAAAACTTGTATAATCAAATAAATTAAGACTAGCAAACAAACAGACGTGTCACTACTAAATATAAATGCATAATTATGTCAGAGGCTCGATGTACCTATCAACTTAGTCGTAGATACAGGGTGTTTGGGAGCTCGTACTCTAAGCTCTGTTGTAATCTGTGCATATACCAAATGATATCCTATGATTTTTTCAGTCTTCACAATAATAAATTTTTGTCTGTACTAAATTATTCCGATACATAGGACTATTATTTAAAATTTTCGTCTATACAACTTTACCGTTTATAGTTTGGTTTTAAAAAAATATGATAGCTATCACTCCCGCAAACATCAAACTGCCGAACATCCTGTATATAGTAGCGACCAATACTTTAACAATACAAAGAAAGACATTCAGAGATTTTTAATAAATTTAAAATAATTTTTCAGAGAATCGTCCTTTCTATACAGCTGTTATATGTTAAGTACAAGATATGTATAATTGAACTAACTGACATATTAAGGTTGGCTACATCAGCGAAAACTATGTGAAATATCTCTCATAAACTTTGAGACAAATACCCGTAACAAATAACGCGACAACTTTGTCACGTTTAACTCGCCAAATCGCAACACAACAATCTTGGATGTTTTAATTCAGTCTTCGAAAATGATTTTTATCGACTCGAAGTCCTTATTCACACCAAACGAGGCATATCGGAACATACACTTTGTACATCCTTATAGTTTCGCTCTCGCTTAACTTTCTGAATCATCGTCATCTTTCTGACAAATACAGTTAGTCAAAATAAACTTAACCAATGACCAATTAACTATTGTGTTACAGCTTCTCAAATCCACTCGTTAACACATCCACTACAAGTTCAACGAATTGAAGAATGATCCTCCAATGTTTCGATGGCAACATTTGTGTGTAGTATCAATCACCGTGAGATGCCCAATCTGCACGCACACTAGGCGCGTCCGTGGCGTGCGTGTGCGTGTGCGTGTGCGAGCGAGAGGGCGCGCGGTGGCTCCAGCGGCGGTGCGACGAGTGCAGCGCATCGCGCGTCCCGCTCACTCGCTCCAGCAGGTGTTCCGCGTCGCAGAACTCGCGCTGCGAAAACAACCAACATGAGACAATGCACTGCAGTGGGCGGATTATCTAGATAATTTTTTTTAAAATATTGCCCTTACTTTAGGATAACATTATCCTGTGTTGCAAGGACGTTTTACAAACATAAATTTCACACAGATGCGAAACCACTATCTATGGGTCAGACAAACAGTTGTCTCGTGTAGGAGGAATCGAACCCACGACCCCCGACGCCGAAGCCAATACCTTGGCAACTCCGCCACGGAGTCATCAACTGTTTTCATTTTCCTCATCGATGGCAGAAGGCAAGAGGGCTGGCTCGTATGCCCGCCCATATCATTGCCGCCCATGAGCATATAATCTACCCGTTGGTTACGTTATCAAGGTTAAAGAAGGTGATGTCGCAATCAATTCGCTACGTGAAATGTAACATTAGGAAAAGTTCCACTTGACGCGATTTTTGTGGAGCCGTCGTGCTGCACCGGTCGAGTCGTCACATCGCGGGCGCTTCGGCGCTATATCAGCTCGGAAAAATCCCATGAAGATCAGAAGTTATTTCGATAGGGACCACTTGGTTAAAAGCTAACAAACAGTCAGAACCGCTATGTGATTTGATAAGTATTACGTCTATTCCTTCGATAGAGATCGCTTAGCTAAAAACTAGCAATCCATCACCTGCGCCCTTTTTATTTGGCAACACCTTGTTTGTTCGTCGCCAGTTAAAGTGGGAATGGACTCTCTTTCATAGATCTCGCTAAGATAGTGAAATAAAGAGCTACAGACGCAAACTGCGCTGTCGGCTGGCGCGCAGCGGCTGCAAAAGGAGCTCTTGGCGGCGTCCATGGCCGCGTCGCAGCGCTCGGGCCGCTGCACGGACGCGTCGCGCCACCTCCAGCGGGACTGAAATGCGCTTTGCCGGTTCACCTGATGTTAAGTGAATACCGCCGCCCATACACCTGCCACACCCGAGGGTTGCAGATGCGTTGACGACCTTTTGGAAATTGGGCTCCGGGCACCTCACTCACCAGACGAAACGCCAAAGTATTTGTCATGCTTCCACTTTACGCCGGTCTTCTGAGAGGTCGTGGTACTTACCCGGACGAGCCTGCCCATTCGAGCAACAGCTGAGGCAGCTGCTTGGCCCTGCCACAGTTAATAGTATAATATCGGAACATTTTCTTATTATAGTTCCGTACCCAAAGGGTAAAACGGGATCTCATTACTAAGACTCCGCTGGCTGTCAGTCCGTCTGTCACCAGACTGCATCTCATGAACCGTGATAGTATGGCAGTTGAAATATTCAGACATGACCGTTTTTCTGTTGCTGCTATAATAAAAAGTACTAAAAAACAGAATAAACTTTTATACGGTGGTAGGGCCACGCAGCAGCCTCGGCTGTTGCACGAATGGGCAGGCCCGTCCGGGTGAGTACCACGACCTCACAGAAGACTGCTGCGTGGCCCCCTACCACAGTAGCACACGAGCTATCTTCCCTTGTAAGCAAAATAGTAAAATGGCCAAATGCCTGACAAATTTACAAAAGAAAATTTACAAAAATTACAAAAGAAGACCCCATCTTTACTGTAAGGGAATATGTAAGTAGATACCTTTTTGTCTGCGCGAGACAATTATTTGTACAATTTACTTTTACCATCGTATAGGTATTACGAACTACTCGTTGGTGTGTCTAAATAAATAAATAATTGCGTACAGAAACATACGGTCGGTGTAGTACTTACATCGTCCAATAGCGGTTTCTTTTTCCTGAAGAGTCTCCTTGGCGGTTTCGGTGGCGAGGAACGGCTGGTTATCTCGCTTCCACTCGTGCGCTCCTCATCTCTTTCTCTCCCTTCCGCTAACTGCATGCACTTGGAACAGCCGACAGTCCTTTCACCCGTATCGCTTCTCGGTCTACGTCTTAACGGAGCGGATTTCGTGTGATCGGAAGTCTCGCTCGCGCAGTCCACCCTTCCCGCTCCCTCGTGTTGGATATACCTGGAGCAACAGGGCCTTTCGTGGCGCGCACTCGCGGTTTCCCGATCCGTACGCAGTCGCAGACTCCGGATCATTTCGTCTTGTGTTTTTATTCGTTCTTCTTGTTCACTACAGACGTGAGAATTGTTAATGTATTAACCTCATGTTAATTTTTTATGAGGGCAAACCAATTGAGTGGAAAATGTTATTTTATGAATAACTGTTTTATCTCTTTACTACCCTACCACCCTCGAATAGACGATTGGCAAATTTCTTGAAACAGCAAATTGAAAAATCTAAATTAAATCTATTGATAAAACCTTTGCCTAAAATCCACTTCACATGGTGCACTACTTTGTAGCGAATGCGCTTGCGAGGGAGACAGAGTGCGCAGGGTATACGCAGTTCGTAGCGAATGCGCGTGCTAGAGGGAGATAGAGTGAGCAGGGTATACGCAGTTCGTAGCGAATGCGCGTGCTAGAGGGAGACAGAGTGTGCAGGGTATACGCAGTTCGTAGCGAATGCGCGTGCTAGAGGGAGACGACAGAGTGTGCAGGGTATACGCAGTTCGTAGCGAATGCGCGTGCTAGAGGGAGACAGAGTGCGCACTGTATACGCAGCCTGTAGCGCTGCAGAGCAGCGCGCAGTGCGGCGAGCAGCGCCTGCGTGTCCGCGCAGAGGCGCGCGCCGCGGCCCTGCGCCTCCAGCAGCTGCGCGCGCAGACGCGACACGCTGCTCGTGCGCTCCCTGGAGACAACATTACACGTCCCACTGCTGGGCAACGGCCCTCTCCGTACTGAGGGTATAGTACACCACGCGATCACGCTGCGGATTGGCGGACTTCACATATCTGCTCCATTTTTTTTGTTATATTTTCCTTTACGTCTCAACACGTGATAAGTGAGTGCTCAAATCAAATTAAATCATTTAAGGAAGAAACATACATTTGGTTTTTTTTTTACATGCCTAGATCTAACAATTTAATTAATGTCAGCACTGGGATTTGAATTCGAACGCCCGGACACAGCTATCACGGCTCAATAGTAACACAGGTAAATCACTTCCGACCCAGTGGTCGGAAGTAATTTACCTATGTTACTATTGAGCTTCTCAGAAGAAGTACATTGATCTATTCACAGTTGTCTTAGAGACTAGGTCAGGGTCAGAGCATAGAGTGGGTCTTCAAAGGACTACAACATGAAATAGTGTCCCGTCGGAGAAGTAAGTAATATTATATGTTATTATCTGTCAATATAAGATGCGATTTGGCAACCAACAAATCAAAGATATCTCTTTGCTCCTTCATCATTGCAACCCGCAGCCTCTATTATACTGCTGGTTTCCACAAAAATTACTATTGGATATAAATCCCGCTTGCCCTGCATTCCCTCCAGGCCACAGCCTACCCAGGCCTCTCCCGACACCAAACAAAGGTCGAATACCAACTGACCGGCACCGTCGCCGCCACTCGCACGCGCCCCGCGCCGCCCTCCGCGCCTCTTCCCTCGCTTCTCGCTCCTGTAGAAGACAGCGAGCAAACGTTCTTAACTCTTTGGCTCCAGCTTTGCACAATACAGTGGCAGGCCTTTGCGTTCAAAAACCTCATACTATGTTAAACACGATTTATAAACAAAGTTGTTTCACCTAAAGCGATGTGATACCCAGACTTCAAAGGTCTCGGATCATACACTATACCATACCTTACCTGAAGTAAAAGTTAATAAACCACGAGAGTTCTTCGCTTGCTCCCATAAAAGCCTCTACTTATCAATGAGCCCCGAGACACCAGAAGATTGCCTCACTTGCTCCAGGGTCCTCTGCGCCTCGTCGAGCTGACGACGCAGGTCGGCTTCCGTGCTCTCGCGCAGGTCGCACTGTTGCCGCGTCTGCAGCAGCTGCGCACTCTTCTCTGCTAGCAACTCTGCAGAGTGCAGTACAATGATTACGAAATATACTTTTTCCCCTTATCTCAATAACCCTGTCTCTTGCGCCAGAGGGTGTGGCTTCGATCCCCGCTACTGGAATTTTTTTCTAGTGTCTGGGTGTTACTATATCGTAACATGTATTTATTTACAAAAGAAAATTACGTTTAAGTATTATCTTTGGTAATAATACCAAAATAAATATAACGCTATTGTAAGTGCCAATCTATCATGTTGAGGAGAACGTGTCTGCCAATCCGCTGTGGGGTCGCTCGAGGCTCTTGCCCAACAGTGGGACATGGGCCGGGGACCAAAACGACAAGGACGACTCGCACTTTGAAGGTGTTGCAGCTGGTGCGTCAAAGAGTCGCCAGTCGCCGTCTGCTCCCTGTACCTCTGTTCGACGGCGCCGAGCCGCTGAGACGCGCGCCGAAACTGGAAAAGTAGTTAAAGCAACTGTTGAGTTTCTTGCCGGCTTCTTCTCAACAGAAACTGCTTTCCGAACCGGTGGTAACTTACGAACGTGTTAATTTCTTGTAAAATTTTGACGTTTCATAAGAACGCGCAAGCGTCTATATAAATAAAGATATTTTATTATTATTATTATTAAAGGTGATAATTTCTTGTATTCAGGCGATCACACATTATAAATAAAACTAATTTTACGGATTTATAGCGTTAAACGCGATAAAATAAGTTTAATTTATTTATTGGGTGAACAAGTCAACTCCTTCGCTTTTTATATCGTCTATGAACTTACGCTTCTTTTTTTACGCTGTGGCTATAATTTTTTTCCTTATTACCTCATCGAATCAAATAATGAAAAGTGTTAATAGTTCAATATAATTACACATCAACATCGATTATATTGAAACAAAATCGATACGGAGTTATACGCTGCGCTGTAATGCCATTTTGGTATGATTTAAAATGAAGGAGCACATAACGATGCACAGTAACATCTTAACTACAATAATGTGCGTGTTTTTTTAAATAAATAAAACGACCTTCGCATGAGCAAATGACTCCCGTTTCGCGGGAGATTTCACAAAAACTCTTCTATCGGTTGGGCGTGGAAATTTGTATGGCGTCCAGTGGCATTGGGCAAGGTAAATCTAAAACCATTCAGCCATCTGCTGTTCTAGGAAAGTTATAGCTAAAAACCGGCCAAGTGCGAGTCAGACTCGCGCAAGGAGGGTTCCGTACCATTATCTACAAAAACAAAAAATGTCCGTTGTACTTCCATACAACGACCTTCCGGTCCACTTAAATATTTTTTTATTCAATTTTTTACTATTAAAAATGAATTATGATTCAATTTTCAAGATTTATAAAGAAGGTTTCTTCATATACGACATCATATAAGCAACCCGTTGAATACTTTTGTTGCGTTGTCACGTTCAAAACAAATTAAGAAGGTAGGGAGAACTTGACAAATTACATTAAAGCATAAATTTGAAATGAATACCAAAGAAATTATTACGTAAAATTCACAAAGTCAAATGGAGTCAAACTAATTAAAAAAAAATTACGAAGCCAAATGGAGTCCTCTGTGAAAAGTAACCGGTTAATAGTTACCTCTTGCTCTTTCAATTGGAGCTGCCGTTGACACTGCACGTTCTCTCTGCATTTGTCCTGCAGAGACGTTTCCAGATGCTGCAATCGTTGACGCAGCTCTGCAGTTTGGGCCTAACGAAAGACAGAATGATACATGTATTCGGATGTAAAAATCCTTCTTCAAAATCAACAGTTACTTTTTCTATATTTTTTCCGTCAAGGCTTGGATCCTTTCTTTTCTCTATTCTTCTATTACTTTACTCTATGCCTTGGACCTCCAGCATAGATAAATGTGAACTGTTCAGGAATATCACGCAATTAGCAAGTTTATTGACTATCACAAAATGTGGAGGGAATTTAAAGATTACTGCTGACGCCGTGTCGGGTTATAACTAATACCGCTTTCCCGGTCGAGGCAGTAGTACAAGTTTAAAAGCAAAGTTTTGTTCATACTGACCTCCAAACTCTCGTTCGCCTGTCGCAGTTCTGCGTTTTCCTCTTTCAATCCGCATATGCAGTCGTTCTGCAGAATTTATTCAGTTTAGATTCTTGTATGTATGCATGCATATAACATTCATGTCCTTATAGTGTGTTCTCATGGTCAGAGTTTTTAAGACGGACTTATAAAATAAATGATGGCAAGTATCCCACTGGGTTATCTTTTTTATTTTATTTCTTATGTTATTATAGTAAAGTACTATATCGAATGTCTGACTGTCTATCTTGATGAGAATGATCGGTCCGCGATTGAAAACGACGTTACAATAACCTTAACTGAATACTGTGTTAAAATGTGTCATAGTGAAATAAACAACAAACAGTGATGACAATATATTTTGGATATGTATTGGGGGATATTCCGTGGACTCATTTTAAAAAAATATGGGCGAAGTAGACTTTAATCTCAGCACACATTGTGCAGGCTTCAGCATGATAACCGTTTTAAATAAATGAAGATGGCGGTAGACCAGGAGGAATTCGTATGTTCTTTCCAACTCTGCAGAAGACCCACCGTACGAAGGTCCGCCCCCTCCCCCCGCGCCCCCGCAGCCTCCTCGCGCTCCCACACTCCCTGCCCAAATCAAACGCTCAACTCCAGTCGCAGCCTTTATTTATTCGTGTTAGTTTTGAACAAGTAAAACATTATTAGTAAAAAAAAGAACAAAACCGACTTCAAAAATATATTTTACGAGTTCCCGAACGTATCTCCAGAATTCAAGGTTCAATACCAATGTAATTAATATGGGACCACATGAGAACTGAGCCGAACCCAATACAAAGAGATTTTTTAGAATATTTTTATGTTTGTAACAAACATAAAAAGAACATACAACCGAAATATCATACGAACCTCTTTTCCTTGTTTGAAATCGGTTGACATATCGGTTGATATAGTTTTTTATGTTAAGATTAATACCTCGCAAGTGTTACATTGCCTATTTAACATAATTGATTAATATGAAATATTTTTTAATTTACTATACTTTGAATAAATTTATAATTATTAATATTAATAGATAGAAACAAACAATAGAAGACATTTAAAAAAAAAGAATGTCTTGTTTTTTTTTAAATATATTGAAGAAAGCGCAGAGCTTTTTTAGTGGCAACACAAAGCCCGTTAGTATTGTCGGTACCGAGTCGTAGTTGGAGTTGTTGAGGTAGTTCGATATCTCCGACTTGAGGCTCTCCACTTCCATCGCGGTGTCCTGAAAAAATACTATGGTCAACGTGAAACAGACAAACACAATAAGATTCTTCCTGGCGTGGATTTTAGTTTTATGAAACTATAATGGTTATATGATATTAATTTTATGGTGCAATTCTCTACACTTAAAGTGAAATTTTAAATTTATAGAAAAATGGACGAAAGGATTTGAACCGGCGCTGAGTACTGCTTAAAGTGCAATAAAAATAGTAGATAAATACGTTGAGGTTTTCTTCGGTGCGTAGGTATGCCATTTAGCTCAGTGCCTAGTGGGTCGGACGCGTAACTCGAGGAACGCGGGTTGAAACCCCTAGCGGCAAAATTCTACAAATCGAATTTTCTACAAATCTTAAAAAGAGCCATGAAGATGTCAACATCGTATTCCATATTAAAATATGTTTCGTTTCTGTGGTTATCAGCCGTTTAGCTCAGTGGCTAGAGCGTCAGGCCGCGAATGCCGATGACGTGGGTTCGATTCCCACGACGGCGACAATCTTTTCGCACTTTTTCTACATATTTTAATATTCAATCTTAAGTGCAAAGATTAGCACTATAAACAATTTAAATTTCTAAAAAAAAAATCGTATTCCATGTTATCTTTTATTGTGAGAAGGTGGCAAGCGAGCTGGCGTTTCACCTGGTGTTAACATTTGCAACACCCGTCTTCGCCATAATATAAACTTCCTTATATCACACTAGCTGATCCGGCAAACGTCGTTTTGCCATATAAAGTTGCTTTGCAGAGCATATATCAGAGCGATACATCTGGTGTCGATAAGTAATTGGGTGGAATTTCGTAAAATCCGTTCTTAGCTGACCTCTACTCGGTGAAAGGAATATTCCTACCAAATTTCAAGTTTCTACGCCTTATGATTCCAGAGATATCGTGATGAGTCATTTATCTGTGGAAACCTCTTATATATATATATATATATATATATATATATATATATATATATATATATATATATATATATATATAAGAGGTTTCCTATCATACCTGGCGCCACTGCGCAGCGTCCAGGGCGTTCCGCATTCGACCTATCTGCTCCGTTTTCTCCCTCTCCACGACACGGACCTCCGCGAACGACTCCCGGAGCGAGCTTATCAGCTCGTCCTGCTTCGCTGTCTACGGGGGGGACGTCGAAAACTCGGTTAAGGTACACATTACCCGCGTGGTCATCTAAAATTTGGGTCAATTGATGATTGGTTCGGATGTGGAGTGCTATATTTTGTTCTGTGTAAAGTGAGAGTGATTTCAGAAGCTTTGTCTTAATTTAAAATACCTTGAAAGCAGATTGATGAAAATAAGTGAAACTTTTTAAGCAAATAGCGTACTCTTGGTTCATAGAAAGGGTCATTAAAAAGTGCAAAAATCGGTACTAGTCAAAAAGTAAAAAAAAAAAATAAGAGAAGAGAAAGAGCTTACCTCATAGAAGCACTCTTTGTAAAGTTCCTCGATGACGGACAAACTGTCCTGCAGTCTCGCCACGACCTTCTCGTGACGGCCCTCCTAAAACCATCCCAATTCTCTTCATGCGGATACAACGGTTAGCAAATTCTTCCAATTTTTCTTGTTTCTTTCAACACCAAAAGCAATAACACAGAACAAAGAATCGCGTTCGGCGAAGGTACAGAAAATTAATACGGTATATACATAGCTAATCATAAAAAGCCCAGTGAAATGCCAGTAAAATACAATTTATTATAAAGTAAGAAGACCAATAATAGCAACCGCTTACCTGATGCAAACTTGTGTTGATGCCACAATCAGTCTTCTCCACGAGCCTCGCATCGACACCACGCGACGACTGTTCACGGTAGCAAAAGAAAGATATAAAAACGAACATTAATACATTGGAATTTATTATTGGACATCCAGAGTATCAAAATCACAGTCACCTCGTCATTTAATAAAAAAAAGATTTATTCTCTCTCATACCTTTCAGGCGAGGAGACAAACGAAAGAAAAGAATATAAAAGTACTACTATATTACTATAATATTCAATAATAATCTTATACCTATTCCCAGTCAGTTCTAGGAGAACATATACAATATGACGCTAGTCAAGTTCCACCTACAAACCCCGAGAATTTATGTTCGTGTTTGAGAAATTGTATTTTTTTTCTTGTAGTATCTAGAGAAAACATAGACAAAAAAATTAGAAAAATCCTTGGAATACGTCTAGGAGTCATAGTAACCAATTTAGCCCTAATAATTTATATGAAGTTATATACAAGATTAACGTAGTGCATAGTTAGCCTGTCGAGTTTCGTCGGGTGAGTGGGGTAGCTGGGGCCTACTTTTATAAAAGTTGTCAAAACATCAGCAAGCGATCGGACGTTGTAGATGTCCATGGGTGGCGGTATTCATCTAACATCATATGCGCACCGCCTGCTCAATTGACAAATTACATATAAAAAAACAAACTTAGAGGCTCAGGGGATAAATTTTTTTAGTTATTTTTTCTTTTGTAATTCAAAAAACTATGACGTCCTACATGCGTACATAAGTGAACACACGTTTTTTTTTTATTTAGTTACATAATCCCATGTACATATACAATAAATTTAAGAACCATTCATTAAAATTTGTAGAAAAAGTACGAAAGGATTGTCGTTGCCGTGGCAATCGAACCCACGTCTTCGACATTCGCGGATTGATGCTTTAGCCTCAAGCTAAACGGCTGATTGCCACACCGACGAAAATCTTATCGTCTTTTATCTACATTGTTTTTTAGCATTTGAAGCATTGCTTGGCGCATCCATTGTTATATCCTTTCCAGCATACAAACAATTTCGAATATCGTTTTCCACGATAATTCGAACTAGAGATGTGATGAGACCATTCATTACTAACGTTACGTTTGCATGTTAATGAAACTGCCGTCACCTTTGGGCTCTGGGGGCAGCTGGACTTGGAGCGTTCGACCAGCTCCGCTATCCTCGCCTCGGCGAACTCAAGGCTTTGCGCCTGCACTCTTATCGTCTCCTCTTTGTTTTCCAGCTGTCGCAAAGAGTGCACCTTTCAACCCTCACAACATAATCTAGGATGCCCTCGGACAAGAAGGTACTTTATAAGCACGTTGTTATAAATCCGACTTTCGCAAGGCTCCGATGCTTAGACGACAGAACGCCCGGTTTGTGAAACACTGATCATTGTAGAAGTCAACTAATCATCTGTCAAATGGATTTTCTAATGTTATTTGAGTTGCCAAAAGGATGTTAAACTTTCTGAATTGATCAGAATGATCTTCTTAATGATCAAAATGATCAATTCAAACGATGTGACGACTTCTACGATGATCGATGTTTCAGAAACTAGGCGTCAGTATTATGAGTATATTGGCTTCTCACGATGCAATTAAGAATGCAACTCCGTCCGGGGAAGTACCAAGAGCTCAAAGAAGACCGGCGCGAAGTGGAAGTGTTATACTTCTGCGTTTCGTCTGGTGAGTGAGGTAGCCGGGGCAACCTAATAGTTTAAATTTATCGTTTTCATTAAAAACTTTAAAAACTTGGAGGATATCTTTTAAGAGTATTTTTAGACTAAATGGTATGATTTTGGTTAAGATAGTAATTTAATGATGATCAAATTATAACTGCTGACAACTGCTATTTACAACAAGACATCGGTCTATAAACAGTTGTGGTAAATAGCTAATCTCTTCACTTCTTCATAATAAAATATCGTTCACCGATACCTGGATTTTCCTATTTCCACAAAAATGCAAAATTTCGTTCGTTGACTAATCACAATACTGTACGAAAAAATCAGACAACTAGTCGACACATTGTGCTACGTCCAGCATTATTTCATAAGGCTAACTAAAAAACAAGCTCTTCTTCTGAAGGTAATATTTACCCAAGAAGATACGCCTTCAGCTATATCACACACCAGATGGAAAGAGACTGTATACTTTGGAAAACTTGACTCTGCCTCCACTTCTTGCCGCGGTACTTCCCTAGTGGGATTAGCATATTAGTGCAGTCTCATCATATGGTTATAAGGAGTTCGAACGCGATACGTACTATCTGCATCGTGGCTAACAACTTGCTCTGCAGGCACTCAACATCTGGAGAAGCCAAACTCCCGTCGGCACTGGACGCGCCCACGCTTCTCTGGAAAGGAATTTCTCGAAATATTAAGCGTGACGTTTCAGTGAAACTGGAACTATAGTAACTTGGGGAAATATTAGTAATATAGTGATCTTTCAGTGGAACTGGAAATAGAGTAAATTGTCTCTCTCGTCTAGTCTCGGCACTTGGCTTTTAATTGTTGAATATCACGAGAGAACCTGTATTTCAAAGTGGTATTTTTAAGTATTTGTAACTTAATGAAGGAGCCCAAAAGTTAGTTCTTATTTCATGCCAGGAGGCAAGCGAGCAGGCGGTTTACCTGATTTAAAGTGATGACCGCCGGCCGTGCTATGATATGGTAACTATGGTATTGCAGGTGACAAACATGCGAACCCACCTTTAAAATAATAGGACAAACTTATGTCCCTATCCTTCGTCAATTAGTGTCAATATTAAAAAGGATATATGAACCATATCCAATCCCTTCGCAGGTCGAATTCTTCCCTAGCCCAAAACAAACAAACCAACAATTGACGATTCGGGTTGTAAACCTGCCTCTTGAGCCAAAGGGTAAGGGTTCGATCCCCACTGCTGGAAAAATATTGTGTGACGAAAATAGTGTTTTTCCAGTGTCTGGGTGTTTATATATGTATAATATATATGTATATTTATTGCCAAAAAATAATGTTTTTAGGTATCACAGTGCAAGCGTTGCTTAGTTTGGAACTAGAGAATTTTGTTCGGAAATAGAGAAATGGGTACTAAAATATTTATTTATTAAAACCAAATATTTGCTTCTATTCTCTTTTTTCACGAATTAAATTAGAATTCTCGGAGCCTTTCGTTTATGTATTGAACACAGCAAGTTAAAAAAAATATTACTGACGAGGAAAGAAATAAAAACACAGATTAAGTACAATTCTTAAAACCGACGGCCCTGATGGGATATTCGATAAGTACAATTCTTGAAACATAAGGCCATTAATTTGAATGTATATTTTTTTTGTTTATAAACATAAAACATGATGGTTACCGAAAGCCTAAAAACCTCACAACGTTAGGTAGTATATAATAAACATAATTATATTACGTATAAATCATTATAAATCCTGTTACATATGTACAAAATTAACTCTACCACCACAATCTTCATAACAGCAATTAACTGATAATGAAGATAAATTGACACTTCTACGTCAAAGGTAGATGTTTACTTTTGAACTTTTGCTAATAAATGGCATGTTTTCTTTGTTACACCGAAAAGCTAACTTTTCAATGATAACAACTGTTAAATGAAGTTTAAATTAATGTCATCCGACATTGAACAATACTCACCTTTTTATAATCACTTGTGTCGGAATCTCCGCACACCAACAACCCATTAAACATCATCTTGTTGCAATAATAAAAGCACAAACAAACTAACACACCAGCGCGGTCTACGACCCGAAAACAAGGAACCAAACTTTAAAAATAAGTCTATAATTGCATCTAAAACGTCGATGCATCATCATTAAACACTCCGATAAAAAGTAATAAATTATGTAAAACTTATTGCTGTTTTATGATTATTTTTCTATAAATAAATAACAATTTTTTTCTATAAGACTACGAAATATCCCTTCGAATCTATCACCATATATTTATCTGAACAAAAAATCGTCGGTGTTTTATTGAATAGAAAAAGAAATTAATCAAAATGTCGTAGCTGTCAAATTACGCGGGAAAAGTGACAATGCGCGTATGAACATTCGCGAGAGGGGCTTTGTTTTGGCGCGGGAAAAGCGACGCGCGCGGAGCGGTAACACACGCGTGCGACGCAATAATATGATTGAGTGCGTTGACGCCGCGGCGCGTGGCGGGCTGCATCGACGCTGTAGGTATATTTAGCCGTCGGAGCGACGTGAATTATTTTGGAAGTGCGGCGGAAGCGGCCCCTGGCCCACTTGCAACGAACCGAGCCCCCCCTAGCCTGCTGTGCGGTCCGCGGTATAAATATTTCCAAGAGCGCTCCCCGCTTAATCACCGATCGCTCGTCGAGTGCGTCTGGTGCATCAGATCAGATCCTCTTATGACTGATTTGACACACCGGCCAATTTACGGCCGGATATAATTAAGGCTGTTGTCGGACGTCCATTTTAGATAATAGGCCTCCGGTTCAAAAAGCGTGGTTTTCGAAAATCTAAAATTCTAGCAGTCCTAGAAGACGTTGAATAAGCGTTCAAATAGGGACTTTGACTTGAGTACATCTTTATGCACCTTTACATACATTCATATGAATATATTCTATTTTTAAATAATATTCATATGAACGTAATGCATATATAAATTTGTGGATATTTCCTACTCTACTACTATTTTCTACGATTTGAAGCAAGCAGTAACAAATATGCAAGAACGCTTTTATTTAAACTCGTAAATAACAAACGCATTCCACGCGTGAATTTATCTCAGTATCTGATCTGAGTTCATTGATCCCATTCCAAATTGTTGAAATAAAAAAAAATTAGAAAGCATTACAAATGTTATGTATTAATATAATTAACTGTCGAATTATCGTAATCGACATCTATCAAGAAAATAATCATCTGTCATTTACATAATTATGACCAAAATTAGTGTTGGGAGAGCAACCGTGTCTGAAACTCCAATTACTAAAAAATATATATATATAGATAGCCAACTGTTACTTAGCTAACTTTATAACTTATGCAAAGAATGGTTTTAGGTGTTACGGCAACACCAAACATCACTTCCGCATAGATCGGGCCCCCAGAGACACCCAATTTCTGCCTCGTCACTTACAACTTCAACGGCTCAAGTGCAGCATCAATAATTGTCAGACATTAAATCATCTACGAGCGACCTATTTTTCATTGATACATCCAATTCTCTACATTAGGCTTTATACAAACTAAATGATGAAAAGAAAAGGGACATGTTTTCAATATAGACATTATGTATGTCAAGACACGAACGACGCCGCAAGACCTTTCGTAAACCGATGCCCTCTCTTTAAACAATCGCCCTCTTCGAAATCCGTGCTTCAGACGTCAGAAGAATGCCGTCAAACGGAACGCTCGCCGGGAATCGGATCCAATGGACTGTATATATAGCAACGGAAATAAACGGCTCGGGCTGTCGACGTCGGCGAACGCGAGGCTTCCGATGCCCGGTTGCGACACGAGCCTACGGACAGTACAGACGGAGACAAAACTCCTGAGGCAAAAGTCTTTTCGATAGCGAGGCGAAGGTGGATGCTTTCTACCTTTAGTCCATCGCTAGTTACCATCAAATGGAACTGTGGTTACGAATAGTCATTTGTAATATATAACAAAATTTGTAGTGACATTTAAGGCCAACTGCTGTTATATACTGGCCAGTTTAGACAAAAGCATGGCCTAGCGAACACTTAAATAAAAAAAAATAAATAATTATGTACTGGCCAGTTTAAAGAAAAACCTGATCTTGGTAAATAGTAATTTGTAATATTTGCCAAGATCAGGCAGGAATAAACAGGAAATCTAGGATTCGAATAGAACCTTGCCACGGAAGGATTTGATTTATTCACGCTTCGAATCAAGACAACGTACCTGAATTTTATACACTCGTTAAGGAGTCTATAAAATTCAGTTGTGTTGGTTAACTAATCAGTAGAAGTTAACTAATCAGCTGTGAAATGGCTTTTCAAATGTTGTATGTGGAAATGTGGAAGATCATTCTGATCAATTCAGAGAGTTTAACCATCCTTTCGGCAACTTAAATAACATTTGAAAAGCCATTTGACAGCCTTCTGAGATGATCAGTGTTTCAGAAACAGGCCGTCATACACACACATATTATTAATTTTTCATTGATTAAATATCACACAATACTGTACGCTTGACTGTACTCAACGCGACACAAATACTGAAATCAAACGAAAACTATAACTTTCAAGTATTAGACTTTACAACTTGACAAGTTGCCAAATGGGACTGGCGGTGCCTGTATTCCGTTCTGATATCTAAGCCAAGGGAGGAGAGTGCAAATTCGCGTATATCGTTGCATACGCGAACCCAATTTAAGATGACACTAGTTTACGACCACGCACAAAATCCTGCAGTTTGAGGGCAAAACCGACAATATTTCTACGTAAACATTAACTTTGAACAATGTTTACTACATGCTAACAAGATCGCATTATTTACTATGGAATAGACACTTATCAACAGAGATTTAAAGCACTCTGTCAATAAATCATAAAATAAAGTATTTAAAGTACTTTATGGCGTTAAAATTAGCTGTGTTAGTGCCCCTACACAGCTAATTTTAACTTTTGGTTATAATTGGGTGCCCCCAAGAGCTTCTATCTTTACACGAATGAGCACACTCGTACGGGGAAGTACCACAACCTCACAGAAGACACAGTGTGAAGTGGATGTTATACTTCTGCGTTTTGTCTGGTGAGTAAGGTAAAAGGAGCCCAATTTATTAAAAGATGACATCACACCTGCAACCTTATGAGTGTCCATAGGCAAAAAACATTGCCCTCACTTCCGGATAATCCTGTGTTGTAAAGACGTTTTACAAACATAAATTTCACATGGAAAAAACATCGCACAAATAGTTGTCCCGTGTGGGAATCGAACCCACGACCCCCGAAGCCGAAGCCAATAAATTCCTTGGCAACCGCGCCACATTATTTTACTTTCACGTTTCAATCTGTCCAGGGATGTCGCCAGGACCCAAATTTTTATAGGTAGTCAACATATCTGCAAACCCTCAAGAGCGGTCGATGTCAATATTTCCCTAAAATCATACCATATAAAATTTTATATACTATTAGAATACTTGCGTACATTGGTTACCATGCCGCAATCTTCTTTTACGGGATCCATTTTCTCTTCCCTAGGAATAATAATAACACTCTAATTGTTTTAAAGTAAAAGTAAGAACCTATGACCCACTGCTGGGCAAAGGTCTCTTTTTTACAGAGGACCCACTACAAATTGGCGGACTTCACATATCTTCGAAATATTTTTATTTCATTTCGCAACCTGTATAAGGTTCCCTCGTGGTGATTACCACAACTGAACACGTGATAAGTCTGCACTTAAAATGCAATTAAAAATTTCATTGATGCCCTAGGTTTTGAACTCAGTTTGCTCGAATATATTGAATTACAGCTGAGCTATCACAGCTATTTAATTTGTTAATATCAATAGTCTGTATTCAATTCATACATGTTCAAATATAATCTTTTGGTAAACAAAACATATAAGAATATAACTTTTTGGTAAATATTACTATTTATCATCATTTTATCTTATGGTTTATCTTAATTCTGTTAATTTTTTTTCTCATCCACGTGGGGCCGTGAATACTATTTTAAAAAGTATTGGAAATATTGGAACATGTAGTAAATATCGCACAAAAGTATAATCATGAAGTATGATGGTATAAATGAGCGGCGGGAAATTCTAAATTTAAAAATGACAACCACTGCTGTCATCAGTAAGATGACGTTATTAATACTTAGTACGGCTCACTTAATAAATGTGGCGTCATTCCGTTCATCCTCCTCAGATAAAAGTCTCTCGTCGGAACAAGGACAGTCGTGCGCCGGCTCTATGACGAACAGCGAGAGCCCTGCTGAGAAACCCTCTTCACTCGGGTGCGTAGGGCTCTCATCCCCATCAGGGCTCTCCATGGAGTGGTCCAGGATTTCTATCGGTACAAGGGAAGGCTGAGGACAAAGCATAGAGTTGTTGGATGCAAAAAAAAGAATACTGCTAGTCGGTTATTCTGTTTGTATGTGTGAAGGTTTTTAAAGCGATAAAAGGCAAGCGAGAAGGCGGGACACATGATGTTAAGTGTTCACCGCCGCCCTTGGATATGTACAACATTTGGGGGGCTGCAGATTCTTTGCGAATCTTTGAAAACAGCGAGGCCCAGCTACCTCACACACCAGACGAGAAGTATACTTTTAGTTCCCGCCAGTGAGGCCGTGGGCCGTAATTTCTCGTGCGAGCCTGCCCATGCGTGCAATAGCAGAAACTTCTGCGTGGCCCCACCACAATAGAAGACAGATATTTTAAGAGGTAAACTTGTGATCCTGTCTTTCGTTACTTAGGCAGAGCAAACGGCAGAGCTACGTGTGATTATGCAGCATCTGGTAAAGTCTCAAATAGAAGATATTGTATCATGATGTAACAACAATAAAACGTCAAATTTTTCTTCTTATTGACCAGTGATTAAACAATAGCGTCAGAGTTGTTTAAGTTCCCTACTTGCTCTGTTCAGTCTACCCGAAAAAAACGAAATCGTTTCTATAGGTACAACTCATTTTAAAAAACGAAAAATCTCTATGGACTCTATCCATGATGTGTATGACTTTCGATGCCAAGTTTGTTACAAAATGAGATTTGAACTCTCTGCTAAATAAAAACCAATCACACAAAGTTCATTTAAGTAATGTAAAAATACAACTGTCGCCTGACCAGTGCCTGTTACGTAATAATGATTATGAAATACACACACAGGCTCTACAATGGAGATGTCGCTGGCGGAATTGCTTGCTATAGGGATCTGCTCGCGGGTAGGGTTTGGAGTCGAAGTGCTGACTCTAGCTGCACCAAAGCCAAGCCACATCTGCAACAATAAATACAACATAAACGCACACACATCTTTCCATCGAACGTCTGTTTATGTCTTAAGATCCAACAAAGCTGTACAACTTGTATTTCTGAGGTCACTTTGTAACTAACCAACAAAGCTACATTTCATCCAAATTAATCCCTCACCTTTTTTTCGTTTTTGATTTGCTAATACCCATAGTACAAGCGTTGCTCAATTTGGGACTGGAGAACGTTGTTTGTTGAAAAATGTGTCCGAAAATATTTAATAGGGAAATCTAACTATCATGGCATTCGTTCCACTTTCTTCCATAGCTGCATGTATGTACATAAAACATTACTGTTAACGTAAATATTTCTCCTTAAAATTATAAAAAAAACATAAGGATGCGATCAATTGTGTAAATTAAAACAAAGTACGTCGACTACAGAGTTTATTATCATAACAAAGCGACTACAACATAAGAGGTAACACATGAGAGCTTATGGGAGAGGACGCAGGCAACTTCAGTCGAGCTGGAGAGAGACGCTGCCGTCGGGAGAGGGGTCGGGGCTGCGGTTGGGCCATTCGGCGTCGGGGGCGTCGCGCCGCCTCGGCCTGAGGAGGCGGCGCACCCCAGCGCCCTCTTGGCGCTCAAGGGCCACAGAACCATTCATCGACTTGGTCACCTCCAGCTGGAAATAATCGCGTTTATTTGCTACCAGAGCTATCATGGCTCGCACCGGGCGCTCGCTTTCATTTAATAATAATACTCGAGCAGACCGAGTTCAATCCCCGGTGCCGGCACCAATGAAGTATTTAGTTACAATTTTAAGTGCTGACTAATCTCGCGCTCAGCGGTGAAGGGAAACATCGAAAATATGCAGGTTTTCTCACAAATCCTGTATATTTTCGAAATAATAGGAAAAAAAAATATATTTCGAAGACGTGTGAGGTCATAGTCCACCGCGCGACTCCATTGCAGATTGCCAATCGCAAGTCACGCGGTGGACTATGTCCTAATACCCTCTGTACAAGCCACGCAACTTCCGCTGCGATAAGAACGGACCGTTTTGACTGGGAATGTACCACGAACAAAAAGAATAAAGCATTCAATCCTTCGTTCGGTTATTTATGGGAGGTAGTCACTTACCTAGTAGTCCTTGCTACACTGTTCCATAGTTTGCCACTGTAGTTAGTGTTTGTGTATCTACCCTATGACGTATCATCGAGCACCCAGGTAATGGCAGGACAGTCAATGACGGCCTCTGGCGGGAGCGGACGTCGACCTCAACCTCGACGCAAGCGAGCCAACTACTTACGTGACCCATAGGAGCACTACAGCAACCATCACAGAACTGAACTAAGTCGTCATACCAGTTTATGCCCGGACAGGGACGCCAAACTACGCATCCGCAGTGGTGCCCACCTTTCTAAGTCGTGTCAGTCAATCGTGTCGAACTTTGGAGTGCCAAAGCGTTCTCCTAATCGTGGTGCCCACTCTAACACGTATCGGGATAGTTGTCGAACTTTGGAGGAGCCTGTTATAGAGAGCCTTTGTATACCAGTTTAAATATACCAACGGCCTCCTGTCCCCTCGGATCGGGTGCAGTGTCCTCTATACCTTGGCCTTTGCGCTGCGCAGTGTCCTCTATACCTTGGCCTTTGCGCTGCGCAGTGTCCTCTATACCTTGGCCTTTGCGCTGCGCAGTGTCCTCTATACCTTGGCCTTTGCGCTGCGCAGTGTCCTCTATACCTTGGCCTTTGCGCTGCGCAGTTGGCGCCTCATCTCGCGTATGATGTCGTCCTTGAACTGCAGCCTGAGCGCCGCCGCGAGCCGCTGCTCGTACAGCGCCGCGCATAGGTGGCTCATCGCGCGCACCTCCTCCTTCAGGTCCACGTTCTCCTTGCGGATCGCGCGGATGCTCTCGTTGCTCGTCTGGATAAACGGCGCGGATCGAATGGATTGCGTGGACGGAATTAAACTCTTACGCCCGGCTTCCCGAAACACTGATCACCGTAGAAGTTAACTAAACAGCTGGCAAATCTGATAACTCAGATAACTCTTTCAATTGATCATTCTGAAAACTAAGAAGACCATTCTGATCAATTCAGAGAATTTAACCATCATTTTGTCAACTCAAATGACATTTGAAAAGCCATTTGACAGCTGATTAGCTAACTTCTACGGTGATCAGTGTTTCAGAAACCGGGCGTTAATGAGCCAGTTGACGGATACGTGGTGCTAGTCGAACGGCGGCATTTTTTTTAATGTGAGATAGTAGCATGCAAGCTCGCGGTTCACACTTGCAACTCCCGTGAGGTAGCAGACACGTTGCCACCTTTTAGATAAGTGGGCTCCGGCTACCTCACTCACCAGACGAAACTCGATAGTAGGATACTTCCACGGTACTTCCCCGGACGTACCTGCCCATTCGTGTAACAGCGAAGACTGTTGTGTGGCCCTAATGCGGTAAGAAAGGATGGATGAACAGAGGTTTACCAGCACGATCTTTTCGATCCCGGTATCAAATGCAGCAAAGTAGGCCCTAGACATAGCATGTTTCTCCGTTGACTAGGCAGCCTAGCTGCCATCACGTTTTTGTGATTAGAGCAACTAATGACAACACCTTAGAGCAACTAACCTTTCAAGAAAATATTTTAATGCTTAAATTTTTCTTTGCAAAATTTTTCTTTGTGGATGTCTGCCACATTGTTTTGATAGCTGATACCCAGCCTGAAAGCCTGGGTTTGACCAGCTTTAGACTATAAATGAGTAGGTTAGCCTATTACTTGCCTTCTGCTTCACGTCGAGCTGGTGGTGGCCGTTCGTCTCCGCGCGCTCCTGTGCCGGCACTACCTCACCGCACTGCATCACACGCGTAAATTAAACAGCCTTAAATGGCGAACGAGTTTAAAACGCGTAAAAAAGCGTTAATGCAGTGAAGAGTATGCCTTGGGGTGGTGTCGCTAGTAGTGAGATGGTAGACTGCAATCATGACTATAATCCGTCTCATAAAGCAACGAAATGTGAACATTGGGCTCGCGCCGATGGGGGCTGGTGGGCCCTGATGGTATACCGAATACACCACTTGGGGACGGTTGCAAGAAACTATCGAGTGTTGCTGCAGACTAGCGGGAAAATTAGTGTTGAACTTAGCCGGGCGCCTTCTCTTAGGCGCGTTTAAGAACAGAGTAGGCGAGTATCCGTGCATTCCGTTCGACAACCGGGAACACCACACCTATTGTTTCTCCAAGGTGTTCCACACAATTAACGTACCCCCAGGCTCGAAGCTACAACGCAGTGGCAAGAACTGCCCATATGTAAGGTGAACGTACTAGCTATCATTTTTAATGTGAAAAGTTGGCAAGCGAGCAGGCGGTTCACCTGATAAATAACTTAATATCACCACCACCCATGGGCATCAACAAAAACAGGGTTGTTGGAGATGCGCTGCCAACTTTAAAAAAAGTGACAGTATGATATTATCAGATTACACCGGTCTTCTGTGAGGCTGGGGTACTTCCCAGGAGGAGCCTGCTCATTCTTGCAATGTCGAAAAGTTGGCAAGCGAGCCATCCGGGTGGAACCTGACGACCTCACAAAATCACCACCACCCATGGGCATCAAAAAAACAGAGTTCTGCGCTTCTTCTGGTGAGTGAGGTAGCCGATGTCCACTTTACAATAAGGCAAAGCATCTGTAACGGGCGTTGCAAACGTCAATGGGCGACGGTTATCCCTTGACATCAAGTGAACCGCCAGCAGATTTACCACCTTCTCACAAAAAAAAAATAAGACAAAAACTTCAGTTTCCGCGTAAAATTAAATCATAATAAGAGCGTTCGTTAGGATTGTAATTTTTATATTTTGATGACACTAAAACTAAGATTAAAATATTTAGGACTAAAATATAAAGCAAAGACGCACCGCTGTCACCGGCGCGCTTTCTTCGGTCATAACCACCGCATCTTTTGTGGGCACTTGTCTAGGAAAAAACGAATAAATGTGTGAATTTAATAGCAAAAGTAAATAGAAATAGAATGAACGTATTATAGCTCCGACGTATTTGGACTTCATGGTTTAGATTTAACATAAAATATCTTCATTCTTACTTTAAACGTTTACTGCAGTGGCTAAGACGTTGCATCAGTTCGCGATTAGAGGTCGTTTGTCTGTCACCGAAGACCCTATGATTTTCCACTTCTCGGAGTTTTTGCAATTACAAGTAAAACAGATAAATAGTATTAACTATATGTTAACGGGCTCTGTAACCGTTGAAAACGGTTGTGTTTATTTGCTATACGAAATACGAAACGACGTATCCCTAAATGCAAAGCAAGCGACCTGAATTAAAATCTTTATCATATCTATCATCCAGTTCTTGAGACTTAAAGCTGGTGAAGCTCAACGTTGATCAACAATCATCAACGCAATAACAATAATCAATTTAGCAATACAAGTTGTTGTCAAGCACCAACTGCTCATGCCACACGAATAGACCGGGTCGAGGTAATCAGGCATGAAGCGTTTATACTTTTGATTTTTTTTCGTTGAGCAAGACACCAGGAGGCCCACACTATCAGAAACGGCCCAGAAATGTCTCGTATTGTATGTCCTTGAGTCCGAAAAATACTGGACTGTGCCTACAATAGGTTTATGTCTAAGCATGTTGTTAATACGTAGCTAAAATCTAGGTTAATTAATGAATAGCACCTGTAACTCGAGCTTTCAACTCTTAACGACGCGATGGTTTGCTCGCACTGTTGTACATCGCTCGAGAGCTTACGAATCTCCCTAAGAATTTATAAACGGCGTTTAATCAATGTCTCTGCTATTTAGAGTCTGTCTAACTACATTTGTTTGCATTATCACTAGATAGTATTAAACAAAGTCGTCCCTTTGCATGCTTAGATCTTTAAAAATACGCAACGGATATTGATGCGGTTTTTTTACTAAATAAGAGTGATTCAAGAGGAAGATCTATATGTGTAATACATTGCACCAGTGCGAAGCCGGGGCGGGTCGCTGGTCGCCTATAATCCGCAGTGTTATAATTTCGAGCGCCATGATAACAACAAATAAAGAACCACCTGGAGTGGCGTTCGGAAATTTTTACGTACTCAATAAAAATAACTTTTTTTTGCCAAACCACAGAAGTCTTAGAAAAAAACCCGGCGAAGAATGAAAGTTGTTAACCATGGGGTATTTTAAAACCTCACGGTTTTACGCCAAGCTTAATCAGACAGCGCGTGAAAACATGGAAATTCTGAGAATGCGAAAAGATAGAAGCCTGTGTCGCGACTTATACATACAGTATTATCCGGTGTCTTAGCCGGCGTGTCCAAATAAAGTGATCAATTTTTACGACACAAAGGAAGCTATTTCAGTTCAAAATCTCATTAAAATCCATTAAGATTCTTCGTACCTCTCCTTTGCGAAGTTTTCCTTTTTCAACGTATCATTGAGGACCTTAAGCTCGTTGACTCTGTCGCAAATGTTCTTTTTCTGGTCCCACTGGAACAATACCAGATTGACACTAAATATTTTATTATCGTGGCATAAATGCGAGACAAGAGTCCGTGTCGTTAAAAAACTAAAATGAACTTTACGAAGCGTCACAAATTATAAAATTGTAACAATAACATCAGAGAAGAAAAAGTTATATAGGTAGTAATTTATATACCTAAATAAAATTTTCTATTAATCTAACCTCCATCTATCCAACTTTAGGCTTTTGTATTAAAGTGAATAATGTCGTCTATATGAAAACAATAGAGTGCACTAAGATAATAATCAGGCAAATCTATTTATTTCTTAAAATTAATTACTCTCAGTATTTAAAAAAAACTTAATATGTTTTTCTATAAATCGCAGATCGAGATGAATATTGGACACAAATAATAACAAACAGATTAATTAATAAAGTATATATTCGTTTTAAATAAAAATGTAAAATTTATAAAAAAAACAATAAACGAGCTTATAAAACTGTAAAATTTTCAAATTCCTTCTTGGTCCTCCGTTTGTGGCTTTCCTTGTCGTTTTGGCTGTCATCGAGCTTTGTATCTGGTATCCTGTAAATTAAAAACAGTATAATTATGAACAACAGTAAATGTTTAACAATTGGTAAAGTTAAAAAAAAACAATAAAAAAATGATGTTTTAAACGGAGATGATAATTTAAAAAAAAATCGATATGTATTAAGTTTTCATAGAAACCACATAAATAGGCCAAATGCAAAACTAAATACGCTCTTCAATAAAGTTGCTCCTGGAATAATTCAAACATTGCCCTTAGCCAGACGACCCTAATCAGACGCCAGCAACTACACTGTATCACAGTACAGTGGCGGATTTGTCCTAACACCCAATAGGCTCGTGCCTAAGGCGGCCACATGTTAGTGGCGGGCAATCGTGACAAAACAATTCACTGATGATAACAAAATATACGTTGGGCGCCTAGAAAGGGGCGGCTGGAACTGACATGGTCTGGGGCCTAGGGCGGCCGAGACTACCACCCACAGGTGCAAATAAGCGACGCTGCCACAGCGTACCCGTTGAATCCGAATATGTCCCGCTCGGTGACCTCGTAGAAGCGGATGCCGTGGATGTCCCTGCGGTCGCCCTCGCGCAGCCTCCTCAGCAGCTCGAGGAGCCCTCGCACGTCGGAGTCCTTGCGGGCGAGGCACCGCCTCAGCGCCGCCACTTCCGTGCGCAGCTCGCTCTCGATCTGCACCCGCTTCCGCTCTAACACGGGCCTTACTTCCGCGGTCACTTTTACGGAGCAGGCGGGGACTGAACAATAGTCGGTTCTCGACCGGCACCCGTCTCCGCGGTATCTCTTCAGCCCGATTTACGCTGATAAAGTGTCTAGTGAAGTAAATGAGTACAGTATGTAAATGAGTAAATACATTGGTGTAAACCATCGGACAGTCGCGATTCATCTTGGCTTGCAAGCTGCCTTGCAAATAGACCCATTGAGACCAAAGAATGCGATACTATTTGGATTGTGCAAGACTGCTCGCTACGTCCGATGGTTCACACCACTGTACTTACTCACTGTACTTATCCACATCACTAAAGAACTGAACCTGTGTTAATTGGGCCTTACTGTCGCATTGTGTTACTTTCGCACTCACTTTTACAGAGTAGGCAAGTTTCTACCGCTTACCCCGCGGTTCGGAACACCGCGGCTCTCGTGAACACGTTGCCACTCTTTTAAACGAAACTGCAACAGTCACTGTCGCTAACACTGATCGATTTGCGCCGTGTTTTCCTTACATATTTTAGAAATATCAGACTCCGTTTGAAAAGTTGCTGTGTTTTCTAATACATAATAGACAATAAAAAAAAACAGAACACGCCATTCCCAGTCCCGAACACAAGCGTTATAGAATTTTTGTTATAATAACCCTTATACCGACGAAATAGCAGAGCCCATGTGTAGTGCTTTATAATTAAAAAAAAAGGGTTTCGAACACAGGGTAAATATTAACCTCGAACAAAATATGACGTTATGTAACTGCAAACGAACATGACGAAACTCCCTCTCAAACAATTTTTAAACTATGCTTCCATCTTATACCTCAATATTCCGCCGCCTCTCGAACACTACCCTCGAGGAGACTTCCGCCTCCATCTCCTCGACGGCGCGCGCCAGGAGCCCGTTCTGCTCGACCAAGTCCCCCACCCAAGACCGCAGCAGATCCAACTCTTTCTAAAGAAAACGCAACGCTATAGTCTGTTCTCGTCCATTACATTATCTCAAGAAGCTATTCGAATAAGACTGTCACAATCCGAGATTTTAGGTGACTTTTTGCGAACTATGGATACTGTAGGTGTTAGAATTTTTGGTAACATAAAAAATATTTTTGGTATAGAGAATACTATATAAACTTAGATTTAGAAAAGTAGCTTTCGCACCTATAAAACACGGGAAACAATAAGACTTTATGAATCACTTCCTACTATGAATGAACTATATAAACATTATACGTGACATAGACGCTTTGCTAAGCTATGGGCTTCTACGTCGGGGGTCGTGGGTTCGATTCCCACACGGCGCGTATTTTTGTGAACCACAGATATTTGGTCCTGATCTGATAAGTGGGATACGAGACCGTCGATGATGTCTGATGTCTTCTCTGATGTCTTGAACTTAATCAAAATTGTATCCAAAAACAATTTGTGAATAGCTTATAAAATTGTTAAAGCACTTAATAACAATGATATTTAATATTCTTGTGTTGAGGGTCTCACCTGCAATTTATTTTTTCCTCCCGTTTTATGTATGAGCTCTATCCGCTCCTCGTACGCCCTCTGTACATCTTTGAGTATGTCTAGAGACGGACCGCCTTTACACACGCACAAGCCGGGCTCTTGCTCCACGGGGTGACAGTCCAACAGATTCGCATCCATCATTGCTCATTCATTAAAAAAACATCCGAAAACCTAGTTTAATTCATACTATTTGTGATAAAGTTTAACTATTTAACTGATGCAACATTAAAGCAGGATCGCAGTCATATGACGGTGACATTTTTCTTGTGTCAAAAGGTATTTAATTCAAAGAGGTTTATTGTATCTCATAAGTTTTTTGAAAAATTAAACAAACCATCGAATGTGGCATTGAAATTATTTGTCATTTTTTTTTGCTATGTGGTGTTGAATTTAATAAGATAACAAAACATGATTATTATTATTTATTCAGGCGCGAAATTCTTGACGGCTACCCTCACTTGCATTTTAGCTATGCAGCCACCTTGAATGAATATTTGAATAAAAGGTTAAAAATTGTAGCAATTGAAAATTACCTTTGCTGTGGTTTGATTATATTTTTTTTTAGATTTTTCTCCAGACGAGGAGACGTTTTTCGGGAAGTGAGGATATCGAGCGCTTAGCTCCGTGGGCTAAAGTTACCGAGAAGACGCAAGATCGAATCCTGGCAGTGGCGAAAATTTTTCGACAATTTGTCCCTTCCAAATCTGAATGCATATCTTGAGATAATGAAATAGATAAGAAATTACATTTTAAGTAAACTCACCGGCACGGAAACATGGCCAAGCATAAAATTTGTGAAACATTTTTCTTTCATTTCACGTTGAAATATAGACAAATTCTGATCTGAACACAGATTATTAACGTTCTTGGACAAGATTTCATATTCAATAAGGATTTTTCACGTTGACAATTTAGTTTCATCAAAAAATCACGTTTTAACAAAACTCGACACGTGGAGTTTTAGGCACTTGGAATTGAAAACTGTTCGATTTTTGTTGACTCCCTGTACTTGTTAAGAGCGCGCATTTCCTCCTGTAGCCGTTATAACCGCCTGCAATCGATCTGGCACGCTTTGCATCACATTTTCCGTTAAATTGAACAATGACAACATTTGTTCGATTAATAATACTGTTTGTGTGGACTCAGTGTTACATTTTTATGAATTCCACGGCACCTTTAGATGTTAATCACAATAAAATAAAATAAAATAAAAACTTCGACAACTTATCACTCAATTACCTGAACACAATTTAAAAATCAACTTTGTCGGAACAACGACATGGTTCCTCTAAAACTTTAAAACACAAATCAAAATGCACTGAAGTACTTTCTTAACCCTCTTACGATAACCGTAAACATTATTTCTACCTACCCACATATAGCAGAAAGAAGAGATAATAGATAAGAACTAAGCTAGACACAATTAAAAAAATGTTATCGCAAATTATGACTTTAACTAAGATTCCGTGCCGGTGTGTATAATTAAAAAAAAATTATTTGTTAATGTGTGTGGAATTCTAAAATGATATTGTCACCAGGGAAAAGGAATTTTAGAAATTCAACGCAGTATATAATTGAACTAATAAACAAATCCACTGTTGTTGTCTCAAAGCCTTGGTAACAAACTTGTTTTGTAATTTGTTACGTCCCCAATCACCATTGAATTATAATCGACCACCGGTAAGGCGCGGCGATGTTCATCATCCTAACTTCGGACCGATTGGACACCTCGTCTTTTTTATGTGAAAAGTTGCCAAGCGAACAGGTGGTTCACCTGATGTTAAGTGAATACCACCGCCCATGGACATCTGCTACACCCGAGTGTTGCAGATGCGTTGACAACCTTTTGAAAATTGGGCTCTGGCCACCTCACTCACCAGACGAAACGCGAAAGTATTATACTTCCACTTTACGCTGGTGTTCTGTGAGGTCGTGGTACTTACCCGGACGAGGCTGCCCATTCGTGCAACAGCCGAGGCTGCTGCGTGGCCCTACCACCGTAAAAATAATCTTAAGTAATTAGTATAAATAGTAATATTAAAGTTAGGACTTTTATTAATAAATCGCTTTTTTTAAGATCCTCCGCTGCGCAAACCGTAATTAACCATAGGGAAGGAGTAATTTCCTTAGACGGGAGCATGTTTTAACAACAAAATAAAACAACCATCAACGTTGTAAATCATTTATTCCACGAATATTTTGGCTGATTCTTTGTACCTACATTATTACGCGTATTTAGAGTGCTCCAGTGTTTTTAACACATTCGCTTACGTGTAATATTTACAATTTCAATATGGTAACGAAACAGCGCGTAGAAGAGATGTAGCGTTAATTTTTCACGCTTACTCGTATGCAATACGCGTTTATGAAACAACTACATAGTGATTAGGGCTGTAAAAGCAAGATAAATTGTACAGTACCACGAACCCTCACTGGATTTATTAAGGTAAATTAAAACTTAAGCGTTTCAATAAATAGTAAACAAGCTTAAATTATGATCGGCGACGCTTCATCGTCCGTATCCAAGAGTTACTTGCTAGTAGCCCTATTGCAATGCATCAGACTTGCCAGCCTTTGCTGTATCAGTTATTATTATACAACGTGTCGTTACAACCGCGACAATAAATGAACACACATATAGAGAATAACTTTTTAAAATTGTATTAAGCATTTACATTCTTTAAACATCAATATTTATGGAGTTATGAAATTTTACAAAACAAACATTTTTAGAACAGCCTTACGTATAAAACTGTAACGTTAAGTTCATTTCTAAAGGTCACAAAGCATATGAATGGGTTGAATGAATTTAAAAGAGACAAAACATACTGTTAGAAGGAGAGGCTTGTAATGCGACGAGAAATTTGTTTCTTTTTTACTTAATTAGTTTGTTTGAAAAATATATTATTTTTTAATTATTAATTTTTTTAACGTTTCATATTTTTTTATGATTATTGGCAAGTAGCGTTAGACGTGTGTTCATTTATTGTCGCGGTTGTAACGACACGCTGTATTTAAAGTAAGACAAAAAATGTAAACCAACCCGCAATGCGAACCATAGGGATTAATTAGTAACAACATTTTCACATTCCCTGGCACTGGCGTAAGGAAGTATACAAGATAGGAAACTTCACGAGATTGCGTCAATTCGTCTAGACAACTAATAAATTGGCTTACGGATACCAAACATATTAACACTACGTAATTATAACCTACCTGTTGTTTAATACGTATTGCTTATTAATACGTATATTTTTTCCACGCTCGACTCACACTATAATAGAACCACGTCGCCCTTGAATTACAAGTACGTAGACGAAGTAATAAAAACAATGTCAATACGAAATGCTGTACAAAAAAATGTGGACGGAGCTAAAAAAAAAACTATTTAAACTTCAAGGGACTTACTACAACAGTCACAACTCGTCGGACGTTTAAAAAATTGTTAATCATATTTCATTTCATAATCAGAGTATCGAACAGAGTGTAGACTCAACATCCTCTTTGAAACTTAGCAAATGTTACAAATTTAAACTGTATGTTTTCTTCAGATAAACTATTTTAACGATGAAAATAAAAGTTTAACGCATTATATACTTAAACAGTGTAACAATAAAAGCGAAATTTGCATGAAGAATACTCTATTTCCATGCAAAGATACAACCAAAAGCTTACAGCTTACACTTAATAATCTATAAAACACACGTTACACTAAAAAGTATATTTCGATGTTTTGAAATGCATAATACATTGCCTCGACAAGTTTAAACAAAATTTTACTTAAATTGAAATGCAACAAAAAGCAAAACGTGCCTTCACATACAACTTACTAGAAATAGTCAAGTATCAGTGAATTAGTTCTTATAAAACGGATAATGACCACAATCTCAAACGAATTATTTGTATTATACATAAAGCGAGACAAGGAAAGCCTCTAATTATCTCAAATTTAAAACAAACGACGTCCCTTCAAAGAATTGAGCTCCTACGAAACTGGTAAATATGGGGACAGTGGAGTGATCTAATTTTGCATACTAGTACAGAGTATCTATAAAAAAACATTACAGATTTTATAGAATTTACTTTCAAAACGACAGAAATGTGAGGGAGCGAGAAAAACATGTCGTAAATTAAATCGCTAACTTAAAGGATAAATGTCGGAACATTGGTATAGACGGCAATTTAAACAAAATTTTAATGAATGCAGGCTGATGGTATCAACCTTGGCTCATAAAACCACTTGCAAGAAGCAGCTTGATAACCAAATTACATTATACTATCGTATCTATGATGATAATACATCATTATTTCAGGACATATTACAAATAAAAATAAATATTTCTAAAATACTACTTCTACTAAATTTAGCAAAGCTTATACTATGCATATCACCCAGCCTAGACACTAGAAAAACACATGTTCATCTCACAATATTTTTCCAGGAGTGGGAATCGAACCCACACTGTCTGGCGCAAGAGACAGGGTCACTATCCACCACGCCAATGGGGTCGTCAAATATATTTTTACACAACATATGCCAGTTTCATATCAAAGCTTGTACAGTGAGTCTAGAGCTCTGGTAGACATACCTGATCTAATTTCTTTACAAATAAATAAATACATAAACAACCAGAAACTAGAAAAACACTATGTTTATATCAAAATATTCTCCAGTAGTGGGGATGGAGCCCACACTCTGGCAAAAAGACAATTGTCCTATGCCAATTTATCACTATGCCAATTGTCCTATGTTAAAGGGACTGACCAAGCTAATGAAAATGTTTCTTTCCGGTATTACTCAAATACAATAAATGATATACTTAAAATAAAACTTATTGCCAACAACCCGCACTGCCTTACTTACTCTTAGATCAACGTGTCTAATGTGAAGTGACAGAATGCAATCTCCAATAATCTCAAGAAATCTCCAATATGAAATAACGAAATAGTTAAATTCAGCGCAATACTAATACGGAACTCAGGAACACTAATAAACGTATCAAAACCTTTTCCATTGCAAATACATACATTTTTAGTCATATCGGTCAAACCCAAAGCATAATAGGCTTGTGTGGTTATGGCTACATTAGACTCGAAAACTTTTACTCGCAATATTAGAATTACTCACTTTAACTTTCAGTGGGAGCCATAGATACTAATCCTTTACTTTCTAATTCAACATGACACTCACTTTAGGATACGTATTAAGTTTACTACAACGAAATAACAAAGGGGAAATCGAGTTTGCTGCAGTTAATTAAATCGGCATTTAGTGTAATATTTACAATGAGCAGGTATAATATACTGAAGATGAGTTAAAAATAAAAAACTTTTGTTTTTCTAATAAAAGAGATAAATCATCCAGCTAACATGTTACGACACTTATTTTTTTTTTCATCTATCTGTTTAGTTTCATACAACCAACCCTAATGAAATAAATATCATTAATTATTTCTAATAAAACTAGTAGAACAAAGAAATGAATTAAAGTTTTCTTAAATCGTCAACGGCCACTTTACGAATGTCATACATTATCTGTTACATAATTTACATAATTGTACATTTAAATGTTATTATACAATCTATATTCTGTACATCTTAGCATATATTGATTCGACACATTTTCTATTATTTTCATATTTACAAAACAATTGCTTACTATGGAAACATTTGTTTCCTATAACAAATCTCACAAGAGAATGTTTTATTTAGTCAACAAATTTCCTTACGGTATGTTTTATCAGGGTCTTCGTGGAATATATTAAATACCATAGCTACTCAGAAACATATTCAACGGCCAAGATGGGCATTTTAGGCATGTACCATGTTGGTTGCCCTGCATTATATTTCTCTGGAATAGTATAATGAGAACTACTGAAATCACTATTAGATGGTCACTTTAAGATGGTACACAGAACTACAACACACCTTTGACACATAAAAAAAAAACACCTATTGCAGCATTATGATAGTAGTAAGGTAAACGGAAGCAGCAGGCATATATACATAGTTTAAAACTGATTACCTTACTGTCTATTCATTATATAGGAATTAAATTGTTTTATTGGTTTAATAAAAAAACTGATACAGGATTTGTAGAGAAAAGAAAATTCTCAGATAACATAGGACAATAATAGTTAAGGACTAATAAACTTTGCCAAATCAAAGTGCAATATAAATTTGTATGAATACAGAGTAGTATTAATTAGTGTGTTCTTAAAAGAGACAATTTACATTTGCCTCCAACATACTAGTGGCATGTTTCCATTAAAGAAGATTATTAAAATTTCAATATTCCTAAAAATAAATGCGAGATGGTAGTTCTTTGCGGCCTCTTCCATCCAAGTTTCTCAGCCGCCGTAGAACGGCAGCACAATTCGATCTGAAACCAACAATTGCAATTTGATTACTGCAATTATTTTTAACTCAATATGCCTCAATGCAACATGATTAAGAGCTTTCAACCTCCGAAAACTTATTATGAATAAGACCGAAAGAGTTTAACAATCCTTTTGGCAACTCAAACGACATTTGAAAATCCATTCGGCAGCCGATTAGCTGACTTCTACGATGGTCAGTGTTTCTGAGACCGGGCGTTGGTGACGCTACATAAGTTCAACTTGAAAAAGCAACAAATTGAAACACCTTACCGCCGGAGCGCTAGTAGAACTGCTTGAGCTGCTCGTAGGTGATGAAGAAGATGATGTTCCAGGGGCCCATCCGCAGCCACGTGGGCACGAAGCCCTTGTACAGGGCCCGAAAGCCCTCGTTGCGGACCGTCTGCAAGGAAAGCACTCTCCAAATTCAAATATTCATTATAGGAGCATCACGCTGACTTGTTGCTTGACAAGATACTACTACTGGTTCCGGAAAAGAAGGCCTGTGAAGAACCGGTGAATGAAACTCAGCGGGACATTTGTTTTAACCGACTTCAAAAAAGGAGGTTTCGCAATTCGAATTCGGGGATAACTTCGTCATTTATGAATCGATTTTGATAATTCTTCTTTTGTTGGAAAGGAGATATCCCAAAGGTGGTACCTAGACCAAGGGAACCCAGATCTGATGATGGCATCCTAGGGAAATCGAGGGCAATCCACAAATGTTATGGGTCCTCAAAGATTTTTTTTTGTTCAATATTATTTGTACCCACTATTTCACACTAATAACGGCATATGGTGGCAAACGACGAGGTACAACTGATGTTAAGTGATGGTGGTCACCAACAACAATAACAGGTTGAGTCTGTTACCTCTCTCATTGTCAGCAGTACAAATTCAAAAGTGCAAATGCTACTCGACCCTGAGATATCCGGTGGCCGTATTACGATTCTACACCGTTGTCACAGCTACTAAGAAATTGGCTTCGGAGCAGGGGATCGTGGGTTCGATTCCCAAACGGAAAAAGAACTTAACCCATAGATATTTATTTTGAATATGGGTGTTTTCTTCCCAGTGGGATAAGGGTAGCAGAAAGGAGACGTCTACGTAAGACAACCCTGCCTACCAAATTACCCAAATTCCGAGACAGTAATCTGTCGATTCCCGTAAATTCTCGTTAAAATCAATTTAAGAAATGAAACGAGAAGCTTTGACCATTTATATCAACTTAGCGAAGCAAAGCTTTTAAAAGTAGCAAAAGTGTATTATCTGCGGTAACCTTTATATTAGATGGGAATCCCCTAATCATAGGAAACAGATAAAATAAAGAAGTGTTATGACTAACGTTTCTTACAAAAGGGTGACATACCGTTTTTTCGACCGAACTACCACGAAACAATCAATTTTATATTATTGTCAAATTAAATTATAATTCGCGGAGTTTGGGGAATTCCCCACAAATTTAGCCCTCTTACATTAACGCGGCCAATTTGTTGCAGGGGATTAAAATGTTTTTGTCACGGCCCAGCCCGTAACTATAGTCATAATGAACCTTTAACTCTGATAACACTAAAACTACTAGGGAATCGAATTATAGCCGGCTTTAGAATGTATCGTTTAGCAATTACGACAATTGCATAAATTGGCAACAGATTAGAGTTAAAGGATAATTCGGTCAAAACTTTCCGTTGTTGTTCACTGTACATAAGTGATCCCTCGCTCTTTTATCTATGTTATTAGGGGATTAGTGACACAGATAACGCGCATGGAAAAACTCACACAATATATATACACTATAAAGACATAAATGTAATATAGAATCTCAGCTCTTTTCACAACGACGGGTATTGTTATTGTACATAACGAGTGTAATTTTTTTACGAGTTTGCTTTTTTTTACGAGTTTTTTTACATTTGGAAAACTCTAATATTATATCTATCTATATATATCTATATATATATATATATATATATATATCTTTATATATATCTAATACTATATACATTTCATTTAATATTATATATATCTAATATTATACATATTTCACTTATTTGAATCCTCGTAATTGAGCCGTGATAGCTCAGTGTCCGGGCGCTCGCCTTTAATTCAATATACTCGAGCAACCTGAGTTCGATCCCCGGTGCCGGCACCAATGAAGTTTTTAACTTTAAGTGCTCACTTATCACGTGCTCCGCGGTGAAGGAAAACATCGTGAGGAAACCTGCATATTTTCGAAGTAAAAAAAATATATATTTCGAAGAGATGTGAAATCCACCAATCCGCAGTGGGGCCGCGTGGTGGACTATGCCCTGATACCCTCTGTACAGAGGAGGCCTTTGCCCAGCAGTGGGACATGTATAGGCTGTTACTTTTACTTTACAACGTAATTATTTGGCCTTTTTCCAATAAATCCATAAGATTTTCAAAGTAAACACTTTATTGTTTTCATTCGGTATATTATGGTGTATTCGTAATTTGCTAATTTACGCCCATGGAGATAAATAAATAAATTCACAAGAAATCTATATCAAATGTTATTTCTCCTTCTGTTATCCCACTCACTGTCACTTAAAGTGGGGTCGGCAAATCATGTGAATCACGTTATTAATGGTATCGGCCGGGGTTTTGCAACAACGGGCAACTGACTTCAAACCCTGGGAACAAACACCCAGATCCGGAACAATTAGTAGGTCACACACACTTGTCCCGCGTGGGAATCGAACCCACATCCGAAAGATCGGAAAATTTTCGGGTAGACACTAATTTTTTGAAGCTATACTTCTTTTGGCGGCTTCGGAAAAAGTTATGAGAGTAAAATATTTAGGACGCGCGCGTACACCGACCCACAGAAAGCGACATTGTGAAGTTGATTGCAAGGCAAAGTACGGTAAACTTCACGGTATTACACCCCATCCAATAACAGCCCTTTGACATTTACCTTTACAAATTATAGCTGTTTTTCTTATGTTATACTCTAAAGTAGTGTAACTTGCTTACGGGCGTTCATAAGTACAGATAATTTTTTTACAAATTTGTAGCATTATTATGTGAAAGTCTCAACCTGGTTCACAGATCGAGTCCGATTCGAATGCCGGACCTAGCTGTGGAAAGAGAGCATCGATATTGGCTGTCTCACCTGCACGAAGCAGTCGACGGTGCCCCTGTAGATGGGGGGCCGAGGCCCGGAGTCCTGCTTCAGGCGCCTTTGGTTCATTAGACGCGTCTGCGGAACACAAAGCGAAACGTTAACACACGTTAGCTAATGCAAAGTGAGCAATGCTTGCAATATGCAGCAGGTAACTGATAAACATAGTTAAACACACTTTCTTCTGTAAATAAAAGTATGGGGAAATACCCAAAGCTCAAATCGACGGACTGAAAGACTCAAACAGTATATATATCACACTAGCGCACCGATACTGAGGCACTCTAGATTTTTTTTTTTTTAATGTGAAAAGTAGCCAAGCGAGCAGACGGGTCACCTGATGTTAAGTGAATACCGCCGCCCATGGACATCTGCTACAGCCGAGGGTACCAGATGCGTTGACAACCTTTTGAAAATTGGGCTCCAGCCACCTCACTCACCAGACCAAACGCGAAACGCGGTCTTTTGTGAGGTCGTGGTACGTACCCGGACGGGCCTGCCCATTCGTGCAACAGCCGAGGCTGTTGCGTGGCCCTACCACCGTTACACCATTTTGTGTAATTTGAGTGGCTCTCTTGAAATCTATCTCTTTCCTTGTTATACTTTCCTGCCACATTTGTTTGTCTGATATCGATACAGTTAATGATATTTTTTTTTGTTACAAAATCCAAAATTAAAACAAGAATTAATAAATTAAAAACAAATAATTGATAAAGGAAATAACAGTAAAAAACATTAAAAACAGTGATAAACAATGAATTTAGGTATGATTATGATGATGAACAGTGCAATAAATTTAGGTATGATTTATACATGGACTAATAATACTATTTAAGTTTCTACAAGTACATGGGGAGATCAAGAAATCTGTTTGACAATAAACCAGGCGAAAATAGTTAAAATGAGTAACAACAATCTGTGATTGTTAAAGTAATATAGTATTTTCGGAAAATAATTTTAGCAATTTAGCTTGGCGGCACTATCTGAAAACAAGTCCGATGTAGAAGTTCTCGAGATGTTATTGTAATTCCGAACCATTCTGTTTAAAGGCGCTTGCTGTCCAAGGTTGGATTTACATAAACAGTTCGAGAAAATATTAAATCTAGAGCGTCGGGGCAGCTTTGAGGGAACGGCAAATTTTAAAAGGGACAGCAGATAAGGAGCATCAATAATGCCAATGGCAAGCTTTTGCAGGAAGAGAATTTCGAGCATTGTCCTTCTATCGCTCAGAGAACTCATTCCGAAATGTCTCAGTCGATCAGAGTATGACGTAATGGTTTTCCCCAAATTACAAGAGTAAGTCAGGTGCCACAGAAACCTTTTTTGAACGCTTTCCAGTCTTTTCGCGTAAACGTTATATTTAGGATTCCAAACGACGCAACCATACTCTTAGCCACTGCATATGAGAGCGTTGTACAATAAGATCTAGATCTTGGGGCTTTTGAAATCTTTAGTGTTTCGTAGAACGAAACCAAGGCTTCTAAAACCTTTAGAACAAATGTTGTCTATGTGGAGATTAAATCGCATTTTGCTATCGAGCAACACTCCCAAGTCTCTTACACGATCGACCCTTGAAAACGCCTGGTTTTTGACGACGTATTTGCAATTAGTTAGTAATTAATCCATTTTTCTGGAAAAGCGCATCACAAAGCACTTAGAGATGTTTAAATCCATCTGATTTTTATCACACCAAGCCTCTAGACTGACAAGGTCTTCTTGTAATAAAGCTGAATCTGAGAAGGTATCAACGATTCTAAAAAACTTCAAATCATCAGCGAATAAATAATAGCTTGTATTAAGGAAGCAGTCACTAATGTCATTTATGAAGACTTTGAATAAAAGTGGGCCAAGATGTGATCCCTGTGGGACATCAGAACACACAGTGAAGAGATCAGATCTGTAGCCATTGACTACAAGCAGGGATTTACGATGCGACAGATATGATTTGCACCATCCCAATAAGGGTTCGCCGATACCAAACGCTGAGATTTTTTGTGCTAAAATTTGATGACTCATTCGATCAAAGGCCTTGCTGAAGTCAGTGTAGACTACTTCCACTGATGAGCGAGAATCAACAATCAGGCTTACGTCGTTAACAAAAGATACCAGATTAGTTATGGTGGATCTGTTTCTGATAAAGCCATGCTGCCGGCTGTGAATGAAGTGTTTAAAATGCCAAGTCAGAAGAGGGTGAATCAGCTGTTCAAACACTTTAGCAAATACTGGGAGGATAGATTTGGGTCTATAGTTTCGCACATTTTATTTATCGCCATTCTTAAATAATGGGACAATTAGTGCCGTCTTCCAATGGGAAGGGAAGATGCCAGTATTGATCGATTTATTGTAGATGAGGCATAAAGGTCTAGCCAGAACCGAGGCACATTTATTCACAAATATTGCTAGTAGTCCATCAGATCCAGCACCCTAGATACATCGAGTCTTTTTAAAACCTTCCAAACCTGATCGTGTCTAAGCTTGATAGAGGTTATGTAATTATTGGTAGATAATGTTTGGGCGTAAGTAGAGGAGCTGGAAACAAGGGTGTCGTGTCTATACATGGATGAAAAGTGATCAGCAAATAGATTGCAAATATCTTTGCCATTCGTAGCTGTGTTATTGTTTAAAGTCATTTGAGCTGGATAGTGGCTAGTCCCTCCTTTTTTTTATTTTTATGAATGTCCAGAAAAACTTAGGGTTGGAACGTAGGTTCTGTTCAAGCCCGTTAATGTAATTTTTGTAGCATTGGGTCATTAATTGAACACAACGTTTCCTTCCTAGTTGGTAAGATTGACATTCACTTATATTCTTTAGTATATAAAATTCTCGTGTCACGGTGTTTGTAATGGAACTCCCCCGAAACGGCTCGACTGATTTTCGTGAAAATTTGTGTGCATATCGGCCAGGGTGGAGAATCGGACAGCATCTACTTTTCATCCCCCTAAATGTGGTCCACCCCAAACATTTTCTTCCACTCTACAAATAATTTACATGGCAAAACAACGTTCGCCGGGCCGGCTAGTGTCGTACAAAGTAAAGCGGAACAGCTTCCAATGGCCGATCCAGATCGTCGAAGGTCATCGGACTCACCCGCACCACGTCGAGCGGCGTGCTGGCCACGGCGCTGCCGAGGCTGGCCAGCAGGCTGGAGGCGAGGTGGTTGGGCGGGCGGTCGCCCAGCGCGGGCGCCAGCCGCCGCTTGCACGCGTCGTACACGGGCAGCTCCACGGCCGCGATGAGCGCCGCGCGCTGCGACGTCGGCCCCACGCCGCGCCACAGCCCGCGCACGCCCTCCGCGCGGTACATCGAGGCGAAGCAGCGCGCCACGCCGCGCTTCTCCTCGCCCGTCTGCACCGACCGAACGCAGACTGCTCTTAAGATGCGCAACCGGTCTCCTCCGTCTGCCTCCACCGACGCCCTACTGCCCTTCAGATACACAACTCTACCGGTCCCCTCCGTCTGCCCCCACCGACGACCGACTCCCTTTCGGATACTCAACTTCGTCTACCCCTACCGACGACAGACTGCCCTTCAGATGCTCGACTCTACCGGTCTTCTCCGTCTGCCCCCAACGACGATCGACTGCCCTTCAGGTGCTCGACTCTACCGCTCTTCTCCGCCCACCCCGACCGACGACCGACTGCCCTTAAGATACGCAACTCTACCCGTCTCCTCCGTCTGTCCCCACCGATGTCCGACTCCCCTTCAGATACACAACTCTATCGGTCTCCCCCACTCGCGCTTGCGTGCAAGCGTAAATAATGACCTGAACATTTTCAACCCGTAGCCAACATTGTAACATGCGCGTATATGCGCAAATACATAGACTGAGATATGTTGAACTATAATCACGTTCTAGTCCCCACTCCATGACTCCGTGGCGCAGTGGCTAAGGTGTAAGGCCCACCGTTTTCAAAGAGCAATCAAACAGTAATTCGCTTACGCAATTTACTTTATAATTGTAGTTAATTAGGGAAGTACTCGAAAAATTCTAAGACCATTAGCAAGAGGCCTAGTTCAATTTCGATCATTCTGGAACAACCAACTGCTAACGACAACAGCTCTAAAAACTACGTTCGCTTGTCCGTTCAATTTGTTTGGACCGGCAAACCGTTTACTATAACTAAATACTTTCTATTTTTATTTTGTTGTGTACGACCCTAGAAATTTGGTTCCCTGCACCTTCCTTGCTACACAGCTTCTGTAGCTCATGCCGCATTGCTGACGCAAAGTTGTGGCTGGACGATCGTCTGCGTTTTGCCTGCGAACCCCAAACACCCTACTCGCTTGTCTGTTGCCGTTGCTGCTGAGCTAGTGTATGGATTTATCGCTACGGGAGCTACAGGAAAGTGTCTTGAGAGAACTTTGGTGCATACTCGGTGGCTAGGGTGAACACACGACCCATCTATTTTTGTATATTTTTATTAGAATTGAGTTTTTTTTCCCCTTGTTTCAATGATTGTTAGTTTTAGTTATATAGTTATAGTTTGTTTTTTATTTTTTTTATTAAATAGTTTTGTTACGGTTTGTTGAGCTAGTTATTAATCTAATCTACTCGAAACCTACGTTTCAAAGGTATTATATAGGCTTCGGCGTCGGGGTCATGGGTTTGATTCCCACACGGGACAACTGTTTGTGCAACCCACAGATAGTTGTTTAGCATCTGGGTGTTTGTCCGCGTGAAATTTATGTTTGTAAAACGTTTGTTTTAAAATAGAAAAAAAAACCAATGAAACGGTCAGACCATTTCGCAAGTCGAATCACAGTTCGGTTAAGATTTTCCAAGTCCTCGGCCTACAACCGAAAGGGGTAACATCAAAGCAAACGAAAGACCCTCGACCTACAACCGAAAGGGGAAACATCAAAGCAAATGAAAGACTCTCGACCTACAACCGAAAGGAGCAACATCAAAGCAAATGAAACACACAAATTACCTGCATTCGGACTTTGAGCACGTCAGTGGGGTTGGCGATGGCGCTGGAGAGGCCGCCCGCGAAGGCGGCGCAGAACGTGTTGGTGGGCAAGTGCTCTATGGTGCCGGCGTCCGGCCTGCGCGCTGCGAGCGCCCTCTTCAGCGAGTAGTAAGTGCCGAACTTTATGGTGCCGTAGGTCGCCTGGCGGAGCACGGCCGGCCATATTCTACGGGGCAACGGAGCGTTTTCCGTCACAACGCTGTCACAACTTCCGCATAACAGCTCTTGTCGACGAGAGAACAGTTTTCATAGCGTGTCAGTAAACGGTTATGACGAATACACAAAGCCCAGAAAGGTGGGATTAGCACAGACTTTTGATCTCACTCCCGTATTATCCGGATATTTAATGTGACGCGGCTTAGGTGTAACTCAGTAAATAAAAGTAAAAATTAGTTAGTTACTGTTCTTCACACTGAAAGGCCAATGCCCTGACTTTCTTAAGTATGTCGCGACATGTTGAGGTATTTTTTTTAATTAAAATCTCTAATAATATGACGACGGAATAAACAATGAGCTCACAATAATGTTAAGCTCATTCCTACCGTAAACGAACGGAGTATCAATGTAAATAAGTTTGCAAAAGCGAACTTATTAGCGATAAACAAATAGAAACCATCGAAATACGACGAATTTTACGCACGACTGACTTAGAGAAAAAGCAATTTATGTAAACTTCGCCGTTTCATAAGAACGCGCTGGGGACTATTTGATTAACGATATTTTGAATTTTTGAACTATACTGCACAACCAATTTTCATTAATTTTGGTATAAGGATAGATAAGGACCTTGGAGAAGAAAATAAACTACTCGAAATACTACTCCTGCGTAGGCGAAGTCGCGCCTAATCTTAATTTGGCATATAACACAGCGCAATTTTTAGGCAATCAGTACTATAATAACTATAAAAATGTTTGCAATGAAAACAAGTCCATGAATCAGCGGAAACTTATAGCGTAACATTGACGTTTGGACTTACGGTTGATCTCCGTACCAAGCACCGTACAGTACGCATTTGCAAAATCGATAATTAAGAGGCCTTGACAAACATAATTGTCTACCGATTGCTATTTATTGTTTTGTGTTCTGAAACGGCATTGGTTCAGAAAAAAACATATTTTTCACAACCAACAGAAGTGCTGGATGGTTTTGATTGTTTATTTTGGACACTGTCAATTTTGTATGTGTTAAATTACAACAAAGATTTACTAAATATGCTTACAATAGCGGTGAATATACCTGTAAAATAGCCCATCTAGGGCTAGTGTAAATATGTCCCCATAGGTACTATGATTTAAAAAAAATGTAGGTTTTCAAAACTTCTGTTAATATTAATAAAAGTAATAATATGTATGGTGCAGTAGTATTTTGCCGTTATCTTCATAGAAGTATGATGAAACATATCTTACAGCAGCATAATAATAAATGATTTATGTAAATATTATTGTTTATCAATAGTAATAAAAGATGTAACATGACAAGATATTTTACAATGTGACAGCATGATCAGTCCAAGATATCTAAACCAATAACTTAATCAACAGACAAAATATATTTTTTTGTCTAAAGTTTGACTATGTATGTTATTTGCTGGACATAATACAGTCATTTTTTTTTATTCGAAAAGTTGTCAAACGAGCAGACGGTTCACCTGATGTTAAGTGAATACCGCCGCCCATGGACATCTGCCACACCCGAGGGTTACAGATGCGTTGACAACCTTTTGAAAATTGGGCTCCGGCTACCTCACTCACCAGACGAAACACATTCTATTGTCTTGATAACATATAAAAATTCAATAACTTACAAAGTTGTTGTGTTTTATCTAGCTTATCTAAACATAGATAAGTGTTAGAATTTGCTAAGTGCAGTTATGTCTAAGCAAAAATTAAACATTGTGCAAACAACAAGTCAGTAACACCCAAAGTCCTTGGCTTTTTACTTTTTAATTAAGGCAAATAGGTGATCTGCATTACGCTTATAACTTTCTAGCTAAAACACTTGCTAAGGGCACTTGCTTGTCACCGACTTATCCAAGTGATTCAAATTTATAACTCACCCACAATACAAAGCTTTGATGCCTTCCTGCTTTGAGGTCTTCACAAAACAATCCACCATACCCGTGTAGCGTAGCTCCACATGACGAGGGTCTATCTTTTGCCCCTGAATTTGAAGCCTGGTTTTTGTTGTGTCAATGGGAAATGTGCCTGAGAACGAAAATCTTTATCAAGATTGTCAAACAATAAAAAACAAGCATGAGATACCATAGCTACGGATTGTAAACAGATGATAATAATCCACCTGACCATTCTCGGGTATCAATAACATCATAGCCAAGGCAAGAGATAGTTTCGCCATTGTTTCGTTTACAAAAAGTAAACAGGTCGTTCATGGGGCAAAGTGTGCGCATGTATAATAAAATCACACAGTGCATATTAAGTCTGCCACTTGATGAATATAAACAAAAAATTAAAAGCAAACTTATGGCTAAAGCCTATAATACTATTGCCGAATATCTTGACGACGCCAATGTGTGGGGTTAATACTGTTGATACTCATGTAGGCTAAACAAGACTATTGTACCTGTACTATTGTAAACTAATTTTTTTTAAAAAAGAGCAAATTTTCTTGCCGGTTTCTTCTCAACAGAAACTGCTTTCTGAACCGGTGGTAACTTACGAATGTGTTAATGTCTTTGTAAAATTTTGATGTTTCATAAGAACGCGCAAGCGTCTATGTGAATAAAGATATTTTATTATTATTTATTATAATAGAAAAATTTTCAGGCCCAAGAAGAAAAAAAAAACCAAGCCATATCTATCAGCAAAAATATTTTTCAAGTGAGATACATATTTCTGGTATACAAATCACTCATCTCATCCCTACTGATGATGAATGAATTCTAACTGTAAATAATTATATGTAATATACATATAATTGAAAAAGAATATGTATTTTACATATAAAGAATTATATGTAATTATTTATATATGCAAAGAAACAACACCAAATGGAGGAAAATCCTTCTTATATTTTGACACAGACACCAATAATAGTTTACAAATAAATATCAAACAGCTGATATTCAATAGTTACTTAACTTAGAAAAACCAAGAGTTTACTCTTACTGTACTTCCCTGGCTACCTAAATTCAGTGCTCCCAAATCCCAAAATTGAGTATATTTTACATTTTTATATTCTATTTTAAATAGTTAGGTTGGAGAAATATTGGAGAATAATATTTTTATTTTAATGGATAAAATTTCCAAAACAAAAAAAAATATACATGTGATTCATTTATAGGGTGAGAATTGTTTTTGTACACAAATTTGTAAAATTTATTAATAATATTTTGGTCATTAATTTTGAAATTTTAGGATACAAACATCCTTAATATCCTTACTAAAATTATAAAGGCAAGGTTTGTATGTATGGATGAATGTTTGATACTCTTTCACGCAAATACTACTGAATGGATTTTAAAGAAACTTTACAATAATATAGCTTATACATCAGAATAAGACATAGGCTATAATTTATATACATTTTTATGTATATCTGTCTTTCTGTGTGAATGTTACACCTTCAGCCTATTCTACGCAGACGTAGTCGCGGGCAGCAGCTATAATTCCTGGTCCAAACATATAACTCACCAAACTCTGCCACGATAGAGGCCAACCCGCCATAAATAAACGGTCTCCAGTCTCTATCTCCCATCACATGCGAATACTAGCTGCGGTAAATAGTTTAAGCGGATAAGAAGTTCACTATAATTTACAGTGCTGGATGGAGGTTGAGGTTACCGCTAAGCCACTGAGATAATGCGAAAACAGTTTTCAAAATTTTCATTGATTATTTAGACCTTAAGAGATTTTATAAATATGGAACTGAACACATTTTACATATCGCATGATTTATGATCATTATCTTCTAATTCTAACTCAGAGACATGCAGAAGTCAATGTCAACTATCAATTTATCAGTTGCCCTGAAATTTGCGTACAAAATTGACTTTTTGACTTAAGAGATGACATGACATTTGAAGAAACAGATTTTTCCTATAGGACGTTAAAGCTCATTCTTGCCAAAACAAAAAAATATTTTTGGCAATTATTTACTATAGCAGCGCGCATTTTTCTCTTACAAATGTTTTTAATTGTTACAGAAACATGATTGAATTAATAATTACGAGAAAAAATTCGTAATACCGAAGTTATACTTCTTTTGGTGAGTTTGGAAAAAAATACGGATACCCTCAAAAAACGACATCATGAAGTTGGTTCATCGTGCATTAAAATGATAGTCAATATCGACTTTTTGGGATTTTCCATTCAATTCATTTTTTTTAAAGGTTCACGGATATACTTTTTGTATTTTATATAACTAATGTTACGTTTTCAATCCTAAGACTATTGAAGCTTCATTCAACGCAGAACCGGTGGGCTAGCCAGAACCTAGTGGGTTGAGGCCATCCTCAGTGAGTAGGTTTACGTACTCATTCGTGCGTTAATTATGGCATGTCGCTTTTTTTTTCGTGGGGAAATTCGTTATGGATATCTGGATAATATGGTTCCTCTGAGGGGAACCCTGGGTTATGTCGGACTCGCAGCGACTAAAACCCCACTGTGATCGCCAGCTACTCAAGTGAGGGGTCACGGGATCTCCTTTCGGAACGCTACCGCGGCCCTTCCTTCGTATGGCTTAGATAGCCCCATCCCCATAGTGCTATATTGGCCCTGTACCAGCTTCGGCTTGTTACCTTCACAGCGAACCATTAATATTTAAGGGCCATGACGAGATCCGCGAGCATCCATGCGGCCCTGCCTCCGTGTGGGATCCGTCCTCTCTCTCTCTCCCGCTCAGCAGCCTCCTTCTGGATCCTAACGTTCTCACAGAAGGTAACTACGGCCCTCCATGCCGTATCTCTACTCAGCATCGCTGACACAACTGCTGCCAGAGAGATCCTATCCTACTTCACTCCTTAGGATAGTTCGCTCCGGTTCCCACGCCGCGAAATTCGCGAGGGTATACGATGCAAAGTCCTTATCCCTGCCTCCGCAATGTTTACAGCTCGCAGTCGCCTCACATCGGATCTTGTACAGATTTTATACAGATAAATCTGTATAAGTCTGTAGGTGACTCTTCCTACTTGTCGATACATCCAGGCTTCGAATACCGGCAGGAAAACCTCAACAACGCGTTTGCGAGAATGACGCATGATGATTGATAATGTGAAATATGGAGGAATATTGTCAATACCCACTCAAGTCGGTACGAAAGCTCGTATTTTCTCTTCATAAGGCATGCAAATATTGCCGTGAACATAGATCAGTTTTATTAATAACTAAATACACTTATTGCTGATTTGTTACCGTTCATAATCACATGACGTAACTACATTAAAATAAAATAATTGAGAAATCCCCGTACTATATAGCTTAGGACGAAAGTTGACACACCATAAAATAATTTGCTACCAAATAATAATTAAAAGTAAATAATAAGGCATATATACATATAGATATAAATACAAATATTAATTTATATACAAAAATGTATTTCAAAAATAATAAAGATTTCCTAGAAATCTGCCCCTGTTCATTGGAAAGAAACAGCTTATTTAGTAAGATAAATCAGTTTCTTTAGCTCTGAATCGAATGAAAAAATAATTATTTAAAAAAGATGTAACTTTGTTAAAAAACAAAGAATTGTTTAAAACGAAGTTAATAATGGGTCAAAAAGAAACCCTAAAGAGACTAATTTAGTAATAGTTGTTTGATTGACATGAAAATGCTGAGCGATAATTTAAAGAAGTAACATAAGTGGTTAAATGGTAATAATTTCTATGACGTCAAATAATTTTTTTATGAAAAGTCGATATTATATTATGTGACATTTAATTATTGAGAATTTGATTATATTAAAATTTTTGTTAACTTTATTTACATATTAAATTAAAGTAACTTTAGTTGATGCCATTAATATTTTGCATGCTATTTATATATTAACAATTTAACATAATATGTAGTTCATATGTGGTGAGGTGAGGTGTGTATTAACGATTAATAACACCTCTATACCATGTTGTAGCTAAGAAATGGATAGTATAAAGTACGAAGCATCGAATTTTAGTATTAGTACCATAATTATAGTACAAAATGCAACTCCGCATCCGCGACAATACTAGTAGACCACAGTTTTTTTCCGTCAATTTTTATCTTTTACAGCTTTGAATCTGTTTGAATAAAAATATCGTTTTTGATACGATTTCGATATTCAATTTTTTATATCGATATATCGGATCAAAATATATTGGCCAAAACTATCGATATATTTAAAAAAAGTCGACATATCGATATTTGTTCGGCATCCCTACTATGCTTAAATATTACAGTCTGGCGAAACTAGGAACAAAAAATTTTTCTATGGACTTTACGCGGCAAATAATGGCGGTCATTGCTATCACTCTCCCTCAATGCGGTTTCTCTTTCTTGCATTTCAAGAAGTGCCATGTTGTTTGTCAAAACTTAATTTCGCACCACGTATTTTGAATGTAAATGCTTATTTCATTGTAAATTTAAATTGTTTAGAGTAAACTTTGGTAAATGTAAATAACTTTAACTCCGGCGTAATTCAATTAAAATAAATTTTATACGATAGAGATAAATCTCTAATGAATTAATCAACAAGCAGAATTCGGCGGTCGCTTATAGTTTTCGAGAAAAAAAATATTTAAAACTTGTTTTTTGTACTGAGAAATCCACCAATTTATTTGTTTGACTTCAAAAATTTAATACACAGTTCTGCCAACATGATAAATATAGGAAGCGGGCGACATCATACACGTATCGATATTCCGATTTTTTTAATTTAATGAATCACAGAACTGACACAGAGCGAATCCGACTCGGATAGATTAGGTTAGAAGGTTCAGGCGGGAGCAGAGCTCCCGCCTTAACCTTCGATGTTAGGTTTTTTTTTATGACCACCAAGAAATACGAGCTGAATTGACATATTGACAACAAAAAAATGGCGGATTTCTATAGTAAAAATCACACTATTTCATTATTTATTTTTTCGAAAACTAGAAGCGACCGCCGAATTCTGCTTGTTCATAAATTCATAAGTGATTTTTCTCTATCGTTTAAAATTTATCTGATTTGAATTACGCCGGAGTTAAAGTTATTTACATTTACCTAAACTTTCTCACGAAAACTAATGACAGGTGATCAGAGTTGTACTTTTAATTCAAAATGCCAAAAAGACGGTGACCTGTGAAATTGATGAAAATCGAGCAAGTCATTCGAATCTTGAAAAAAGGATGTTTATGGCGAGATTTCCCTTAGATGAAGCCCATGTAAGCACTTAAATATGATACTTTGCAGCCATATGTAAGTAGAGCAGACTAAGAACAAATAAAATTAACAAATGTATCTCATTTAAATTGTGTGCTAGTGATGTACTGCAACTGTAATATCCACATATCGATAACTACGTTAATGTTTATAATTGAAAAAAATAAGAAATAAAATGTTGCGTGATATAGTAGGGGCACAAAGTTTTACATATTTGAATGGTGTGCCTACATAAATGACCGAGGATCGGAATAGGTGAATTTTGCAGGATTTTGAAACATAATCTCTGTAATATTGATGTCATATAATTAATTTCGTGCGCTGAGTTTGTAAGAAAACTAAAATAATTTTTGGATTTTGATTCTATTTTTATATTTCAATTATTTCCAGACTCGTGTACAGCAGGACAACAGCTTTTGGCTGAAGAATCAAGAAACAAATTTCATTTCAGTAATAAAATTTTATTTTAATTAACAGAAACCGTTTTTTATCTTTTTCTATTTCGGGTCCGTATTAAAGTCCAATCTTCTACCAAATATCCCCTTATCAACATTGGACATAAATACGGTCTCGATACTTACCTACTAAAATTATAAAAAAAATATTAAGTGGAAACCTCGGTTTCTCCCTAGTATCTTTTATCGATATCGATAATAAGCTAAGCTAGCTTGTTTAAGCACTATTTGGCTCGTTACGTTGGTACTAATGTTGTTTGACATCGTTGTGTAGAGATGGGTCGTATCGCTTTTTCTGAGTACCGTATCTGAATCAGATTTCGATTTCAAATATCAGATTTCGAAACTGTGTATTTTAATATCTAGATATTTTACGGTCCCGTATCCACCTTGAATTCTAAAAAAAAAATAATAATAATAAAAAAATAAATTTCATTAAAAATAGAAATTGAAGTAATATAAAAATGATTTATTTCAACATCTTATATATCGCTTAAAATAATTGAGTTTAACATATTCTTACAACACGCAATCATGAGTGAAAATATTTTTATAATTTGTGTAAGAAATAATACATTCAGTATTATAACTTAGGGCGGAAGAATTTAAAATATACACACAAAGCACATAAGCCTTGGTCTGATTTCCACCCAAGCAGCACAGCACTATTAAATTATATTTTTCTTTCTGTGTAGTTTTATTTTTTTTCCAAAAATATGAATTTTAACGAATAAAAATATTCACAAAAAATTTACCTCCTAAAAAATTTCCATTTAAATTTTTCTTCCTTAATTTAGGCAGAAAATTCTTAAGTAGTAAGTTGGCGTCCCTTACTATTACGTGATATGTACCAATGCAATCCAGCTCAAGGTTAAACAAAATTTAAAGACATCGTTAATACCGTAATTCGTATTTAAATGCAACTAAAAATGTTTTTTTCTATGCTGTTAAGATTCAAAATTACTTAACTGCGCGCTTTGTCGCCGTTACGGCTCAAGGCTAAACAAAACAATAAAAATATACTTAATAATATCGTTGTAGTAATCGTTGATACCATGATTAGTATTTAATTGAAACGGATCTTATTTGCATGGTGTTAAGATTCAAAATTACTTAACTTATTCAAAATATCTGTTTAAAAAAATCTGATATTGTGCCTTGCTTGCCGTACTGCTCTAACTAGTGTAATATTTGTATCTCACGCGCTTTGTCTCTCGATATCTGATATCGTGCATTGCTTGCCGTCCCGCTCTAACTAGTGAGTATTTGTATCTCACGCGCTTTGTCTCTCGAAATCTGTTTAAAAATCAGATATTGTGGCAAACGCGTATGATATCGCGATTCGTGTCGGTATAGCGAGCGAGCACGTTACATCAGATTTCGGAAATATCAGATATTGTAAAATACATAGATATTGAACGAGCCAGTAAGCGATATTCGGATATTGTACTAATATCTAGTTTTCATATCTGATACGATATGTATCGCCCACCACTATCGTTGTGGTATTTTTGTGGTATGGTTGGTATTGGAGTGCCGCGCAAACTGATATTTTTGGCTAGTATGGGAGTCCCGTCTCTTAAACGTAGTGATTACATTCTCTTTGAAATATTAAATTAAATGTCAAATCGAATTGGAATGTTTAAACTATATTTTTTAATTACAATTTACGATTAAAAAGTACTCTAAACCCCCCCCCCCCCCCCCCTCACTCCGCAATTTGTATTCTATGATATATCCAAAAACTTTGGTAGGTAGTATATTTTTCGTTATACTATTTTACTATTTTGAAAACATAAAGCAAATTGGATTAAATTAAAATTAGTTTAAATGTTATAAAAAGTATACCATATAAGTATAGTATTGACAGAAGCCAAAAATATAAAAAATGACATAATATTGGTAAGAAGAGTGAAGCAATAAAATTATTTCAACTCTTATAATATGTAATATATTATTAGAAGATTTGTTGTTGCATACCAAGTAATGAATTTTAAATTGCAACAAATCAAAATCAAAATGTTTTGGAACCAAAACGGTCATTCTAATTTCAAATATGAGGTTTTGCAATAGTTTTCAGTATATATGTCTTATCTATGACAGTACATAACAAAACATTCATGATATTACTGTATTGAATTTTAATTTCCTTTACATATTGTAATAATTACAAAGTAGTACATGTAATAATGAAAATCCAATATACACAATTATTTTAATAAATAGTAACTTTCAATATGATACATTTTATTTTAATGAACTTATATAAATAAATAAATTTGTACATTACAGAAGTTATCTGAATCATAAGCACAATGTTTGATGGCTATGCTAACCAAGTACATCAGGATCCCAATCCTGCTCCACCTCAGCAGAAAGTGCTGAGATTTGATAAAGGTTATGTGAAAACATTACCAGGAATACTTAAAATTGTTCAATTGGTTGGTTATTTTATATATTATAGATAATAACATAAAATTTTTGATTGATCACAATGGATTTCCTATTTTAAAAGTTCAACTGAAAGTTATGTGATATGTCAGTGGTAATTATTTGCATTAAGTCTTTCTTTTGCAGTTATGCAACTTTATAGGCTTCATATGCATTAAGATTTCCTGGGCGTGGCTTTCGTCAATATTCTACAACATTTTATATTGGCTGGGTATCATCATCACTGGATTTATTTTCTGCATGTATACATTCCACTTTGTTGAAAAGTATGACCAGTTGCCATGGCTTAAGTTGGAATTTTTCTATTGTGCGGCTATGGTGCTGGCTTATATTGTGCTCTCTATATTTGCCACAACGGTCGGTGAAAACGGGTATGCAGTTGGGGTAAGATTTATCTAATCTCTTTTAATAATTTTAACATAAAGCTTTGTATCTCAGCAATTAAAACATAATTTTTAGAAGTCTAGAATACTATACGTCAAAATCGTAATAAAGAAGAATATCAATGAGTCTTTTCACACAATAACTGACATTTTTGAATAGAGATGCTTCAAATAAGCATATGGTGAATACTAGATATAGTGGTCACACTTTCAACTGAAGAGCAGAAGCATCATGTATTGACAAAAATAAAAATGTTTTCTTACATACATCACATCTTATTACTGATATAATTCAAGTATTAATTAGTGAAAACAATATATGATTGAGTATGTTATAACAAAAGTATTAAAAAAGAATTTTTGCTTTTCAATAATTCATGTTATTAAGAAAATTTTAAATAATTTGCTTTTTTTCTGTATTCAGTTGAGTAGTTGGCAGCATTCAATTAAATACAGTAGTAAAATATAAATCATATTATTAGTAGAGCTTTTGTTTATACTTTGGCAACTGATGATCATTGGTTACTTTTTCAGTTTTTCGGTTTATGTGCAATCATTGGATATGGCTATGATGGATACCTAAAATACAAAGCATGGAAAAGAGGGCTGCCGCCGCAGTAAGTGTGTCTCTTGAACTTGTTATTCGAATTGTAAGCTTTTGTTTTAGTTAAGTGTACACTATTTATTAAACATTGTCTTTATGAAATGCTAATGTTAAGTGTCAGACACAATTTTCTATGAACAGTGTTACAGTTAATTTTTGTCTATTTATACAAGTATTAAATTCCTAATGCAGCCACCAATAGCAGTCATTAGATTAGGTATTTTCTTAAAATAGGGTCCACCAAATCTATTTTATAAAAGCATAGAAAGTTTCTGATGTATTTTTATACTCACCTGTCATACTGATCCCAATTATTTTTAGCAAGAACTATGGTCATGTAAAGAATATTGTAATAAGATTTTTTAGCATTATGTAATATTAATAATATTTAAGTAATGTCAAATGTGGGCCAAAATATGAAAAGAACTGAGATATAAACAAACTAATTTTAGTTTTATTGATACTGCAAAATTAAATTATAAAATTGTGTATCGGTTGTTTATTACAGCTTCTCTTCAAGCTTTGTATTCATAATAACAAATGAAATTAAAAATCTGTGCCTGTTAGACATGAAATTAGTTTTTCAAATAAAAAGTAGTCTCTTTTATCTACATCAATCTTACTAATAATTTTATTAACATCTAACTTCTTTAATTAAGATTTATGCACTTGTGCATATGCAGTATATATAATATACAGCTGATTTCTATGCATGTATAAAACTAATTTGTTGCTGACACTGGCTTTGCTGCATTTTTATTTTATTTATTTTTTATTTTATTGTAACAAAATCCACAGCACTTTTTTAAATATATATGAATCTTATTACAAAAACTTTTTTGGATTTACATTATTCTGCTAAATTGTTTAAATTACAACAGTAGAAAACATGATAACTTTTGATACTTAGGCATTATTATGGATTACTTGTATGTGTGTGTTTCTGTGCGTGTGTGTGAGTGTGTGGTTAAGATGCCATTTCCTCCTCCAATACTTTTAATACCCTGCATTCTCATAATAGTCCTAATTTTTTGATTCACACGTTTGAAAATGGTATATAAATTTGTATGAAGATATGTTTGTTTGACAGTGTTTGTAACAAATTACCTTTCACGGTTGTATTAACAGATAATTGTAATCTGTCAATCTTGCACAGTATTCTTTGCTTTGGTAAAGGTAAGGAAAGTAATATTGATAATTGAACATTATGTATAACAATTCTGTTGCCATTCATTTACTTACACGTTTTAACTTTTTTTTTGTAAATCATAGTAATCATGTACAATAGATTTAAATCTTAAAATGAAAACTAAATTTATAATTCTATCATACATCTATAAAATTATGTTTGGTGTTCAAAATGTAAAAGGAAATTTCCTATTTCACTTTGGGCTTTTTAGGCACAAGAGGCTCTTCTTTTAAACATGCATTCAAAAGCTTATATGATGTATGGTTTTTAATAAAAAAAAAATTCTTAAATGCAAATAATAACTTTCCTGTTATGTTTTTGTGCTAAATATTAAAATTTAAAAAAACTTTGTAATAAATGCTAAACAAAAGACAATCATAGAATATGTATATTTTACACAGGTGGCGCTAAGGTTATAACCTTAACCATATATAACATTTTTATTTCATCTTGAATTACGTATATATTGAGTGAATAATATACGTAATTCAAGATGAAATAAAAACCAGCCAAATGCGCCACCAGACTCGCGCACGAATGTTCCCTACCATTATTTATAATAAAGTAATAAGTACCTATAGGTTGCCTAGCAACCGCCTCACCCTTTTGGGTTATTACTGTAAAATACAAACTGACTGACTATTCCTCGATGAATTGAATTTGTATTTTTCGAAAGATTTTTAATGAGAGTATGAATAATTAGGTATATTAAGTACTGGGATATTTACATTATTACCCATTTGTGCCTTGTCATCATATTATTCACTATAAAAATACTATTTACATGTAAACAAATCCTGCTAAACTTGCTCACAGATTTGGTTAAACAGTTATAACATTAATAATTACAGATTAAAATATTTACTAATCATTAAAAATTTGTAATTATTTAATATTAAGGTTATAAATTTCATTTCGTTTTTCTTGTTAATTTATTAGGAATCAATAGAGGTAGGAATTCTTTTTGTATGAAGATTGTTGTTAAAACATACGAGTTTTACATTTGATACCACATTATTGTTTTAGACATGTTTAATCTTATTGTATTATGTACTTACAAAGTATTATTTGTATTCAATTAAACTATACTTTTTTTAAAATAATAAAAAACTTTGTAACATATTTCATAGTTTTTATTAAACATTACACCACAATAAATATCTATATAACAATTTGGCTTAATCATCAGCCTTAATTGGAATTCAACAGCGAAAATAGACGAAATATTAATTATATACAAAACATTTGGTGGATAATGAGATTGTGATAAAAACAAAAGAATAGTTTCTTCAATGTCATTGAATCGTTGTGTGGAGTAAATTTTGATTTTCCATGAATCATTGTGCACAATAATGTGAACATGAGTTAAAAACTACAGTTATTCTTTAAAACACTGTCTACTTATATATAAGACTTAAAAATTATTAAGCGTATTAAAGATATAAATACAGATTATGTTTTGACACAAGCGTGAGCGAGATGCGTTCACACGGACGGAGAAATGTCGCACGGAAGCACGTGATATTACTTACGCATTTAAAGTAACGCTTATGTAAATAGAAGATAAATTAATTGTTAAGTGATTATTTTTACAGCTGTACATAATAGAAGGCGGTATTGGTCAAACTTGATAATTGTGACTTAGTGTAAAAATACAGGACAAGTGCGTATCGAACTCGTACACCGAGGGTTCAGTACCTACTCATTATACCGCCATATTACAATTGGTAAATTATCACCTCCGATTTTCTCAGGAACGGGTGGACCTAGAAAGTTAATTTTCACCTTTTTTATTTGTGCTGTAATACCTTGCTTTTTGCTAAATTTTATGATTCAAGGTCAACGGGAAGTACCAAATACGCTTTCGATCCAGAACCTATAGGTAAGACAGACCTCAGTATCTAGTATAAATTTCAACTTCCTAGGTCCACCCGTACCCGTGAAATTCGGTTGTGACACACACGGACAGACAGACGAAAAAGAGAATGATTTTATAACGGTTTTAAGATACCGAACCCTAAAAATGTAATGCGTTAATCATTGAGTTTGGAATAATATCACACTCTAGTAGATGTAGTAGAAGTTCCGCCGTTTCATGTAGGTGGAGGTATATTCTAGTATATGAGTTATTGTCTATATAATAATGTATGAAGGAATAAACACAGATCGAACAAGTAGTAAAACGTTACAGGAAAATCACAGAAGCACAAAGATTACATAATTGAGGATAAAACATATTTATTATAGGTAAGACTAGATCTATTAATAAATATGCACCAGTGGTTGTTTAGAATAAAGTTAAGTACAAATCACAGTAACAAGTACAATCAAAGTAATAACTGTTTATAATTTTTTTTATTACGAATGTGCAGATTAATGCATGACTTACCCTAAAAGAATTATTAATATAAATAAAAATATAGCGTCACAAGCTGTCTTGTAGTTAAAATTTTATTTTTTATCAGCCGTAAGGGCTGATAAAAAATAATTCAGTTAAATGATCTTGGCAAAAAAAACGTTTCAAAGATTTGATTTCGAAAAAAGATATGCAATATCATTTGAGACACCAAATAAACAATCTTATACATGAATTTGAAAAGATTTTAAACATAATAAATAATTAATAATATTTCAAGACATACTTTTACTAAACGTAATCTAGCCCCAAACTAAGCAATGCTTGTACTATGGGTACTAAGTAACTGATTTGCATACTTACGCATAGTTTTCTATTGTAAATAAGTGCGTATTATACATACGTCACATAAGCACTTTGTGGTAGGGGCACGCACACGTCTTCGTGTTGCACGAATGGGCAGGTCCGACCGGCGTGAAGTGGGAAGTGTTATAGTTTTGCGTTTCATCTTGTGAGTGAGGTAGCCGGGGCCCACTTTGATAAAAATCAGCAACGCGTCTGCAACCCTACGGATATTGCGTGTCTATGGGCGGCGGTTATCAGTTAACATCAGGTGAACAGCAAGCTGAAATAACTTAAGGACTACGGATTTTTTGCGATTTACAGTATTTGGTCCGGGTAAATTTCTATTATTAATATTTTTATATGCTACAAACACAAACATGTCTTTGGCCATATATGTATATATATCTCAAACTGGGATAAACTGTCTGAGTATCTTCTTAGTATGAAGTGAACAATCCTACTTGAAGTTGTGACACTGTGTTGTGTGTATTGTAGTTTACTTGTGTTTTTCATGCCCAAATTCATGCAAACGGACCAAAATGATAGCTTTCCATTATGTAGGACCGTCGACTGGTAACCAACTGAATGTTGTATAAAGTACTACTTGCGAGAGCACGCAAGGGATCGTCCATTTTTTAAACCCCCCTTCTCCGTTTGTGATACCTGGTGAGGCTCAAGACATACCTACCCAAAATCACGTGTATTTGTGTGTGTTTTTAGTATTTTCACATGTGTTTTTAGTACAGTATCTTAAAAATACAATAAGTATAAATTGAAACCGTGACAAAAATGTCCAGTCATACTGTTTCTGACGGGCGGGGAATATGGAGGGACGAGGGCGAGGGCTAGGGCAGCGCGGGCGGCGGGGCCACGTGGCTCTGCTTGGCCACGACTCTGTTCCCCTGCGCCGGCTCCCCGCCCCGCCACGCGCGCCCCTTCGCAAACGCGTCGAACCCGTACAGCACCATCGCCAGGTAGCCGAAGAACTGCCGGCCGAGGGTTCACGGAAATAGGACGAGGCAAAAACCACAAGTTAACGGTCATGTGGTTAAAAATATCCTCTCACTGAGTTTTCATATTTTTATTACACACATGCACACAGCTGACCCAGTGCGATAGGGTGGCCAAAATTTATAAAATGGTCGAAACAAACAATAAAAACTAACAATTCCATGAAACCAGTTATTGGCAAAATCGCTAAAGTATCAGTGGAGCAGAGCAGTGGAATTTCGCAGTTTTATTTTGAATTAATATACAGATATAAATAGGTCCAATGTATTTTCTCTCAGGGCCCATAAACCTTAAGGTTTGTATGGGCCTTGCACGTTCTCAAAAATTACGGACTATAATGCCCTTGTACCAGGGTGACACTGAAAGTTTTTGGAACTGGCCAGTTTGTAGAAACTTTGTCAATGAAAAATTCTTTTAAATTTTGAAAATAGAACTTTTTGATAACATAATGTGGTATATTGCATTCATTTATCGTTTGTTTTTGTGAATTGGCGAAAATTCAAAAAGTCTTGTTACATCTCAAAATAAGTTTAACGCAAGAGAATTTTCGGTCCGTGATTTATTACGACTCTAGTCTTGGTCTTACTCATCATCCATCCTTCAACAGCCGCATCTGAAGATAACAATCAGATAAAAACCAGCAGATTCGGATAAGCTTAGGCACTGGTATGAGTTAAGTACAAAAAATTTTACACAACCATTTAGGCTTTTCAGCTATTCAGGAAGCTTTGTACCAGATGGATTCCCCAGTGGGTGTTTCCTTTGGAAGCTAATGAAAGTAAAAAAAGGAATACGTCGAGGGAAAAAAAATTATTGCCTCGTTTTTCTGTCGGAAAGGTCATTTCGCGACAGTTGTGCTGGAAGATTTCGCGACAGTTACTGTAGACTGGTATGTTAACCTTTATTTGCCTATTATCTTGGAAAATGTTCAACAGCAGCGCCCTCGAAGCAGGATCCTCCTTCACCACTACGACGCTTCAGCGCAATCCGCGAAACAAACAATTCAATATTTGACTATGATTTGACTACTACAGGGGTCGAGATAATGAGTCATCCGCCATGTTGTCCATGGCGTACGTGAACTGAAGATGCAATTAGCGACTTCAAATATATTAGAGAAGAGACCCTTTACGAAAAACCACTGCTTTTCTCAGTGGTTCTTTCGAATGCGAAGAAGAATAGAGGTACAGAGACTACTTCAAACAACAATAAAAGTACTGGCAACTTTCTACATTGTACCGTTTTGTGATTCTCTAAGAACTTCCAGTGTAACCCACTTATTACCCGCCATTTCTTGATGTTTTGTTACATTAAAAGTATATTCTGCTATAAAAATAAGTGAAAAATAAAAACTTGAAGAAATCTATGAATTTAGATATTTGCTTCCCATTGAAATTCTAAAATTTTCAAGATTTGGAGACTTGAGGCGTTTTTGAGACCCCATTTGTACAAAGCCATTTATGTAAGTAAAGTAAAAGCCTGTACATGTCCCACGGCTGGGCAAAGGCCTCCTCTATTCAAAGGGTATCAGGGCATAGTCCACCACGCGGCCCCACTGCGGATTGGCGGATTTCACATATCTTCGAAATGTCTTTTTTTTTTGTTATTATTTCGAAAATATGCAGGTTTCCTCACGATGTTTTCTTTCACCGCGGAGCACGTGATAAGTCAGCACTTAAAGTTAAAAACTTCATTGGTGCCGGCACCGGGGATCGAACTCAGGTTGCTCGAGTATATTGAATTAAAGGCGAGCGCCCGGACACTGAGCTATCACGGCTCTTATTATTTATGTACTTAGGTTTAATAAAAAATCCCAGTGCCTACATTGTAATCAATCGCAATAGTATTGAACTATATATAAACTAACTATACTTGATATTGTTAACTGCAACTAATGTACGTTAAACATAGTTAATTGTAATAAATAAAGTTATCGTTATTACCCCGGCGGCTGAATATGCTGCGGAGCCGAAAGCCACTACGATCGTGGACGCGATTAGGTAAAGGAAAGCGATCGCGCCGCACGCCACCATCTCGATCTTCAGCCATTTCAATTTATGGTATTTCTCAACAACATGGAACAGGTATAGCAGCAGCATAATTGCGGAGAACCAGAGCCCTATGTGGGCTACGACGTTGAAGTAAACTCCGCTCCCGTGAAACCAGAACGCAGACGACTGTACGCATATGAAGCCAAACAGATTCAGGACCTGAGATTAAAAGAGATCAAACTATTAAAACATTAATAACCAAGTGAGAGTTGAATAGCAAGATTTCCTAAAAGTTGACAAAAATAAAAACTACAAATATTTCAGAACAAGTTTGTTGCAAAAAATTACTATTTATTTATAAAATTGCCTACGAAATGTAGATACTAATGTGGGGCAGTGTGAAGTTTATTAATTTAATGTATCTCGTCAGGTTTAGCCACAGTTTGCAATGTATGCAAGCAGACAATATGTTACTACATCACATCACAAATCTTTAAATATCTTGGCTTTTCTTTACTACAATATACATGTATACTACATATAAATCTTCATCTTGAATCACTATCTATTGCTGAAAACTGCATTAAAATCCGTTGCATTGTTTAAAAGATTAACACAAAAACAACACCTGAGGGCCGAGGGCTTGACTAGATGACTTGACAACCTTTAAAAAATTGGGCCCTGATTACTATTCCAGATGAAAATTAAGAGCGAGGCAAGTGTGAGGTCTTGGTTATTCACCAAATGTACCCCCCCTTTCATATAACAGTAGAGGCTGATGAGTGACCATACCATATTTAAAATTATGTCATAGTACTCACAATTACTGCAACTTTAATCATTCCTGGTAATGTTTTGATATATGAGGAATCAAAACGTGTTTCTGTTATGAAAACTGTATTAGTGGAGCCCAATGTCTGGGGTGGTGCATCAGGTTGACTTGGGTATGCGGCCATTCCGATGCCTGCAAAATATTCAGCAATATTATTTTCATTAATTTAATTTTTTCATGAAATATATTGCTAATCAATAAATCTATTATAGCAGAACATAAAAACGTCTAAAAAAATCATGTGTTAATATTTTACTATGATTTTTAAATTTTTTATAAACCAAACACGAACCACCGACAAAAAGTGTTGCTCAACATTAATAACATTGGTATTAAAAATAGTAAATTAGTAGGTGTCAATTCCACAAAGCAAACTATTGAATATTAATTCTATATGTATATGTGTAAGAAAGTAGCGTTTACTTACAAAATTACTGTACTGAGTCTCCAATACGATTTTTTAACGAAAAAATATTAGGCTTAGGTGTTATCTCCCAATTGCAACATTCAGATAAATACGGATGCCTGATATGGCATTTTAGTCAGTGTATCTCCTTGACACTAAATTATGAACGTATCAAGTACACACTGAATGTTGTTAAATGCATCAATGACTCATATTTTTGAATAACAAATCATGCGGTAACTCAATTTGTTTACAAATTCCATTAAAAACTGATGAGCACATCTTCACATTGTCTCATTATTTAACAAACATTAAACTATTTAAAAAGTATTGTAGTAGCAGGAAAAGTTTGTATTAAACATATATAAAAAAGTAAAATCGATAAAAGAATCTCATTTTAAAAAAATCCTTCAATACCCAGTAAATCAACAAATCGAAACTGTCAAAACATTATTAGCCTATTTATTTACGTTCCGTTCGTGTTATCTAAGAATATAACATTCATAAACATTGTCGTCTAGAGTCTTATCGCACATTTTGTATTCATAAGTATAAATAATAAATTTATATTTATTACTTCAGTTAAACTGAAGTTAAAAATATAATGGAATACCATTTAAGGTAATTTTATTTACTTACTTATCAAAATAAAATAATAGTTCCTCAGATATGATAATAATCAAAATATTATCAATGTCGCTTAATAGACGACGACTCGGTGACTCAATTACAATTTTGTGATTTCATCAGATTCACGAAACATAGATAAGTTATCACGTTTGAAATATATAATAAAAAAGTGGGTGGATGTGCGATGAGTGTATGTCAATTGTCAACTTTGGCATTAAATATTTCGTGAATTTCGTCACACGATATTTTCAATTACATTCTAACAATAAATCAGTGAATTCGTGAATATATTTTCGAGCAAATTAACTAAGTATCTGCTAATGCATGACAATTGAAGTGTTGTTTTAAATATATCTACGTGAGTTTCTCCACTTAGTTTTTAATAGTTCTGCCTATTTTAGTTTTTGCAACTCTTTTAACATTCAATATAGTTTTGGGTGGTGACAAAGCTATGATTTTTTAAAAAAATGGAAATCCATGTAATCAGTCATAATTGGGTTGCTGTTATAATTATCCTTATCGCCCTTATAACTTCTATGTGGCAAAGAATTGATTCTCTATTTATTATATTATCTCTATATATTTGTAATTAAGCTAATGCTCGAATTCGGACATATTGTGATATTTATTATTTACTATGAGTTTTCCCTTAATGTGTTATATTTTGATGCACTTGGATTTTTTGTAGATACACCTATGACATTTTATACCTCAAGGACACATATCTTGTCTAAATCACATTACCATCTATTTACATAAAATAATGTTATCTTAATGATTTGTTACATTACCCAATACCCAGGGTTGGATTTAGGTATGGTGAAAAAGATTTTGTGAAACATTTATAGTACACATAATTTTGATTTTATCAGGCATTAATTTACTCGTCTTCCAAGTTCATCACTTCTTCAATATTAGTTTTATCCTTAGATTTTAGTCTTATTAACATATCCTCAGTAGGAATCACGGAGTAATGAAAACAAGGTAGAGAAAACTGTTTTCTCTATTCCATGTTAGGAATAAACTTTAAAATTGGTAAAATTCCCACTTTTATTACCATCTTTTCTACAACCCACTTTTATTAAATCTTTGACGACCCGATTGGCGTGGGGAGTAGTGACCCTGCCTCTTGCGCCAGAGGGTGTGGATTCGATCCCCACTACTGGAAAAATATTGTGTGATGAACATCGTGTTTTTCCAGTGTCTGGGTGTTTATATATGTATAACATGTATTTATTTACAAAAGAAAAGTATGTTTAAGTATGTTTATCAGTTTATCTAGTACCCATAGTACAAGCTTTGCTTAGTTTGGGACTAGAGAATGTTGTGGAGAGGGAAAAGATGTATCCGATATTATATATTATATTATATTATTATATCTTTGATACCATCAAAAGACAATATAATGGCATCTATGGATTATGTTTATTTCTTATCTTAGTTTAGGAAATAAGAAATTAGTCATACTATTAGACTTTGATGAACTCTTTTACCTACCTTATAACATGATATGCAAAGTTACTCTTCAACAAGCGAAGTATTGAAAGCAAAAGTGTGTTTAACGGGAAGTCCCCATAAATAGTTCATTGAAAAATTATTTATAAATTAAAGATTATTACAATTTTAATATAATGGCTCCATCAAGTAAAGATTATTTATAATCCCTGTTAATAATTGACAATGACATTGACACATGGTCAAAAAAATCATCAAAAGAGCATCAAACTTAATATGGCACTTGAGACTTCCATACAATTAAAGAGATCATTATATAGATAATACATCTAATGTAGCTAGCTTAGATATCGCAAGATCTCTTCGAAATACATACTAATATTCATATTTACATTTTTGTTGTTGTAGGTATAATAATAATGGCAGAAGTGGGGTTCCCTGGTCAGCATACAACAACAACAACAGTAACTTCAAGCACTACAGTGCAAACGAATATACGTTTTGACCCACTGTATATTAGGACCATACCGGGCATTCTGAAAGTTGTACAAGTTGTAAGTAACAATTTCTAATCCATCTCTGAGGCCCGGTTTCTGAAACACTGATCATCACAGAAATTAACTAATAAGCTGTCAAATGGCTTTTCAAGTGTCATTTGAGTTACCAAAAGGATAGTTAAATTCTCTGATTAGTTAATTTCTACAATGATCAGTATTTCAGTAACCAGGCATCATTCTATTTTTCTTTATTACCTTTGTTTAAATAAAAGTTTTTATAGCTTTTATATTATGATGCCCAAACAAATTTATAGATAAAGAACAAACAAATGTTATTGCCGATAGCACTGTACTTCCTAAATCTTAATTTCTAAGAATAATTTCATTTCATTATATGTTAATCATCCTCTTTATACAATGCTTTTCTAAGTAAATCCATTTTTTAAAATTAGATTCTAGACATAAATAATGTTATATAAAAATGATAAATATTTAAAATCTTTTGTAATTAATTAATTACATTCATTTGAACTTATCTCAAAAAGTGCGTGTTTTATGGGCAACTCATTTCTTTTACGCGCAAACATTCATAACTAACACGCACACATGTTCGTTTCAAAACAATACGACGCATTATGAATGGCATTGTCAACAAGTTCTGATTTTAGGGAATAGAATTGCATTTAAAAAAAAAGTTGTTTTCATTTTAATAAACGATTTTACTATAAAGTCTGTACCTCCTTTTCTTTCGTCTTTTTTACGGTGGTAGGGCCACGCAGCAGCCTCGGCTGTTGCACGAATGGGCAGGCCCGTCCGGGTAAGTACCACGACCTCACAGAAGACCAGCGTAAAGTGGAAGTATGACAAATACTTTCGCGTTTCGTCTGGTGAGTGAGGTAGCCGGAGCCCAATTTTCAAAAGGTTGTCAACGTCTCTGTAACCCTCGGGTGCGGCAGATGTCCATGGGCGGCGGTATTCACTTAACATCAGGTGAACCGTCTGCTCGTTTGACAACTATTCACATAAAAAAAAAATTCTGTGTGAATTTGGGCACCTTTAGAAAAGCCACCCTGTATAAATTGGATCTTGATTAAATAGGCTTCATGATGTCTTTTCTAGAATATATGATATAAGCAAAATGAAAAAGGTAAAGTTTATAGTTTAATATTGTCTTAGAGCAAATAATTTTTGTGTGGTTTCCAAAATTAATGTTCTATTTAATAATATATAAGTTAACAAATTTAACTTAAACAGTGTTAAATATAACATGAAACACTTCTAGTAAGCTTGACACTTTGTAGTCAGCAACTTTCCTGCAAAAGAGAACAGACAGTATATTAAAATTTGATTTAAATCAAAAACTTTTGTATCATTATATAGTTTTGAAATATGACAATATTTTAAATAAATACCTGTATTTTTTTTTTTGATACGATTAAACGAAAAGACAATCTTTATTGATCTAATATTTACAAGATTAAATCTATCTAAAATTACATATTATGTAATAAACCTAATCCACGCGGCATGGTGCCAAGAACGCTAGCTAAATTTCCTCGCTGAATAGTTATGCTCAACCTTTGCGCGAGAAAAGAACCAGCTCTCTTGTCACCAGCCGCGGCGTTAAGCCTAGGACATAAACTTTTAAAAAAATTGATGTGCGGGGACCCCACGGACCTAATGTTTCAACAGCAAATGGCACAAATACATAATCTGAACATAAAGACTCATATTTGCGCCATTTACTTACTTCAGCTGCCTCCGATGCCGCCCCGGCCCTGACCGAAGTACCCCTTAGATGAGAGGCAGCCAAAGTGTCTACACAAGTGGCGTCCCAAACAAGGGCTTTGCCTCTCTCCCAAGGGATCAATGTTAAACCGTCGGGTCTCTTACCATCGTCGCATAAAATGCCACAGGGCTCTAAAATAGATGGAACATTGATGGAAACAAGAGCCCTACGGATGATGTCGTTCAGGGAACCGTGGCGAGAAAAACGGCCAGCACTTTTTTGACAAGAAAGCCCGTGGAGACCAAATTTGTCTACACTGACACCACAAGGGCATTGGTGTGGTTGACAAATCGGTGACCCCAGACGGATTCCTACAGCAATGCGTAAGCTTTCATCGTCAAGTAATGTGCCCAAGTTACTTGATGGTAAAGCGTGAAGCCAATAACTCGATTCTTTAGATGAGACTCCTAGGAAACGGGCACGCTCTAAATTACTTTCTAAAGATTGAAACGTATCTCTCTGTACTCTCCGCACCAAAGGAACATCCCACTGTTTTTGTAGGTTTACTTCCAGTGGGATATTTTCGTTGGGACAGATAGACAGCCAAGACATCCTTGCCTCCTCTGCATAGGAAAGTTCTGAATCGTGATTAAGGATGTTATTACATAAATTATTTACCATAGCGTAAATAGTTTATGTACGGAAAGCAAGGAAGGCAGGTAGAGCGACACTAGAAATTTTCCTTACACCGATACCACCAAAACGAATTGGCAGCGTAGCTTGAGTCCAGCTTAATTCATTAAGAGATAAATTTAGAATTTTTTCTAGAGCTGATTTAAGATGGAAATCAATTTCGTTCAAAAAGTCACCGCATTTCCAAACTGGACTCGAGCGAAGGAGGTGCGTAAATTTAGGTACAAGAATACAATGTCGCAAAATAGTAAGCGCAATATGCGAATTTAGTAAAAACAATTTATTGACATGATCTAAAAATTGACAACTTTAATTTTAAATGAGGTTCCAGACTTGGTATCAACAAAGGAGCACCTAAGAGGTAAAGTGAATCTGAACGGACTACGTTAATTCCCGGTATGATAGAGCTAAAATTTTGGGTCAAAATGATTTTGTCGGAAAAAGAAATCTTTTCGGAAAAGAAAAGTTCGCATTTGGAATTATAACTGTATTGTTTTAAGTTAATATGTACCATAATAATCTAATAGAGTCAAATAATCTAAATCACATTCTTATTTAATACACTATTTTTATTAGGGATTTACACATTTAGGCATACCTACTATTCAACTACTGATAAACCTTTATAAAAGTACAATTAATACCAATGCAAAAGAATTTTCAAAATTTTTGAGTTTAATCTTAACAATCAAACAAATAAAAAAAACATGTGTGTAAGAAGTTATACTTCTTTAACATAACAAAAGGAAAGAACTAAAAATTTTATACCCCGTGCCAGCACTCTTTGTGAAAAGGACATTAAATGATAACGGTTTAATTAAATAACTTAGAATTATAGGTAAATCTTAAAAAGTTGTTATTGGTAGCCATGGTGAAGGCAACCAACTTCATCATCACAAGTTTATTTAAACATCACAAAATAAATATCGTGAAAACAGTTGTCAGTTCTCACGCAAACATACGTAGATGTCGGTTTTTCGAGACGGCGCGCGCATCGTAAAAATTTACTCTCATCATTTTTCCCTAACGCGCCAAAAGAAGTACAACTATAAAAATTAAATCTTTCTTCTTTATAATATTAGTTTTGAATATAAGAACATGATTTTATTATTAGATCTGCTGTAAAGTGAGTTTAATTATATGTAACTTGAATTTCATGATATTACGTACATCTTAAGCTCGCATTGCCATTGAGGTTGCCATCGATATAATGGAGCCCGAAGGCACGTTTCCTGTAAAAGCCATGGCAGCCGCTGCGAGGCTGCCTACCACCACACCTGTAGCTCCAAACCCAAGCTTCGCCAGTAACCATAGTCCCTTGCCGGTATACACAACAATGCCAGCTAGCACGTTTACGAGGCATGACGCGAAAACGTTACCCATTTTCAGTGTACAGCCTGCCGCTTAAATAGCTGGAAAACAACACGTTAGAACTATATACCACTAGCTTGCAATCGTTGGAATGACTACACACAAATATTAACGAGAAGATAACCTTTGGAGTTTTATGTAAGGTGCATTCGGGTATTTACGAAACGATTTGAGAATAGTTGACGGTATGTTAGAATTTTCGTTTACCAGTCAGAATTGGTGTAGTTAATGCTATCGACTAAGGTCGCATAGTTAACTTGAATATACATCTTAAAACATTATTCCAATGACTATTATTAATATACTCAGTATTTTACAATAAAACTATTTCAAAATTAGATTCTTTTTTTGTTGTGTAAGTGCAACTCCGAAGTATGCTAGGGTAATTCTGAATGACATTTAAAACTGAATTTTACTGAGCTGAGCTATGAAAAGATACATTTCTTTTTCGTCCTCATTTACCCTTGCAAAATATATAGTTCCCTACTATCCCCTGAGTAGATTAAACATACTCATGCGACATTCATATTTCGGAATTACGCTACATTTAGTGCAAGTTCGGTCTACGATAACTAAACTTTAGGGACCATGGTAAATGATAAAGTATGTGAAATAAAGTGAAAAACAAGAAGTATCAAAGTTGTATTTAAAGTAAAATAATGGAATTATTGAGACAACATAAATGATTCAAAGCATAATTGAGTTCTGAGTGGCAAAATAAATATAAGTAAAAAAAAAATTGTCACCCAGTTCGAAACATTAACTTAAAAATACACACAGTGTGCTCTTTCTGCAAACTACAGACAATTCGAGTAATATTTTTGATAATGTAATCTTGTAAATTTATCTATAATTATGAATAATTAATTTAAAACTTTAGGTTATTAGTATAATTAGCAAGATTTTATGCCAAAAAAATATGTAAAAGAATACCTATGATAATCCTAAAAAGGCGGAAAATTGCTCTCAATCCTAGAAATTGTGTTGAACACATGCACTCGCTCACAGCTACCTGAATCAACTTCAGGACAATTCTGTACCATAGACTAGGGATGCCGAAAAAATATCGATATGTCGATATAAAAATTGAATATCGAAATCGTATCTAAAACGATATTTGTATTAAAATTTAATTCAGCTGAATAATCTGATACAAAGAAAATGCACGAAAAAAACAAAACTGTTGTCTATGATCTCAATTTGATGCTTCCTACTGTATACTAGGGATGGGTAAGTAAAAAAATATATCGATATTTATCGTATCGACATTTTTAAAAACTATCGATTATTATCGAGTTAAAAATATCAATATATCGATATATTATTTTTTTACTTTTTTGTGCCATAAGTACTTGTTATTACTTTTTGCTGTGGCCAATAAAGTTCAATTGTTTTGAACATAATAGGAGGCGTAATCGCTTTTTAGCGATAAGGCCGCCTATTGTACAGTTTTGTATTAGTTTTTTGTTGATTATTCAATATCTGTTATCAGTGTACAATAAAGTATATTTAATTAATTCATAAATCATAAGAATATAAACTAGATCTTAGATTTGTGTTAAAATAAGTAAACAATTTATTTTTAACTAAATAAATAAAGCATCATTATTCTCGAAAATTAGGCGGCATTAGCGACTTACAACAAATAAACGTCGTTAATTTCATTCTGAAAACATATACACTTTGTGTATTTAATTATTTATTTATTTTACAATTTTAGGGAAACTAACAGCTAGCACATGATTAAAGTATTTGATTAGAAGTACAGAAGGCCAATTATAAGTTTTCACAATTAGTTAAATATAAAGAATATAACGCGTACATAGAAGTATAACGGAGTGTAAGGTCACAGTTATGATAAAATTTACAAAATTTGCTAAGCAGTTTTTTAATCTGATAGACAGATGTATTATAAAAATCAACGTCGTGTTGCTTAGCTACCGCGTTAAAACATCTGCTTGCTCAAATAAAGAAGGAATTCTGCCTGTAATTCGTTCTAGCTGATGATACGTGTAAGACTGCAAGTTTGCGATATGCGGCGGTTGGAACTCTTAAACTTATGTTGTGTAATAACTCTGGACAATCGACCGAGCCATTTGCTATGTTAAGTAGATAAGCAATATCTGCTATTCGCCTTCTATCTTCAAGTGGAAGAAAGTGAAAAGTTTGGCACCGTTTAATGTGGTCTGAAATATAACATTTAGTTCGAAATTGCAAATATCGTAAAAAGCGTATTTGTAAGCTGTATTTGTTCGATAAGATCAACATAGATGCTATAATTTGGATTCCAAACTTGAGAGGCATATTCCAGATGACTGGCGCACATAGGCGCAGTATAGGATTTTAAATGTTTTTATGGAGTTAAAGTCACTTGACATGCGCATTACAAACCCTAATGCTTTAGATGCTTTATTGATTATATTATTAATGTGTTCATCAAAACGTAATACGAAGAAAAATCGCATCCTCAAAGCATTTTATCTGTTTGAGGATTTTCATGTCATCTGCATATAAAATTATTTTAGAGTGATGGAAACAGGTTAAGGTGTCGTTAATAAAAATATTAAAAAGCAAAGGCTCTAACAAGGATCCTTGCGGGACACCAGATGGAATCTTTAATGTGGCTGAAGTATAACCGTTTAGTACAACGGTTTGACATCTTTTTTGGACGTAAGAAGAAAACCATCTATATAAGTTACCTCTTATACTAATAAATTGAAGCTTACGCAAAAGTATCAAATGATCGATTCTATCAAAACATTTTCTGTAGTCAGTGTAAACTACATCGACTTGTGATGGCAGATCCATATGCTTTGAGATGTAGTCGTTGATGATGTACGAAGCTGGCGCGAGGCCTGCTTTAAACGAGTCTCGGGGGCCCTGTCCCCATTACTCGGGCATGTATCTCGACCAGCGAATGGCTGGTCGGTGGTGAGGATGGCCATCGGCCATCCCTATCCCTGACCGCGGTAGCGGCACTTGCGGGTGTACGGCGTTACACGCGGTGTGTAACGCGAGGACGACATCGTCTTCGACACAGCGGCGGAAGTGCGGTCGGGTCCGGCCCCCCAATGGCCTGTTCCGACCGCAGTAGCTCTCGTGGGAGCGGACGTCCGTCAGGAGGACGGGCGTGGAGTGGAGCAATATTCTCCAGGTGTGGGTGTGGGCCCGTTGTCAGCCCTGTCGTACAAGCGACGGGCCAACCGGACCACAAACTCCTCGATGGACACGATCTTCAGGTCTCTGGCGATTACGTCGTTCCTGACGTAACGCCCGGCTCCCACGATTGCTCGAAGGGCGAGGTTCTGCTGCGCCTGGAGCCTGCGCCTCTGCGAGGCGGAAACCAGTGCATACCACGCCGGAGCGGCGTAGGTCAAGCGCGAACGGATGTAGGTTTTATAGACGCCCAGTTTCGTCTTAACAGGTAGCTTGGATGCCAGGATTGGGTAAAGGACCGCTCGAGCTGCCCTGGCTTGTCGAACAGAGTGTTCGACTTGGGGCGCCATACTCAGCGAGCGGTCTATCCGGCACCCAAGATACCTGATGGTGTCCTGGTTCGTTATCGCTTGACCTCGCAGCTCAAGCGTGGGTTGGTGTTTGATGTGGCGGATGAAGATGGCGGACGTTTTGTCAACATTGACAGACATCCGCCACCTATCCAACCACTCGGGCAGCAGGTCCAATTGGCGCTGCATCTTCCTCGCCGCAAACGCCGCGTTGTGTGAAGACGTGAAGAACGCACTGTCGTCCGCGTACAGGGCCAACAGTACGTCTTCATCCCAGTCGGAGGCGTTTTGCTCCAAGGTGGGAATGTCGTCCGTGTACACCGCATACAGGTGTGGCGACAGACAACTACCTTGTGGTACACCGGCTTTGATGCATCGTACCGCCGAGTCGGCTCCCTCGACGTGCACGACGAACTTCCGGTCCTGAAGAAATGACGCTACTAACCGCACGAGCGCACGGTGGGTGGTGGTGTTTTCTAACAGCTTGTGCAGCAGACCCTCGTGCCACACTCTGTCGAAGGCCTTCTCCATGTCGAGAAGGACCCCCAGACAGATGCGGCCCCTGTTGTACTGGGCCGCAAGATAGTGCAGCACTCGGGCCAGCTGCGCTGTGGTGGAGTGGCCGCTGCGGAAACCGAACTGTTCCCTGCGTAGCTCGATGCAGGGAACTATTCTCCGCAGCAGCAACCGTTCGAAAAGTTTTGCTACGTGCGGCAGTAGCGTGATTGGCCGGTAGCTCGCCGGAAGTCGTCGGTCCTTGCCCGGTTTCGGCAGGACGATGATCTTGCCGGTTTTCCACTCAGAGGGGAAGTGCGCCGTGCGCAGTACACCATTATACAGGCGGCACAGCGCAACTAACCCCTTTTTCGGTAGTTGCCTTATCGCCAACGTCGTGATTCCGTCGATGCCGGGTGCCTTGCGGAGCGCGAGTTGACTCGCGGCTCTACGCACTTCGGCCGGAGTGATGAAAAGTCCACCATCCAGCCGTGGCACCGGCTCCGACAGGAACACCTGTATGTGCCGCTCCACTTCTTGGTGGAACGCAATGGCGCCTGGGGCCGATGTATTGGGCACGAATTGCCCTTCTAAGTGCTCTGCCAGAATGTCAGCCCTGTCTTGGGCTGCAACGTGCTTACGTCCGTCACTGCCCACGAGTGGACAGATGGGTTGTGGCGTTCGGCTGAGCTGCCGGTTAAGGTGGTGAAGGGAGGTCTGCGACTCGGAGGCCTGCTCTATGCGGCGCTCCCACCCCTCACCCCTGTACGCCTTGATGGCTGCCGACAGCTCATCCTTGACCCGATTTAGACGTGTCTTCACTCGTGGGCAGCGAGTGCGTGCCCACAGCCTCCTGAGCTCCCTCTTCTCGTGCAGTCGATCGAGGAGCCTACGCGGGAGTTTGTCTTTTCGGTGCACCTGTGGCACCGCCTTGGTCGCCGCGCGCAATTCTTCCTGTATTTTACAGGTGATTTTGCACGCGGCCTGTTCCACGTCCTCCGCGGTTGAGATGGGTGCACCGAAACTGAAGTCGGACATAGCTCTCGAATAGGCCCCCCAATCGGTCCTGTACCTAGGGCCTCTGGGAGCCAGTGAGTCCGCAGCCAGACTCAGCACGATGAGCACAGGGAGGTGCTGCGTGTCCGCATCATACAGCACCTCTACCTGGACAGGGCATGGCACTTTGTGGCAGAGCACGATGTCCAGGACATCCGGAACTTGGTGTTCGTCGGCGGGTACGTGTGTGGGCTCGTCGGGGCCCAACACTTCGTAACCCGCCTCTTCTGCGTCCTCGTATAGCCTCCTGCCAGCGGGGGACACGACTCGCGATCCCCACGATGGATGTTTATCGTTGAAGTCCCCCGCTATAATGGCAGGAGTGTTGTCGGAAAAAATATTCCGGATGTCTCTGGCATTGAAGGGTGAGCTGGGCGGGCGATACGCAGCGAACATGCGTATCTCTTTCCCGCCCGCGTGGAAGATGTAGTCGCTGCTAACAATAAGGTTAGATGTAGTAGATCTACCTTTTAGAAAACCATGTTGCTCCAGAATGAGTGCGTGCTTCAGGGTTTCATATAATTGCTTATAGACAACTCTTTCAAAAATTTTTGCAAACAGACACAGCTTTGAGATAGGCCTATAATTATCGACCATATCTTTCGGTCCTTGTTTATGGATTGGTGTGATGTACGCCGACTTCCAAATAGTGGGAACGACACCTTCGTTCAGAGAACGTATAAATAGGTAAGTCAGAGGTGTCGTTAGACTATTTGCACACCGGGTGATAAAAAGAGCTGAAATGTAGTGGATATGTTCCAGATTAAACAGTTAATATAAAAAAGTGCGAAAATTGTTTAGCAATGAAGGTACATGTACATTTCGTACTATATTATTTTCTATATCATACAGTACAATTAGCAAAAATATAGTACGATACTATATATTATATTACAGGTGGCAACCCTCACTGAATTGGATAAAGTGGCTTACAGTTTGTTAAATAATAGCGGCGCAAAAAGGTCGTGGTTGCAACTGTTGAAGACGATGAATCTCAACCAACACGAAATAGAATCGCGTTATCAAAGTTTTCGTCGAGTGAAACCATTTTATACTATGTAGTGTGGTTAGAAGTACTAATTTTAACACAATCTGTACAGCGTTACACTCATTTAAATATTTCCAGAACTATTTAAAATTTACATTTGCTTTCACACAAAACTAGAACAAAAAAAGGACTGACTGGCCCAAAAAAAAAAAAATGTAAACAAATCCTTAATATTATAAAGGCGAAAGTTTGTATGTATGGATGGATGTTTGTTACTCTTTCACGCAAATACTACTGAATGGATTTTAATGAAACTGTACAATAATATAACATATACATCAGAATAAGACAGCTACGCGCTGCAGTTTACGCTTTCAATCTATTCTACGCAGACGTAGTCGCGGGCAGCAGCTAGTATGAAATAATATCCATGCGACGTGCTCACCGGCTCGAACTCCGGGAATTTCAGCGATTATTCCAATTCATTGTTCATGCTTCATGCAATTCGACTCTGAACTTTAAGTAAAACGACTTAAGCTTGCAAGGGTTTGACCTTTGCATTACGAACGACAGCATTAACAACTGGTAATACATTATAGACTGTATTTCATTGGTAAAAAGTTTACTTTTAATTGCAAGGATTGCTTTGTAAACGAAAGACGCGACGGACGATAGGTGAACCATTGCAACGAAGACTGTTTGAACCCAGGGCGAAAAACGGTTTCAAATAGTGTTATTTATTTGTTAATAATCATTACATTCACACATTGCTGTAGTGCCTTGGTCACCTTATTACGCAATCCATGTATATAGAATAGAAAGAGTTCAGAAAAATGTACTGCCGAAATTATCATACCGTTACTGCCTTAGACGAATACTACCAGAATATGAGGATCGATTAAAATATTTTAAAACGGAAAGTCTTGAAGACCGAAAGCAACGCAGCAGTTTAGTATTTTTGTATAAGATTGTAATTCGATAACACGCACTGAGCTATTAGCCAGAATAAACATCAACACAAATTATCGTAGTCGGAATGCTAAACTATGTTACATACCATATAGCACAATTAAGTTCGCTCAAAATAACCCAATGTACAGAATGTAGAATGAAGGAGCGTATTCATTCGAAAAATAGATATTTCAAACTTTCTTTTTGCCCCTGATAAAGCCCTAATGCCCTCGCGTGAGTATAGGCTGTTAGTTTAGTCTGATGTCGTTCCAGGTGTGCAGCCTGCTCGGTTTCATCTGCATCCAGTTCTCCTGGTTCAACAACGCCAGCAAGGGCTCCTACTTCAGCTGGATATCGATGATCGCCTTCTGGTTCACGGGCATCCTGCTCGGCTTCTACCTGTTCCACATCGTTGAGAAGTTCTACAAGATCCCCTGGCTCAGGATTGAGTTCGTGTTCTGCTCCCTGTGGACCTTGCTATACGTGATCGCCGCCATCTTGGCTGTCACCGTCAGGGACAACCCCCATTCCGCTGCGGCGGTGAGTATTATCCTTTGTAATATTTAAAACTGCAACTTGAAAATCTTTTCGATACACCTGTTATGGGCGACAGAACATAATCAATGCAAACATTCGATTAGCAGAAACAACATTTAAATTTATTTATTTTTATGTGAGATCACCTGATGTTAAGTGATAACACCTTTTAATAAATTGGGCCCCGGTTACCTCACTCACCAGACGAAACGCAGAAGTGCAACGCTTCTACTTCACGCCGGTATTCTGTTAGGTCGTGGTACTAACCCGGACGGACCTGCCCATCCATTCAACAGCGAACACTGTTGCGCGGCCCTACCACATAAATTTATTCAGGTTATATGCACAATGAAAATATTAAATTTCGTCGCGTCGCACTTTTTAATCGACTTCAAAAGTAGGAGGTTCTCAATTCCACTGTATTTTTTTTTATGTTTGTTACCTCAGAACTTTCGATAGAGGGAACCGAATTTGATGATTCTCTTTATTTGAAAGCCGGTGCTTCCCGTGTGGTACCATATTAATTTCATTGGTATTGGATCTTGGGCTCCGGAGATATTTAGGGAAATCAATTATAAAATGAATACAGAGAGAGATATTTGAAGTCGGTTTTGTTTGTCGTTAGTAAAAAATTCTTAACTATTTGGACGTAATAAAATTTTGATGATACAATTGTTTTACATGATATTTTAACACAGCATCACAAATTTTAGCTTAGGTACTATTGAGTAATCGAATGCGATCGGATTGACTTAATTAAGTTTAGATAACTTCTCCAAGATTTATGTAAACTCGATAGCTGCCTATAAAAGTTTGAGTAACAACAAGGAGCGTCACCATACCTTATATTGAGGCTTTATAACATGTACTGCTATGCCAGTGTGATTGCGAAAAGAAAGTTAATCCATACGCATCGCACGTACCGAATGAAATCTGGGTAGGACGCTCATACGACAGGATTGACCTTTTTTTATGTGAGAAAGTGAAGAAATATATACAGCGTGTCGTTACAACCGCGACAATAAATGAACACACATATAGAGGATAACTTTTTAAAATTGTATTAAGCATTTACATTCTTTAAACATCAATATTTACCGAGTTATTAAATTTTACTAAACAAACATTTTTAGAACATTCTTACGTATAAAACTGTAACGTAACGTGTAAACCTTCACAAATGAACTTTACATTTGTGAAGGTCACAAAGCATATGAATGGGTTGAATGAATTTAAAGAGACAAAACATACTGTTAGAACGAGAGGCTTGTAATGCGACGCTGTGGCGCGAGTTGTATAGGATGTTTCAAATTTTGTTTCTTTTTTACTTAATTAGTTTGTTTGAAAAATATATTTTTTTTAATTATCGATTTTGTTTAACGTTAATATTTTTTTTATGATTATTGGCAAGTAGCGTTAGTCGTGTGTTCATTTATTGTCGCGATGGTAACGACACGCTGTATATAGATATATTATGTATTAAGCAGTGCCGCTGCTTACTATGGGCTGTCACTTGATACTGTTTAAATCCGCCGCTCAGTTCTTCGCGTTCGTCGCGACCGCCGCGTACGCAATGGACGCGTTCGTGAAATGGCGGGCGGTGCGCGCGGGCGGCCTGGCGCAGGGCACCCGCGTCGTCTCCAAACAGACCACGTCCACGGTCAACACGCCCCCGCGCGAGGGCTACTAGCTGTCGGCACACCCGCCTCGGTAGTCGGCCGAACTGAAGCATCGGGCTTCACGGCCCTAAAACACCAACTATTTACACCGCACGCGACACCGGCACGCCCAACACCGCACACCCAACTTGAACTCGCCCCATTACGCAGTCGAGTATTAAGATGCTTTCGTCAATGTAGTTTTATAATACCTAAGTATACCACGGCTATGTTATATTGACAATTTTATTACGACACAGGGTCTGCGTCGTCCCAACGTTTTAAACAATCATCTCATTTGACAATTCAAAATGAAGCAATTATTAACGTCTCTATGTATAATTGACGTAAAGGCATCATTATATTTTTTTAACATTTTGGTAACCACTTCGATTTTAATCATTATCTGTTTTTAACTAACATGTAACTTAAAATATAACAACACCTAAAATTTAACCTTTATACAAATCGACATCCCTCACTTTTTTGTCTTGCTTTTTAGGTATCCTTTGTTTTTGTTAAAGTGAGATATTTTTAATATATTCCTGTTATTGAATAATATGTACTTAATAACTGTTCACCTTAGATGTAGGCATTAGGCATTTTTTTTTACTATACCTGTAAGTGTTGCAGTTTTTTTTACAAGTTAGTATTTTATATTGTTGCATATTCTAACTCACAAAGAATATCTATTACTCACCCGTGAATTCCCACGATTGTCTTTTTCTGTGTGAAATCAATTAATATTCCGCCGGAAGTGTCCACGACTTAATTTTTTATTAATCATGTAAAAAAATTATATCAAATTTAAATATAAGCATATTTTAATATTACATTTTATAATTGTCAATAAATATTTGTTATGCAAATAAAAAATAATTATTCATATAAATTTCATGTTGGAAGTATCTTTTTAAATATTGTAACTGGTTAGTATTCGTCATAAAATTTTGAAATCAATATATTTTTTTATTGTAAAAATATTCATATCGTTTCTAGTTAAATTCTAGTTGACATATTACAAAATTATAATATGACAATACATATTTTTGTAGAAATATTCTTAACTAAAAAGCATTAACAAATAGTACAAGAAATTATATCCATCATCAGACTGTATTGTAATTTCAAGAAATTGTCAGATTTTCTATTGTTCATTTCAGTCCACACTAGATCAATTAAGAATCTACTCTAGTAATAATCCACATCGTATTTTATCGTGACCACTAATAAAACCAAAGAGAATAATATACATAACATAAATGTATTCAAAGCTGTCCAATTTTTAAAATAATAATGTGATACAAAATGAATCTAAAGTAAATAAAGTTTGCTACATGACACTGGCATCATCTGACGATTTTTTTACGAATTTATGTTTAAAAAGGGGTTTTATATGAATTAATGTTATTTCACATATGTTAACATAGAATATAATGTTTAGTAATAACTATTATATATAACTTTATAAGTATATTGTACAAATATTTAATCGCTTTTCGACTTATACTGCAATTTTCTTAACATTTTACTTCTTTTTATTTTCTACAATATATATTCTTATTTAAAATTTTAAATTCATTGCTAAATATAAATAAATAATCAAATATTTTTTTACTTCTACTTTCAGAGTACGTTTAAAGTATTTTGTATCTATTAAATAAATAAAAGAGTTTTCTGCAACTATTATGACACATTCAACTATGAAGAATGTATTTGATTAAGATGAAGTATTTTTCATATTATTACATGCTTTTATTTTTATATGTATATACTTTTTAAATGACAAATGTGTAATAAACGTAATTAGCAAATTATTATTTTTATTATAATATGAATTTTATAGAAAAAATCAGAGACAGTAATGTTTGATAATTTCTTTTGTTTTACGATTAACTATAAATAATTTTTGTTTAGCTTTAAGTTGTTTTTTTAAGAAATTAACCACCTTTGAGTAAGTTAAGTTTACTGTTTTAATTAATTAACTTTGAAATATTTTATATTGTATTTACACCGAGATAACATAATCAGTTGATTCTGCACTGCCAAGTAATTAATTAATGAATGAATTAGAAAATGAGTTCAAAAAGGAATTATGTCAATCTTAACTTTATTTAGACTAAGATTTTCTGTTTCAGCTAAAATTATGTCTTAACTTATTTTTATTTTATGTATTGATATGCGTCCCGTATAGTTTAATTATCTTTATCAGTGGTTATTGTTGTGCCTTTAATTGTTAGCGTGGGATAATTCTCATCTGATATTGCAACGATGTACCTTCCGTAATTGCGTCGCTCAAAGCACCTCTGGTGTGCACAAGGTTTAATTTGTTATTATTTCTGGGCAGTTGTCTTCTTCATAACTGTTAAAACAACTTTCCTATCCGCTTGTATAGACCCAACTAAGAGTTTCTTAATTTACTTATATCAGTACTTTGACAATATTCAACATTTAGTGGAATATTTTGTATCTTAAGTGTTTTTGTTATTTCCGAACGAATTGCATCAAAGGGAGTAGCAGAGTCAACATATCAATTTTATAACACTTAATACATACCGACAATGCTCATTTTTATATGTTGTTATAGTTAATGTTATGATTTGACTGTTATAACTATATAGTATAGATAATTATAAATCATATACTAATATTCAGATGTGCATGTATCGTCATGTAATGTCGATACATACACATCTAAAGGTTGAAGACAATGTTATTTTATTACTAAACAATTTGTATGAAATGGGAATAATTCATCTCTAGTAATATGTTTGTAAGATAACAAAGTTTATCGATTTGCTTTCAAAAGAATGGTGTATCAGTGCCTTAGTCAGAGTTTTTATCATGTTAATCAGTTGTTGATAGAAAATGTATTTTTTATTACAACAAAGAAACGTAACTAGTCTAACTTAATACTTTCTGTTCTGCACAGCAAGGTTTAATATTATTTGTTTGGAATTTTTACTAATATAATATCATATAATCTTGAAAGATTTTTTTTACTATAATCTTAGTCTATACGTTTACAACTTGTAGCTAAGAAAACGCTCCGTAATAAAAAAGAATACGTTTGCACAAATTTAATTTATTTTGCGTTTCATAAACTAAAGCCTAACTGCGATGTTTCCATTTTGTATTATCCCTTATTTACGCTAATGTTTTATGGTTAAATTAATACGAATTAAATTGTTGTTCAAATTACTCTGTCGTATTATTTGCAATCCCTCTAACCTTTAACTTATGGAGTGTAGAAGTATATAAAATCATCTTAGCAGATACTTGAAAGCTACTCTAATCGTAACTTCTAATCATCGATTATAATCGGGTGGGAAACTGTCTTCTTATTCAATTTGATATTGAATGGAAAAATACACCTCTTATATTTATGTAAAGAAAATCACTACGTAGTTTCGTCGTTCTTTTTCTTTATGGATTTATTGTCTACAGATGTCATGTCAATGACATCGATGAAAATTTTAAATGAATTACGTTAGCTTATGTCATTTTAGAAAAAGTGCAAGAGTAAATAGTTTCTTGTATAATAAAAATGGACTACATAAACTAAAGTAGAAGTAAAGGCTTTAAATGTTGTTTTTTGTTATTTCAGGTAAGTTACTTTGTTTAGAATATGCAAATTGTCAAAACTTTGTACTTAATTATGTTATCAATAAAAGAAAATTTGTTATTTCAGAAAGCGCAATTTCGTCTTTATTTCATTAAAGCACATTACCATTATATTTATATCTCTCGTTTATAACGAGTAGATTGGTAGCAATATCTTAGACTTAACGGTAATATAGAATAATTAATGACAAGTTTTTTCATACGTGAATTTTTTGCATTATATTACGAATAACAATTTAGTTTTTGATGTTTAAAATTGTTTTATAAATCTCGTCTGAAAGAATTACTGAATGTCTACATGAGACTGAGAGACTATTTGATTAGTCACTCTGAGGGTTGTGCGTTTGATGTTTCAGCCTTCACTCTGTTTCTTTTTATATTTTTTTACATTAAGTGCTAGTAATAATTAACGAATCCTTTTTTTAATATTTGTTTAGTAAGAAAAAACATATTTGTATAACATATTTGCTAATTAAACGATTTATAGAATAAGTATAACTTTACTAATACATATTTTATTACATGTTAAATAATGTTTATTATAATATAGAAACAATGCTATAAAAAATTATAACTCTCAGTTACAAGAATGTTTAAAGCTTTAGACGTTTTATTTCTTCCATCTTGAAGTCCGTTCTGAAAATAAGAAGTAGAAAACATTTTAAAAGGGAGACAATAAATAAAGAGAATGTATTGAAATGTAGGTCATAGAATAGTCAATTGTTTAGTTTTGGTCTTGATCTTAAAAATCCTTGTATTATGTTGAAATGTTACGTTTAGTGTTTGGGTTTTGGGGTTTGGATGCGAAGGTTACCAACTTTGTATAAAGCTATTAAGACGGACATGATCCGGTAAAGTGCATTTAGTATTTCAAGTAATCTGGTACTAAATGAACAATTCAACGCTGAAGAACGGTCCCTCTAACCGGATAAATCAGATAGATCTTGCGAGTATAATTCTAAAATATTCGATACATTAGGTCCTACCAGCTGGATAGCTCTGTCTAATGTCGCCACTGCGACATTAGACAGAGCTATCCACAAGCGAATTCAACTCGAATTGGTCCTGGGATGGGTCGCATGTAAACATGCGTCAGTGTGCAGCGGTCATCGCGGCCGGATAAACGAGATAGGCGTCGTGAATGAAACTATATTCGATACACTCGATCCTCCCTGCCGCGTGGCTCTGTTTAACGTTGCCACTGCACATTGCACGGAGTGTATCTACGCTGCGAGCATGTGTCAGTGGCCATCTGCCCTCGCAGCCAGATAAAAGAGAGACTTATACATATATGGGAATGATAGTGAAATGCAGAGCCACGGAATGTTGATTGAAAGAGTAAGATGGATAGAGTGAGTGAGCGAGAGTGAAGACGTATGGCCAGTGTGAGCGAGGTGTGAAGACGCAAGATGTGTGTTGAGTAATTTAAAGACGAAATAAAGGAATATTTAGTAAGTGATTGAGAAGAAAAAAAAAAATCATTACTTGGAAACTAAGGACGTGTTCGCTAATTTAGAAATCTTTCCCTCTCATAAATATGGCCCGGAAAGTATCCACGCTCTGAGCAATCGCGAGTGCGCATCGGTCCTCGAGGCCGGATGAAATGGATAAGAGGGAGACAAAAGAGTGAGTGCGCATCGGTCCTCGCGGCCGGATGAGAGGGACGAGAGCGAGAGGGCAGAGACCTGCGCGCGAGCACGTCGCGCAGCAGGGCGGGCGCGAGGCGAGCCTGGGGGCGCAGCGCGTCGGGCGCGTGGTGCGGCCGCTCGAGCGCCAGCAGCGCCGCCAGCTGCGTGAGGCGCGCGCACTTGTCCCTGGCGCCGGCCGCGCCGCCGCCCGCCCACGCCGCCAGCCGCCGCGCGCGCCGCTCCACGCCCAGCGCGCCCTCCTGCGCTTGACTTCAATTATCTTCTTCGGGAAGTGCCCATTTACACAGGAGGTTCACGCTCGGTAGTATTATCGTTTATTAAAAAAAAAAAAACAATGCCATCCTTAAAAAACAGAACGTGTTGACAATGCGGTAGTCATTTTAAATAGTGTTAGTTATGAATGATCGTGCGTAAAATAAATGAGTTACGTATAAGTCACCCACTTTTTGAGATAAGTTCAAATGAATGTAATTAATTACTTACGAATAATTTTAGATATTTATAATTTTCTATATAACGTTATATATGTCTAGAATTTAATAAAAAAAATGGATACACTTAGAAAAGCCACTCTGTATAATTCTAATGTACGTGTTTGTTGTCACTGAGGTCCTAAACGGCCGGACCGATTTGAATGAATTTTTTTGTATGCGTTTAGGTAACGCTCTGGATGGTTTTAATTCACAACTAATTTATTTTATTAAGTTGTCGAATTTAAGTCGTAAGTACAGGACAACGTCTGTCCGGACCGCTAGTAATTTTACATAATCGTAATTCTGATTGTGGACCATTTTAATCGTGTTTTTTTTGCATGAATTATTTAATACAATTTGTATTGTTAAGAGTTTCTATTGTTCACCTGATGTCAAACGATAACCGTCGTCCGATTACGTCGCACGTTAAAAAGAGCAACTCGAGTTGAGTTTCTTGCTGGTTTCTTCTCAACAGAAACTGCTTTCCGAACCGGTGGTAACTTACGAACGTATTAATTTTTTATGTAAAATTTTTGACATTTCATAAGAACGCGCAAGCGTCTATGTGAATAAAAATATTTTTGATTTTGATTTTGTTTACGTTCGCAACACAATAACACGGTAGCAGAAGCTACACCAACTTTCAATGGAGCGGGCCCCGGCCACCGCGCTCAGCAGACGGAACGCACGTCGACCTTCCGCGAAGTACTTCCCCGGACTTGTGTAGTACTTGGGAAGTACTTCCGGGTACTTCCCCGGACGGAGCCGCCCGTTCGCGCCGAATCTCACCCGGTCGTAGTGGTGGCGCAGCACCGCCCGCTCCGCGCGCGCCGTAATCTCGGCCACCACTTTGGCGAGCAGCTCGTCGGCCGCGTTGGGTATGCGCGCGCGCGCCGCCTCGCTCAGCGCGTCCAGCGCTGCGGGCAGCGCGCTCGCGTCCTCCTCCGCCTCGTCTGGGGCAAACATGGAAGCGCTAGCGGTTTGTTCGGTTCAATATTGAACCGAACAGCTTTGTTTGCACTTTTTACATAAAGTCCATCAATACGTTGTTTGTAAGCGTTAAAATATACCGCGACAATCAATCACTTCACGTTCGGTCATCGAGCAAACCACGCGTTCTCAAAATATCATACCTAATTATCATAATTATCATAAATATCATATCATATTTTTAGTATCATTTTAACTGTATCGATTTAATAATAAAGTGTTCTTATCAGTATCTATTACCATTTATAACATCATTTCCGGTGTTAGGAGTTAGCCCCTACACAGTTCTTCGGCTTGGTGCAACGAAACCCTTTTTGTCCATCAGTCTGACCGTTTGTAAATCTATGAAGACTGTTTTGGTTTAAAAACGAATGGACATATCGATTTTTTCTATGTCAAGCACTCTTATTTATACGCCGTAGAAAAAGGCTTCCAAATAAATAAAATTATGGAATACGATCCTCAGGTTAGGTACATTTTGATACTCCTAGCTCATAACATACTTCCTGTTGATCTCAAGCATCGACTTTAACAAAGTGGGTTCAATTGTAGTGTCAATTTCTGTTCAATAAATGACAAATATTTTTAAGACACATTTTTAAACGACGTTTTCTAGTCCCAAACTAAGCGATGCTTGTACTATTTGTACTAGATAACTCATAAACATGTTGTTTTGTAAATAAGTATATACTTATTATTGATATACAGGTTGATTTTTTAGACGAAGTACATACTTTGACATAATGTTAATTGAGTATTTCATGATTCGAAAAAAACTATTAATATTTTATTTTGACAAGATATAGCCAGAAAAATATCAATTCAAACATTGTTTGTTTATTCCGTTAAGACTGGTCACCCTATTGATAAGCGTTTTAGTAATTATACCTTAGGCGAAAGGTTTTAGTGCTTTTGAATAGGTTATTGTATTTCGACGGTAAAGCAGGAATTTGTTTGAAAAAAATCAAAAATCTTTGAAAAAAAAAATAACGGGGTCACAAGTACGTACCAGATTCGGATTCAGATTTAGGATCGTATTCTGCATATGGTCTGTTAATATGGGCTCCGCTCACCGTCGGGCGGCAGGGGCTCCGCGAGGCGCGCGGCCCACGCGTCGAGGCGCGGCTGCAGCGCGGCGCCGAGCGCGGCCAGCGCCAGGTGGCGCGCGTGGCGGAAGGCGGCCGCCGCGCCGCCCAGCCCCGCCGCGCACGAGCGCAGCTTGGCCAGCTCCGCCCCCGCAGAGCACAAGGGCTCGCACAGCGCCACCGCCTCGGCCGCCAGCCGCTCCGACCACTCCGCGCCCGACTCCGCCGTGTTCAGGTGCTCCTGCGCCGCACACGCGAGCCAATTGTGTTCGCAACGTTGCTTAAATGATGCACTATTTAAAAGCGGCGTTTTGAAAATCAAAATACTCTCGGATCAGAATACAGTTGTAATTCTATACAGGGTGGCTTTTCTAAAGGTGCCCAAATTCACACAGGAGGTTCAGACTCGGTAGTATAATCGTTTATTGAAAAAAAAAAAAAAAAAAAAAAAAAATTTTAAAAAAAAAAAATTGCCATTTCATCCCCTAAAAAACAGAACTTGTTGACAATGCGGTAGTAATTCATAAATGCGTCGTATACCTTTGAAACGAAGTTCTGTGCGTGTTAGTTATGAATGATCGCGCGTAAAATAAATGAGTTGCCCATAAATCACGCACTTTTTCAGATAAGTTCAAATGAATATATCTAATTAATTAAGAGTGATTTTAAATATGTACAATTTTTTATATATTATTATTTATGTCTAGAATTTAATTTAAAAAATGGGTATACGTGGAAAAGCCTCCCTGTATAATCGATCCTTCTAGTAACTCACAAATTTCGAGGAAGTAATCGTTTCATTGACTACTTCCCGCGTAAAAATAACTTTACGCTCATAAAAAACATGAACGAAATCAACATAGAGTACAAATGACCGCGCCGAAGCATCGCTCGATCGCGGCTCCATCTGGATCATCCTTCAACAGCGGAATTATCTAGTTCTATTAGAGTGCGCAAACTAACAAATGGCGCTCTCTTTCTGGTAGAGTCGTCGCTTACCAAGTAGAGGGCGCGCTGGGCGTCGAGGTCCGGCGCGGCGGGGGCGGCGGCGGCGGCGGCGTGGGCGGGCGCGGGGGCGGGCGGCGGCAGCGGCAGCGGCTCCGGCGGCGGCGAGGCCAGGCGCCTGCGCAGCCAGCCCGCCGCCGCGCGCTCCAGCACGGCCGCCGCCTCGTTCAGCACCGCGCACGCGCCGTCCACGCTGCCCGCCGAGATGCTGCGCCTGCGCATCACGTGAGTGGGCGATCCCGGCCCGGCCCGTCAATAAACATGTTGAGGACAAGAATGTGTGGAAACAACTCTCGCTCTGCACTTGCAAGTCCCCAGACTGCTGCTAAATACTTTTGTTTATATACTTAAATATATCAAAAACAAAAAAAAGATAAGGCTGGTCTAGTTTAGTGAACTGGTGGTAATATCTGACTGATAACTAGGCCAGTGTGAACTCATTGTCTGGACGCTCACTTTGTATATACAATTAAATATACTGGAATGACCAAAATTCAAATCGGTTTCAGGCGGTTTTAGTTCATTCCTGAATACAGGTGCGGAAGTGGAACGGAGTTTTCAAAAAAGTGTTTAATCAATTCAAAATGCCTTAATTTTTTGTGAAGTTAGGCAGAAATCATATAGATCATCATTCTAAGAGCGAAAACACAATATGTGTTTTCGCTCTTAACAAAACTTTTCTCTCAAAAACAACAAGAGTATAATTGAAATTTAAAAACCATCTCATTTTTTCTATAGGGATAATATTATGCCATATGAATTGAAATCTTTGATATTTTTACTTTATATTTGTTATGTTTATTTTATATTTACAGACAACTCATAAATGCCTAAGATACCTTGAATGTAACGCAGATTAAGGTAATATAATATTGGTACAAAAATGATCATTGCTACCTTTTTTTTTTTTACAAAAATCTTGAATATTAAATTAACAGAAATATTTAAAAAGAAAACATTATTCTATACCTAAAGAAGAATGCAGAAAAGTCAACATACTTCAATCCTCATTCTTCACATCTTTAACAGTAATTTGTCAATAATGTTGCCGTTTCCAATGAATTCAGTTTACAATGGAAATATAAACAAACATTAGATGTTATCAGAAAACGTGGGAAATCGATTAGCCCGTTACACGGAGACTTGTTTTTTATCGTACATTGATAAGAGAAATTATTACTTGAGAAATACAAAAAAGTTATTACATGCCAAGATTTTCTGATCGAAAATCTGCCATAACTACTGGGTCATTACTGCCTTATTTACTGCATAATTATGTAGTGCAAATGAGTCCAGTTTAATAAAATACGCTGGCACTTACCGAATGACTTTCCTCGCGAGGAAGAAGACGTCGTCCACAAAGCTGGAAGGGCCATCTGTCTGCGCATTGGACAGCCTCAAAGCTTTGTTCACGCTCTCCTCCAAGAAATACCTGTGATCATCGATTTCCTATTTATTTATGTGAGACGGTGGCAAATGAGTTGGCGGTTCACCTGATGTTAAGTGGTAACCGCCGCCCATGGACATTTGCAACACGAGTAGGGTTGCAGATGCGTTGCCATCTTTGAATTAAGTGGACCCGTCTACCTCACACGCCGGTCTTCTGTGAGGTGGTGGTATTTTCCAGGACGGACCTGCCCATTCGTGCTTCAGCGCGAACTGTTGCGTGGTCCTACCACAATAAAGTTTCTTTATTCTAGAAGTGGGCGATACAAATCGTATCAGATATGAAAACTAGATATTAGTACAATATCCCAATATCGCTTACTGGCTCGTTCAATATCTATGTATTTTACAATATCTGATATTTCCGAAATCTGATGTACCGTGCTCGCTCGCTATACCGACACGAATCGCGATACGGCGATATCATACGCGTTTGCCACAATATCTGATTTTTAAACAGATTTAGAGAGACAAAGCGCGTGAGATACAAATACTCACTAGTTAGAGCGGGACGGCAAGCAATGCACGATATCAGATATCGAGCGACAAAGCGCGTGAGATATAAATACTTACTAGTTAGAGTGGGACGGCAAGCAATGCACGAAATCAGATATCGAGCGACAAAGCGCGTGAGATATAAATACTTACTAGTTAGAGTGGGACGGCAAGCAATGCACGAAATCAGATATCGAGCGACAAAGCGCGTGAGATATAAACACTTACTAGTTAGAGTGGGACGGCAAGCAATGCACGATATCAGATTTTTAAACAGATATTATGAATAAGTTAAGTAATTTTGAATCTTAACACCATGCAAATAAGATCCGTTTCATTTAAATACTAATCTTGGTATCAGCGATTACTACAACGATATTATTATATTTTTATTGTTTTGTTTAGCCTTGAGCCGTAACGGGCGACAAAGCGCGCAGTTAAGTAATTTTGAATCTTAACAGCATGGAAAAAAACTCTGTTGCATTTAAATACGAATTACGGTATTAACGATGTCTTTGAAATTTTGTTCAGCCTTGAGCTGGATTGCATTGGTACTTAACACGTAATAGTAAGGGATGCCAACTTACTACTTAAGAATTTTCTGCCTAAATTAAGGAAGAAAAACATACAATGGAAATTTTTTGTGAATATTTTTATTAGCTAAATTTTATTCATATTTTTGTAAAAAAATAAAAGTACACAGAAAGAAAAATATTATTTAATAGTGCTGTGCTGCTTTGGTGGAAATCAGACCAAGGCTTATGTGCCTTGTGTGTATATTTTAAATTCTTCCGCCCTAAGCTATAATACTGAATGTATTATTTCTTACACAAATAATAAAAATATTGCCACTCGATTGCGTGTTCTAAAAATATGTTAACGTCAATTATTAAGCGGTGTATAAGATGTTAAAATAAATCATTTTTATATTACTTCAATTTATATTTTTAATGAAATTTTTAATTTAATAATTTAAAAAACTCATTTTTAGTAAGACAGGGTTAATTATTAATGATCGTCGAACAAGAGTTTCGACGAAATAAGTCAGAGAGCTTACGTTCCTAAACGTGAATTTGAACCCGGAGGGATATAAAGAATTATTAACCCTGACATAATTGTAAATATATAATGTTAAGTTTTAAATATAAGGAAAATTATGTACATAGAATGAATCAACTTTTAAATACGCCTGCACAATTTTATATTTATAATAAGTATGAAATATTGCAGCCAGTCCTAAGCCTGGAAAAAGTATGAAGGGAAGTTATTTCATTCATCTTATATCCACTCCCTTAAAGTATACATTTTTTTTTTTTTTTTTTATAATTCAATTAATCAACGTGGATAGGGAACCGTAAAATATCTAGATATTAAAATACATAGTTTCGAAATCTGATATTTGAAATCGATATCGGATTCAGATACGGTACTCAGAAAAAGCGATACGACCCATCCCTACTTTATTCCTAATAATTTCAGTTGGTATTATAACGATGAGGCCATAAACTTAGCAACACATCATTGTTTTTCTTTGACAAGACTCAATGTTAAGATAGGTTTTGCAAAATAAAAATAATGGACCATTAACAATAACTATTATTTTTACATATACTGCACTATGTGAACTTCAATTTCGTGGGTCTTACAGATGGCCCATTAGCTCAGTTGGTTAGAGCGTCGTGCTAATAACGCGAAGGTCGCGGGTTCGATCCCCTCATGGGCCAAGTCCTTTTTTTACCCAAAATTTTCAATAATAGCAAAAGAAATTTAGTTACATATTTTATGCTGCTAAATTATTTATTAAATTAATTCATTATGTATATTATATTTATACAATAGAACAAATTTATAAAAGTAAGGGACGCCATCGACGCATACTTCGTACAAAACCTTCGACGCAATAGCGCCATCTATAATCATCTAAATATATATTGAGTTCCACTGGCGAATTGAGTATAGCGCCATCTAGTAGTAAAAGTATTTCAAAATGTACATCAAATAAAAGAACTCTACATATGAATAATTACGAAACGGTTTGTACATTAAATAATATCACAGTAAACTGTCTGTACCTTTCCAACTCCAGGTAATGGCTTAGGATGTCCTGGGCAGTACGCATTAGATCGCTCTCGGCTATGATCTTTTCCACCTCCGCAATGCAAGCAGTCCTCTCGGCCTCTGGTAATGTAGCAGTATCCGACTACGAAACAAAATATAGGCATTGAGATTACACTTAATGTTAATGTTTATAAATTTTAAATGTTAGTAAAACTTATTCTATACCCAAAGGTATAGAAGCATTCTTGTATTAACTGATTAAGGGTGGTAAGGCCACGCAGCAGCCTCGGCTGTTGCACGAATGGGCAAGCTCGTCCGGGTAAGTACCACGACCTCACAGAAGACCGGCGTAAAGTGGAAGTATGACAAATACTTTCGCGTTTCGTCTGGTGAGTGAGGTAGCCGGAGCCTAATTTCCAAAAAGGTTGTCAACGCATCTGCAAACCCTCGGGTGTAGCAGATGTCTATGGGCGGCGGTATTCACTTAACATCAGGTGGACCGTCTGCTCGTTTGGCAACTTTTCACATAAAAAAAAAAAAAAACTGATGTTCATACTTTTGAGACTATTAAAGCTTCATAGAACGCAGAACAGGTGGGCTAGCCAGAACCCATAGGTTTGAGGCCCTTTACAGTGGATAGGACCGCACATGTACTCTATAGAAGCAAGTATGCTGGTTGCTAAATGGAGTATACAGTAATTGTTGAAATTTGGCTGAATTATTACATTTTACAAAGCTTATGAAGTCTCTCAAGATTGGCAGTATTCACATAATCATAACATGAAAGTACAAAATTTTCAACAGTAATTTTTAGTCCTTGTAGATAAATTAACAAAATCATTCGGTGCTGCGGGATTCCAACTTGCGTCTTCTGTTTTTGGGTCTTTCTGTTGTTGTGAGATGAATGTCTTTGTTTTAATAATTTGTGAAAGCAAAACTGTAGTCATCTGGTGCCTTCAGTGTATATATATGTGTATATAATGTTTAAGGCTCAAGTTTTTGTTGTTGTAGTTTTTTTTTTCTCAACATTGTTTCACCATGACAATTTATTTCATCTTATCCCTCCATAATCAAAGTTTTTAAATATTTAATTTATTGATAAACAATCGAAAATAGAATATAGATACTGGCACTAAATAGCAACAAGATAGAGATAGTAGGTACTTGCTAATATTATGTGTTTTATGTTAAATTAAAATTTCATTGATTTTCAGCCTTATCATAGTACTATTTGTCATTGTCAACTAAAGACTATTTTAGCAACTTATCTATAATTGATTATTTTTATTATAAATTGGTGACGTCACACTTAGCAGTTCCATTAAAGGCTGAAAGGACCATTGCCATCACTTCCTCAATATTTCGTACAAAGTATGTGTATAGCTCATAAAGGCAGCAAAAGCAAGATTATGATTATTACTATTTGTGTGGAATGGGTTGGGTAGCAAGTCCCAACTACTGCAACTCTGGAGGTGTGTGAGGTGGTCTCCGAAGGGGGTAAGAGAAGTGAGCACCTCGATGTTCCTACGCAGGAATGTGAAGTAGAGGTGCAGGCGCGAGTGGGCCAGCGCCAGGTCGGCGAGCGGCGGCTCCACGGCGAGGGGCGAGGCGCCCGCCGGAGGGGGCGCGCCGGCGGCGGCGGCCGGCGGGAGGGGGCGGCGCGAACGCTCCAGCCGCGTCCACACGCGCCGCGCCCCATCACACACCTGCCGACACATTTTTTTATTGATCTTGTACTTCTGTCGGTGCGTTTCATAAAAATCTAGATAGTGTTTTGTACTCTTTATTGAATATACCAATCTCCAAGCTCATCCCAAGGTTGAGAGTTGAGATCGATTAAAAATACTTTCAAATCACACCCAAGTGGCAAAGTGCAAATGCAAAACTCGCATCTGATAGATTGAAAGACACGTGAGTGAGTTAACAGGGTGGGCGTACCGCGGGCTGCAGGTGGCGCAGGGCGCGTGGGAGCAGGTTGTGGGCGTGGGCGGCGGGCTGGGCGCAGGATTGGGGCTGGGCGTGGGCGTGGGGCTGTGCTTGGGCGAGGAGGGCGCGGGCGCGCTGCACGGCCGCCGCGCCCGCCTCCAGCACGCGGGTGAGCGCGTCCGCCAGCGGCGCCCCCGCCCCCGCCCCCGCCCCGGCCGCCTCCTCCACGCCGCTCGCCTTGCGGATCTTCGATTCCATCTGGGGGTCATCACAAAACAATGCAGTGTAAGCAGCTGATTAAGCCTTGAGACTACTCCGGCCGTAATCGTCGTGCAAGGCAGAAAGGCGAACGGACACTTTTGTCGGATTTTGGTACCGGCTGTAGCAAGCCATCATTGACTTTTATTCCTAAAGAGCATTTTTATTTCACTATTTAGACTTTATGGAAAACGTTTGACAAAAAACTCTTCTTTTTATTCACTCTTGAAACTTTAAATAAAGTATAGCATCTTAAATAAAATATAGCAACCTGAGTGGTTAGGTATTGGGCTAGTAGATCTACGCCCTCCTCTGCCCGTCCTATCTGCGGAAACAGCTTGAAGAGACGCTCCACCGCAACGTCGTCTTCTTTCCGAGCCGCCTCCTCGAATCTGACGATATATATAAATACTGGAGATAAACCTCCTTTAAACTAAGAAATATAATAGGAAAAGTAATGTTAAGATAAAGGCACATCACAATTTGAAAAACACAATTATAGGATTTGCACAACAATAACAACTATGTATGTTATGAAAAAGTTAATATACCTTAATACCTAAAGCAGTGCCTAAATTTTATTTATTTTTCAATATGAAAAAAAAGAAACTATGAAAGTTGTCTACAGAAGATGTTGATTGATTAAATTAATGCTAAAGTTTTTGCAATGTACTCTGTTAACACTCTCTGCTTGTAACACCCTCAGTTTGCAATACGTCTCTACAACGCTCCCAACCGAAACGCGACCGACCAGCGAGAGCGCGCCGTACAGAGCGTTGGGACTAAATGGGCGTTACTTGCGCACGAGGTGGTCGCTTAGCGTGCGCGCCGCCCGCGCCATGTGGTCGCGCGGGTCGGCGGCTCCGCGCGCCCTGGCCGCCGCCACCGAGCCCGGCTCCATGCTCAGGAACCGCGCCACGTGTCGCGCGCCTGAAACAACGCAAACTCTCTTCATGTTTCATTGTTTCACTGTTCGTATGCGTCGCCGATGGCTTCGTAAACTCAAAAGCCCAGTGAACTAAGTCTCAATCCTCATATTGACTACATTCAACAAAATTGAACCAAACTGTTTACTTCAACACTGCCTGTGTACAGTTTACTTCTATCATATATTCGCACTTTTGTATTTTAATTTACCCTTACTAAAAAAGTGTAACCATACTACTAATACTTGGTAACCACCGACTACAGCTGCATTGCTAGTAACTAAAAGGTGGTATAACATTTCAACACTAGCCAAATATAAAAGCCTTCCTTATATCTCTTGCCTCAAAAATAAATGCAGGCTGGAAACAATAAGATGCTACTATTTATTATTTTTTGGAGCTGAATTCCTATTCATAATGTGACAGCACAGAGTATTCTTAAAATAGGAGATAAATTAATAAATAGAAATTATCTTTTCAGCTGTGAACATCTTGTGAACGTCTTGTTTAAGTAAAAAGGGTCTACATTTTGTCTTGCCATTCCAAGTTATTGCTTAAACAAGCCATGATTTCATGCACAAGTTTGTTTCAGTACCCTACTTTTTTTTTAAATAAGCTGGGCCTCAAAAGAACTTATGTTATTATGACAATAATAGGTAATCAATGCAATAACTTTTATGTAACATAAATATGCACCAGTTTCATAGTCATGTGCTTTGATAGCTGCCTCCACACCAGCACTGCACAATTGAAGATCAATTAGGTCATGAACTCTTCGCTGGCATTCTGCAACTCTTGACTGAAACAAAAATGCCATGCATTCTTTTATTTTACCTATATTGATGCTATCAAAATTAAAATTGTTTTATGCCAAAAACATACTCTTGCCAAATCCAGCTGCCGAACTTTAGCACTGACATCCTGAGCAAGTAATGCAGTCTTCTCTACCATGTTTGCAGCTTCTTCTGCATCCCTTTTTACTTCTCCAAGCTTAGTGTACGCTTGGCTAGTAGTTCGTAGCTTCCCTTCCAGTGTACATGACCGAGAAAGGGCACTGGCCAGGGCATTATCGACTTCCGACTAGAATGTTTGTCAAATTTTATAAAAGATTATTTTATGTTAAAAAAACATTAAGTTGATCCAATAACAACAAAGTGGTTTTAAAGTAAACATAACGTTAGCAACGTCATTACTTCTAGAGAGGCTGTAATTTTTTTTTATATGTACCTCTTCTTTCTCTATTTCCTTTAGAGCCTTCTGTAGACCTTCTTCAGTGGATACATCGTATTTTTCTAATAAGAGAGATAACGACATTATCGACTATATTTATTTGTACACAACTTACTTTTGGGATTTGACTTTTGGAATTTGCATTTGTTTGTCAGTTTGACAGTAGCAGACATCTGACTATCTTGAAATTCTTTAAGTGAACAAACTTTATTAGAAAATATTAAAAAGCTTTTATGCCTATCGCTATTTAATTATAAAATAAATGTATGCAAAAAATAAATGTTTACCAAGTAAGGGACTGTAAATTAATTGAAAACAACATATGAAAATTCGCGTTTTCATTAAATAATGTAGGACTAGCAACACTGTCTCAGCCATGACAATTTACTTGACCCAGAAATAGAAAACGTTCAAAAGCCATAGTTTTTATCTTGTACAAATATTATATCCAATCAAATTATACTTTTAAACAATACTTTACTGAATTATTCAAGTGTCTAAGCCTTGATTATGTAACAAATAAATTAATTTTAATTTTACAAGTGTAGTATGTTTTAAAGTAAGTTATCAGATATATTACAGTGTCTGTGATGTTTGAGTTTCAGAATGGAATAAAAAAAAGTAGTGAAATACTGAAATATTGTGAGATGTCCAAACCCGTGTAACAGTAAACATTAAAATTTTCGTAATTGTAAAATCGATGTGCATTCAACAGTTTTTTGGTTGATCTCAGGGCGCTTAATTACGATTTTGCGCTCCTTTGAGGAAGATTTCGGCTGTGTTGTATACAATAAACCTTAAAGGTAAGAGGGCAGGGTGCAGTGACATTAGCATATTATATTATTAACAGTAACAAACATTGAATTTTACCTCGATATGTGTGACCTCCTCAGTATCATTTCAACATGCCTTTTATATTATTGTCTTTGTAACAAGAAACATAAGTGTCATCTCAAGAGTTTACCATAGTGTGAGTTTTAACCAGTTTTAATTTGTTGATGCTGCACCTGCTTGGTCGTAGATTGACTCCGTGTGGGGTTGGGCTTCGCCCCCGCTGCGTTTGCAGCTGGGTAACACGCGTGGACACAAAAGGTGAGGCTGTTGTAAATTTTTGGTTTACATGACTTGGCTGGCATTCACTTGTGTTGTGCAACTGTTTGAGCAATACATGTTATAGTCTCATTTGAAGGACCTTTTTTTTTAACTTTTACAATCTATAAGTAACTTATTTATTAATAACTAGGGTGAACTTTAATCATAATAAGACACTAATACCCCAATTCAGAGAAATTGTATGCCTATGACTAAAATCTTAACACTTTTTCAATTCAATGTAAATGCATTTTTTCCCATTGTATATTTTGTATTACTGCCCAAGGAGGTATATTGTTTGTTTAAATATTTGTTTACAGAGTAATTATGAACTAGTCTTTTGGTAATGTGTTTTAAAGTTTGTTAATATCAGGGTAAAGTTTAGTCCCCTAAGTTTCATAATAGTCAATAATATGAACAACATTTGTTAAACAATGCATTAAGATAGTTTATTTATTGCTGAGTACATTAAAATAAACTGATTTCTTATGAGATACCTATGATATTGTACTGTGTTTTGTCACTATTATAAATATTTGTCACAATATATTTATTACTTTCAGTATTTTCCATCTATACAGATAAATAAAATTGGAATGTCTGTTTGTAATATTAAACTAACAAATTGCTTTACAAGGTACATGAACCAAAATAACACAAAATTTTATACATAACTTTATTTTTTATTACAATTTTTGTGTGCCCGTCTGTTTGTTCGTACTGATCTCTGAAACGGCGAAATAAGGAGTAACTTTGGCTACTTTTATTTTAGAAATTTTATTTATTTTAAATTCCATGCGGGCGATGTCGCGGGCACAGCTACTATCATCATATGTTTAATTTCTGGAATGGATACGGGCAGGACACATGTTGATAGATAAAAAAGAGCAGCTTTAACCAGGCAAAGAGAACACTTTAAGAAGGTTAATAGGCCACAACCTAAATTACAATGTTTGAAATTGTTTGTATTTGATACGTACGAAGGATGGGCGAGGGCGGGTCGCCGGGCGGTGGCGGCGGCGCGCGGCTGTCGCACACCTCGGAGAAGCACCCGCGCGCCATCCTTGGGGAGCTCTCCGCTCTACGACGCCATCGCGAGCTCTGTGATGTCGTCCTCAATGTTGCTAATCGTAAATTATTTGCACACAGGTAAGGTTTTTAGAATATATTAAAAATAAAGTAAACAACAGACTATTAATTTAATATAAGTAAAAAAAGAGACAAGCAATTAAATGTATAATTAATATTTATTTTGCACTAGATACTTGGATAATACCAGTGATGTAAATATTGTAGAGTACAAGAGATAGCATTTATGGTCTAATAGGGACCTCTGTGATAATAAGTATATCAGGGCATAACAAACATGTAGAACCAATAATCAGTTTACTATAAATGTATACACAACATTTTCTCATTGGTTTTGAATTTCTCTGCAGGACATTTCATATGTTATAGTTATAACGGTAAATGAGTATTGAATATATTACAACGGTTATCCCTTTTTATATATAATATATTAAAAGTGATAGCCGTCTTGTATATAACAAAACTTTACCCATTGATGATTACCTTGGGCCAATAGCTTTTTACTACTTTCAACAGCACTTGGCTGACTTCTATGGATTCAATCGTCATAAATTTATTCATACTGTAATAACTTCTTGTTTCTTTGGTGATGTTATGAAGTTTTTGTGTATTGATTGGTCAAGTGCTTACAGAAAAATTGGTATGTTGCAGAGTCATACTATCAGCATGCAGTCCATATTTTCGAGCAATGTTCACTGGTGAGCTAGCAGAGTCGAGAGCTACCGAGGTGACGATTCGAGATGTGGACGAGCAGGCTATGGAACAACTAGTCGAGTTTTGTTACACAGCCCATATCGTTGTTGAAGAGAGCAATGTACAGGTAATAGAAAACTAAAGTGTTTCAAGGACCTATCATTTTACATTGCATTGTGTAATTTTTTGCTCCATACACTTATCATTAGGTCATTAGTAAAAATTAGGTTTACACAATTCAGCTAGTGTTCTTGGCACCATGCCGTGTGGATTATTAGATAATATAATTTAGGTAGATTTAATGATGTAAATATTGCTTATTAAGATTCATTATAAATATGTAAATAAAAAAAAATTTAAATCCTTTTTAGAGCAGTCGTTATGTTAATAATAAATTATTTTTTCCTCCAAAATATTACATTAATTAGGAAATTACTTTCCTAATTTGTAAGCAATGTTACATTTGTTACAGCATGTTGGGATTAGGAATAACAAAGTTAAAGGTTTGTGTTGTAAAATATGGAACAACAATTTTATTTATTATCTACAGGCTTTACTGCCAGCAGCGTGTCTTCTCCAGTTGCAAGAGATTCAGGATGTATGCTGTGAATTCCTTAAGAGACAGCTTGACTGCTCCAATTGCCTCGGAATCCGTGCCTTCGCCGACACACACTCTTGCCGAGAACTCCTTCGCATTGCCGATAAGTTCACACAACAGAATTTCCCAGAGGTTTGAATTAATACAGCTACATATTTTTAATTGATTGGTAAACATTAATTGATATTTCTCATCGATCTTGACATGGAAAAAAGTTCTGCTTGTTATGAGTGTTGAGAGTTAGTTAAATTTTATTCTTAACACCAATGAAAACACAATGTTATGTGATAAAAAGTATATTTTAAGTCTTTGTGTTTCAAACTCCAGAGCAAAAATGTTCAAAAATGGCCCGTATTTGATATCCTTACTTTCTTACTCCACACAATCATAAGCTTTGTTATTTACATAAAAATCTTTATAATTTGTAATAAGTGCTTTATTAAGCATTTACATATTTATGAATCTTATTAGTACTTACCTTTACTGGTTAGGTACACCTGAGTACATGGAATGGTATCAGAGGCTGCTAATTGCATATTGCAGGTAATGGAGAGCGAGGAGTTTCTGCTGCTACCTGCGGCACAGTTGATCGACATTGTGTCGTCGGACGAGCTGAACGTGAGGTCCGAGGAGCAAACATTCCAGGCTGTGATGTCTTGGGTGAAGTACAACGTGGCCGAGAGGCGGCAGCACTTGGCGCAGGTGGGCAACCATGTATATGTTAACTGCGGAACTCATGCCTAACATCTGTAGTGTTTGTGAAAGTCATCATCAAAATGGAGCATCAGTGGCGTTTATTAGTTACTTCTCAGTATTTTTTGTATATATAAATCAGTCAACCAGTTGTGGGTTCGATTCTCACATGGGACTAGAATTTGTCTGACCCACAGAAAATTTTTCCGGATCTGTAGGAGGATTGTCGTCAGGCAGGCGGCTGGTTGTAAAAACATAGCCAGAACCGCTTGCAACATGATTGCCATGTTGTGCCGACCCAACATAGGTTGGGATAAGGGCAGGAGGATGACAATGACTTTTTCCTCGTTTTTGTTGCAGGTGTTGCAGCACGTGCGGCTGCCGCTGCTGAGCCCCAAGTTCCTGGTGGGCACCGTCTCCTCGGAGCTGCTCATCCGCTCGGACGACGCGTGCCGCGACCTGCTCGACGAGGCCAAGAACTACCTGCTGCTGCCGCAGGAGCGCCCGCTCATGCAGGTCCGTGGAGAGACGCTAGCGAAGGTTGTGTTTCACGTTGAGGCAATGAGTAAAGGAAATATCACGCAGGGCCCACGCACGCGGGCGCGCAAGCCGTGCCGGCGCGGCGAGGTGCTGTTCGCGGTGGGCGGCTGGTGCTCGGGCGACGCCATCGCCTCCGTGGAGCGCTTCGAGCCGCAGACGGGCGAGTGGAAGATGGTGGCGCCCATGTCCAAGCGCCGCTGCGGCGTGGGCGTGGCCGTGCTGCACGACCTGCTCTACGCCGTGGGCGGCCACGACGGCCAGAGCTACCTCAACAGCATCGAGCGCTACGACCCCCAGACCAACCAGGTGCGCCTCGCTCCTCGCTCTCGGCTGTTCGGAGCACGGGATGGAGTAGTCTGTTTGAATTTCATACAAGGCGTTTTCTTCGAGGCTGTCTGCCTGCCCCGTATAAAGTTTCCCGTCCCGCGGTTGTTTTCGGCGATCGCATTCCATTTTTTAGGGATTACGAACCTCAAAAGGCAAAAAAAAAAGGAATGCTTATAAGATAACTCTGTTGTCCGTCTGTTGTCTGTCCGTGTGCCACCACCGAATTTCTTAGGAACGGAGGGATCTAACAAGTTGAAATTTAGACCGGATACTGAGATCTATAGCCCCCATTAGGTTTACAAAAATCAAAATCCTGAGTCAATGTGCACTTGACCGGGTTTTTTGGCGATGAACGGTTGAGTTCGTAGTACGTAGTTCCCCCTTTCCGCCCAACTGAGAGCGGCCCCTGCGCAGTGGTGCGGCGCGGTGGCGCCCACGTCGTCGTGCCGCACGTCGGTGGGCGTGGCCGTGCTGGAGGGCGCGCTCTACGCCGTAGGCGGCCAGGACGGCGTGCAGTGCCTCAACCACGTAGAGCGCTACGACCCCAAGGAGAACCGCTGGACAAAGGCGAGTGGCCCCATTGCCATAATTATTTTCGCATATAGAGCACACGTAACACTAAATTACAGTCAAACAAAAGTTGTCATCAGTAACCGGTTAGCGCTATTCCAGGTTAGTCATGACAGTTTTGTTGAGACGTTTTAATGAGTTGTCGAAATAGATCAACTACATTATCATAAATTTTAACATTATCATAAGGCTTTAATAAAATTGCTCATAATATAAACTATTAAAGTTGTTTCTTTCAACTATTCTTAGACATCACTGATTTTAATAATATTTTCTTATATTTAATTAATAAAAATATTCAAAACCATAATGCTTTCTTTATGTCCATACCTTTAGAAATTAAGCAATTGCCCCTTGCTTCGTTTAAGGTACAAATAACGAGATGGCTCCTAGATAAAATGATTTATGATATAAATTACTATTTGCTATATAATACTGACATTTAATAATTTGATAAAGGTATGTAATATCCGTATAATAATTTTAATGTTTTAACGGAATAATTTATCATGTTTAAATTTTTTCATGTGAATAATTGATTATGTTTTAAATATTTTAATGTTAATAATTTTATTAATATTTTACCAAATTGAAAATTGCATGCTGAAATCAGTGAATATGTTACACCAAATTATTATAAATATGATCACCACACAATTCATTAATTCCTTCATTCATTGATATCTGTTAAAGTCTGTGACCCGTATATACATTTTGGACATAAATAAATATTTTCGGACGCATTTTTTACACAACATTCTCTAGTCCTAATCTAAGCAAAGCTTGTACTATGGGTACTATAAAACTGATAAACATACTTAAACATACTTTTGTTTTGTAAATAAATACATATTATAGATATATAAACACGCGGTAGGTGGCGTCGATGACGACGCGGCGGCTGGGCGTGGCGGTGGCGGTGCTGGGCGGGCACCTGTACGCGGTGGGCGGCTCCGACGGGCAGGCGCCGCTCAACTCGGTGGAGCGCTACGAGCCGCGCGCCAACAAGTGGACGCCCGTAGCGGCCATGTCTACGCGCCGCAAGCACCTCGGCTGCGCGGTCTACGACGGCCAGATCTACGCGGTGGGCGGCCGCGACGACTGCACCGAGCTCTCCTCCGCCGAGAGGTGCGTGCCGACACGGTTCGCAGTTTAGGACTCTACCGGTAGAGTAGCGCGTTTATGAGATAGTGATTTTCTAGAGTCGTTTTTGGTCGACACGGAGTTTCTGATTGATGTTAAGTGTGTGTTGTAACTACGTGTGTTACTAATAGCACATGGATGCGTATCGTTAATCAAGTGCCGTTACAGTGACGGTAGAGTCCAGTGAGACTTGCCGCTGAATCGCGCATGGAAGAAAATCATCTTTATACTTAATTTACATCTTATAGTACAATTATGTGAGAACGAGTAGATAATCTATGAAGATCTGTAGTATAGTAATCTGCGATACATATTAAACTTTGACTTTTGGAAAGAGACAACCAGCTCTTTGCGGCTTCCTTGAGCGTTATCTCTGTCGCGCGAAGCAAATAATTGAAATGTTCAAAGTGTAGAGTTTCAACGAGTGGTGTGTCGCAGGTACGAGCCCGCCACTGACACGTGGTCGCCGGTGGTGGCGATGACGTCACGGCGTAGCGGCGTGGGCCTCGCCGTGGTCAACGGGCAGCTCTACGCCGTAGGCGGCTTCGACGGCACCGCCTACCTCAAGTCCATCGAGGTGACACCCTCCCTTCTCTCTCCAACATTTGAACACTTGTCCGACTATTGTCAATTAATACTGCTAATTTCAATTAAAACTTCACATTTATTACTTGAACATTTGGCAAGTAAACAGGTGGTTTACCCGATGCTGAATGATTACCACCCTTGAATATTTACATAGCTGAGGGCTAGCGGATGTGTTGCCAGCCTAAAGGTTACTCTTGTTACCTCTCTGCTTGAAAACCTTCTGTGGGGCTGAGTTACTTCATCAGACGGATATGTTTACTCGTGCAACAACAAGTTTTTGAGCTAGGCCCCCACCACAGTTAAAATCCAAAATCATGATGGCATAACTATATTTATTATTTACCGTGGGTTCAATCTCCACTACTGGAAAAGTATGTTTATCAGTTATCTATTACAAGCCATAGAAGTAGTGCAAGTAAGTAGTAAAAGTGTGTCCTAAAACATGATGAACAGGTGTTCGACCCGGAGTCGAACCAGTGGCGGCTCTGCGGCGCCATGAACTACCGGCGGCTGGGCGGCGGCGTGGGCGTCATGCGCGCGCCCCACCACGACGCCCACTACATATGGTACATATGAATCACAATAGGGTTTAAGTTTATTTTTTCTATTTAAACTTTATTCAAGACAACCCCTTAAATTTAAAACTATCTTTGTCCACGCTTTAAGTTTGAAACCATAACCAAACCATTGAATTTAGTAATCACTTAAGTCTGTAGTTTCATTTTATTGAGTGATATCACATGTCAGGTTAGTGAGTTACGCTGGGTGATAATATCAATTGTAGATTTGAGTACATAATACATTTTATAATGGAGTAATTGATTTAACGGTACTAATATTAAAATTCATATTGTTACAGTTCAGTTAGGTTCACTCTAGTTCAGTTCTGTTCAGTCTAGTCTATTGAAATCTGACACTTTGTTCCAGGAACCGCAAAGACTCCGTGGTGTGAGACGAAGCCACCGAATTAACTCCGTTGTTAAATCTATACATATATTAATTGACTATTTATAAATAAATGAAAATACAAATTTTAGAATATTTATCCGGTCGTATCATTTTCACAAATGACCACTGTCTGTGGTAGAGCCACCTAACTTTTAAATAAATGCTTCTTCGATCAAAGAAGTGCGATCTAACAAGAGACAAATACAGGGATGTTGAACTATTATACTTTTGTAATACTCGACGGACGCGTACAGGTAAGGTGGAGTGACGACTTGTGTAAGTGAAGTGATTGCAAAATTAAAAGCACAAGATTTGTTTTTTTTTTATTTACCAACGTAACACATACAAAGCATAAAAAAAAAACTAGCAGTAACTAACAGGATTATATTAACTCTATGACTCCGTGGCGCAGTTGTAAAGGTATTGGCTTCGGCGCCGGGTGGTCGTGGGTTCGATTCCACAAATATTTGTGTGATAGCTGTTCCGGATCTGAGTGTTTGTGCCAATAATAGCTAGATTTTTTATCAATAATCAATGAGATCGATTAATATAGCGTTTACTATAACATATCCAGTTGTGAGTGACCAAAGGCCGATATGAACATGATGGTGATGTGAGGCTGGCGGTTCACCTGATGTTGAGTGATAACCGCCGCCGATGGACATATGCAGCACCCGAAGAGTTGCATATACGTGTACCTTTAAGTAAACTGGGCTCCGGCGACCTCACTCACCACACGAAATGCGGAAGTGTAACACTTCCACTTGGTCTTCTTTCCCTTTGGTCTTCTGTGAGGTCTTCTTGGTACTTCCCCGGACGGACCTGCCCATTAGAGCAACAGAGACGCGCACAGTAAATGTGTGGATAGTGTAGCCGTAAAATAACTTCCGCTACTGATCATCATTTGTAATTTGGATGTGTTTTGGTATCATATGTAATTTGGATTGGAGATCGAAATCTGTAGTAAATTACCTTAATTAATTTAACGGTGCTAGGGCCACGCTGTTACATGAATGGGCAGGTCCCCCTAGGTTAGTACCACGACCTCACAGAAGACCGGCGTAAAGTAGAAGTGTTGCACTTCTGCGTTTCGTCTGGCGAGTGAGGTAGCCGGGGCCCACATTATTAAGAGGTGGCAACGCATCTGCAACCCTACGGGTGTTGCAAATGTCCAATGGCAGGCGGTTATCACTTAACATCAGGTGAACCGCCAGCTCGTTTGCCACTTCCCCATATTAAAAAAAAATTACCTACGGAACTTGACAGACCGAGTTGTTGTTTTGCCAGGAATAAGTTAGCTTTTATTGTCAATGAATCTAAATTTCACAGGCATAAGCTAGTGACAACGCTTTCCAAACTTAACTATTTCTAAAGAAAACTATTCTACGGTTAAATTTCAAGTTCGTTTCATGACTGTAAACGCAGTATAGTTCGATACGTTGGGAAATCTAAAGCGTAGTTTCAATAAAAACTGCGGTATCTCGTGTTTTATGAAATCATTACATAAGAACTTGAATAAAATTGAAACATTTGAATACCTCTGCTTACTTACCCCAAGTATGTGAGTTGCCTTTAATTTAACTTTGCAATTATGTGAATAATTTAAAATAAAAAGAAAATTTAAGTAGTTCATTTATTTATTATTCATAACATAAGCTTGTCCGCTTGCATAAAAGCGAGAATGCAATTAAAATTTAATAATGAATCATTTTATTGATTTAACCAGTGTCTCACCCTTGGCTTCGAACGCGTTGTCCTATTCGTAGAATAATATTAACATTTTTTAATTAACACTTTTAATTATAAATAAATTTTAAATTCATATTTTAAGGTGCGTCTGTTCAGAATTACGTTAGAATTAGCTAAGCAATTGCGTGTGCACTATAAGTGCATCGTGCTTAAGATTGCATAACAAGTTAGGCTGGCGGCGGCGAGGTCGCTTTGTCTGCCACGAGGGTCTCGTCTTCCGCTTCTTCCACTTCATCCCCCCCTTCCTCCCCGTCCCCTTCCCCTCCTCCGTCCACTTCCTCGTCTATCTCCGTGCTGCCGTTAACATCTCCATTTACTTCTTCCTCCACTCCGGCGGCCCCCTCTTCACCGCCCCCACCGCCTTCTTCCAAGTCGTCCTTCGTTTCCTGACGCTTCTGAAGTGGAACGATGTAACTGAGAATCCGTTGAAATACTATGTACGTAGTTATTATACTAGAGGTCGCGGAAAATCGATAAATCGGTTTTAATTATAGTTAATTGAGTATGCGTCAGATTAAGATTTAGAACCCTTGTAAAGTTCGCCAATTCTTAAATATTCTCGGTGCAGGACTTAGCCACAAAACCATTTCATTTATTAGATGCCTTCTATTATCTAGTTAAATACAATTAAAAAAATGTTTTTTTTCGATTGTTTAACGTTACTTGCATGCACGGATCTTGCTATACATTTTAGAAGGGGTCAGATTTAAGTTTGTCTAAGATACAAATAGAACATAAACTAAAAACAAAGATTTAAAAGTTAACTACGATAGCTGCATAATAAAGTCTACTCTTTTATATTGTTTTAATCAGTTTCTGATATATTTAAGTACGGAATTAAGTTATTCTATCCAAAATGCATATGTCCAAGTTTCGAGGGGCGGTTTTTAAGGGAACCTTTGATATGTGACTGATTGAGATGTGATAACTGATTTACAGCTAAATCGATCGAGTCGCGTGCATAAAACAAAAATTCACATCTGTTACACAGATTACAAATTAACTCCACAACTCTCGCTCTTGCCTCTTATCCATACGCAATCATCTTCATTCTACATTACCTTCTTCTTTTTCCTGGCCTTCGACTTGGGCCTGGGCTCTGGCTCGCTGTAGCCCGGCGGGAAGAAGCGGGCGCACTCCCCCTCGCCGGCCACCGTGTCCTCGCTCATGTGGAGGGGCCCCAAGGTCACCAGCTCCTCCGGTGGCCCGTCCGGCACCGGCACCGCGGGGTCCGCCAGAGCCGGCTCCGCCACTCCAACCGCCACCATCAGCACTATTGTTTCGCAGCTGGGAATTTAGAAAGAATAATTATGTCATTTTGTACTGAATCTATTGTTATTTTACAGCGTTGGAACCATTGTCCCAGTCACCACGAGCTGAGCCGCCTTCTTTTGTCCTTATATTTTATTAAATAGTATAATATTAAGAACGTATATATTTAGTGATAAAGTGATATTTTTTTTTAAATTATTATTATTAATAAATATACTCCGAGAAACCTCAAAATTGTCATTTTGAGTGCTTACTTTGTTTTGAATTATCAAGTGCTGAGTGGCGAAGGAAACCATCATCGTGAGGAAACCTGCATATTTTCGAAATAAGTACAAAAAAGAAATATTACGAAGACGTGTGAAGTCTGCAGTGGGGTTGCGTGGTGAATTATGCTCTAATACCCTCTGTACAGAGGAGGCCTTTGGCCAGCAGTGGGACATTTATGACAATATAAAGTATATCATAGTTAGCCGCACTCACTAGTCCTTCTCCGGTCGGTCCTCGTACTGCTCGATCGTCTTGCAGAGTAGCCTGGGCGCGTTGACGTCGGCGTCCGCGAAGAAGCCGTAGCGGAGCAGGCGCGTGGCACAGTGATGCTCTGCCACCGCCAACACGGCGCGCCTTTGCCACGCGCCGAACACCAGCGCCAGGTGAGGGGGCTCCGCTATCGCCGCCGGCGGCACCGCCGCGCCCACCATCTGCCCCGAAAACCATCAATTAAGCGAATTAGGTTTGGTGACACTGTGGCGTCGGTTGTGGGTTCTATTCTCACACGGTTTCTATTCATCTGACCCACAAATGATTGCTTCAAAACATATTCAAAACATATGGATGTAAAACAGTAAGGGCAATATTAAAAGAATTAGAATAAGAAAAGGTTGAAGGGAGTCTGTTAGGCCTTAGACGCGATTGTAGCATCATGATTGAAGGGTTATAAATAAAGCTATTAATGTTGCTCTGCTAGAATTGAAAGTATTACAAAGTAGGTGCATCGCTGCGTTCACCGTCTAACCACAAGCCTTCAATAAAGCGATTTAATAAGTAATAAATCTAATGCGTAATCAGTGCTAGCCAAGCCGATATTTATTGGTCACAGGGAATGGGGTATTTGGGATCGCATTCCAGTGATAAGTCTAGTTACGAGGTGAGTCAATGACGATCCTATTGAAATAGTTACTAAGCGGTAGATAACATAAGCATGGAGCCGTGATAGCTCAGTGTCCGGGCGCTCGCCTTTAATTCAATATACTCGAGCAACCTGAGTTCGATCCCCGGTGCCGGCACCAATGAAGTTTTTAACTTTAAGTGCTGACTTATCACGTGCTCCGCGGTGAAGGAAAACATCGTGAGGAAACCTGCATATTTTCGAAATAATAACAAAAAAAAATATTTCGAAGAGATGTGAAATCCACCAATCCGCAGTGGGGCCGCGTGGTGGACTATGCCCTGATACCCTCTGTATAGAGGAGGCCTTTGCCCAGCAGTGGGACATGTATAGGCTGTTACTTTACTTTTATTTTAGATAACATAATTGTTCCGAATCCGAGTGTTCGTTTTTTTCTCGTCTAATTTTCGATTGTAAAAGAAATAAATATGCTTGAGTCTGCTTTTTCGGTTCGTATTGGTTAGGACGTTAATCTCAGTTTATTCTTCTACACGGACTTAATATTCTAATGTTATATTCCAAATTATTCCATTAAATTGTCACGGCGTACCTTCGGGAACAGCAAGTCCAGAACAGCGGCTCTTTGGTGACGATCTTTCGGGACGTATATTCCGGGTATGTCGTCCGCACGGAGCTCCTGCGAGAGAAACTTCTTCGGTGCCCCCCCATCTTGTACCTCTACGCCGTCGCCGTACAAAGCGCGACGTGCTAGCTCTACAAATATTGGAGTTTATTTTATTATGCCATTATACGAACCAGTACGTTGGGTCACAATAGTAAAATTTAGCATTAAATTTACATTAACGCCTGAGTTACTGTCGATGTCTCAACTAATAAAAGTTTTACACGTTGTAGAGGGCTGATGGTATATTTATAATTTGGATATTTGCAAAGGTATTTGTAAAGATCTTACTTCCATAGACAAAGAGATGTAATACCTATATATATTATAATACTTTTCATCTAACTTATCTAAATAACCTTTTTTGCTTTTCTACGTACCGATAACGTCCCCTTCCTTCTCTGGCAGCTTCTTTAGCAGCAGAGCTAGCGCCGGACGCTCCGAGACCGCAGCAGCGGTCGCCTCCGAGCTCATCTCCTCGTCTTCCGCCGCCAAGATCCTGGCCCCTTGCTTACCCAGCACCAAAGGACACTTGTCTGCCACCGTTATACCTGAAATCCGTAATGGATTTACGGATACATGTGTTATCATGTGAACCTTACTCGTTTTACTCTAGCATTTTTACGAAATTGCTAGATTAACTTTTTTATTTCATTCCATTCCATTTCCAATCTAATACGGTTAAGGGCCTTACCTGCAGTGGGATATATAATATAACGGCTGTTACCACAGTTATATAATATACTATTTATAACAGCACTAGGGACCCACCCCGGTTTCGCGCGGGTGCAATGCTGAATGTTTGTTTCGTCATCGGAACACATTAGAAATCTGTAAAATTATCTCTTTTATATTATGCATGAGTTATACGCATAAACCTTACTCTTGAATCACTCTATCTATTAAACCGCATCAAAATCCCTTGCGTAGTTTTAAAGGTCTAGGCATTAGAGACAGACGGACAGCGGGACGACTTTGTTTTATACTATGTAGTAACAGCATTACGGAGGTAAGGTGAGTATTAAAAAGAGCGGCTTGTACACGTTTCAAGCGGGTCTCACCGTGCGGCTCCAGTGCCTCCGCCACCCTCCTGAGGTGTTTCTGCGCGTGGGGCATCATCAGCGCCGCGCACACGTCCCCGAAGTGCGTCTCCAGCTGAACCGCGCGCGCCTCCCTCCGGGCCAGTCTTGCAGCTGTCCTGGCCGCCGCTTCGCGCGCCCTGCGCTCTGCTTCCAAATTCTCCCGCCGGTCAGCAACCTCCTGCGTAAATAAAACAGTACGCACTAGACGAGGAAGTGAATGGGGGAGGGGAAGGGGACGGGGAGGATGAAGGGGGGGGGGGTTGAAGTGGAAGAAGAGGAAGACGAGGCCCTAGTGGCAGAGAAAGCAGCCTCGCCGCCGCCAGCCTTAACTAAAACGTTATCACAAGCACGATACACTAATAACGTAGAAAAGTAAAAAAGTTAAGTCTCACTGTTGGGCAAGGCCTCCTCTGTACAGGCAGGACATAGTCCACCATGCGGCCCCACTGCGGATTGGAGGATTTCACATAACTTCCATTTTTTTTTGTCAATATTTCGAAAATATACAGGTTTTCTCACATTTAAAATTAAAATTAACAATTTCATTGGTGCCGGTACCGAAGATCAAACTTGGGTTACTGGAGTATATAAATTAAATAACGAGCTATCATGGCTTCTGTGTCAACTCCTTTTAATCACCGTCGCTATCTAGAGGCGTCGGTCGTAGAAAACTGTACGCTCTCTAAGAATGGCTTTACCTAGATTTGTACTTTAACGTTTCACGTGTTAACTTTAAGCCTGTGTGGATTTTATAATTATATTATCGTTTCAACTCCCACCACATTTATACGGATAGTAGTATTATTATGTGATGTCTAAACTAGATCCAGATATCCCGGTTTAACATCAACCACAATACTAACAAACCCGTTGTTGCCTTGCTGTACACGAAGAGAATTTTGGCAACACTAAATGTGAGATATATGTTATTCACAACAATAGCCACCACGTATTTGGCTTGACTTGGTACTACTTCAATTATGAGATAGCAATCAAACACGCAAGGGGCAAGAAGAAGGCAGCAGTGCTTGTGTCTTGGGTTCTTTTCAAAAACAGTGACTGTAACCACACCTGTTCCGGTGGCGTCAGCTCGTGGGGTGCTCTTTTCGGGCGCTCCCTCTCGCCCTTCTTAGCCAACTCCTCATTTCGCAGCTCCTCCTCGATAGTCCTCGCCAGGCGAGGGGCGTCAGCTCCGAACACCACGTTAACCAGCTGCCCAGCCTGAAGGGACGATTTCCACAAGGTTTCATTTCAATTTTAATGGTTAGCAAATATGATAAGTACAATTTGTCTGCCCAAGGTTGTCTGGGAATGCATAAAGTACTCGCCCTTTGTTACACTTATTTAAGGTTATTGCAATGTAGAATAAGTAAAGGTATATACCAATGATACATGCAACTTACTTTTTTGTGTACCCATTTGACTCAATGTAGATTATTTCTACAATGTTGAATTCTGTTTATAATACAGAAAGCTTTTTCTGTATTATGAGATCGAAATATAACCTTAAAATGAATTATTAAATGAATTTTCATTTTGATACGACTTTCAAAAATAATGCGATTTCTACACGTGATTTAAAACTCCTAAAGAAATGTAATGTCTCCAAAACTATACTCGCATATAGAACTTAATGTGATAGAAGTTTTGTGTACGGTCATTTTTGTGGAGTATCGTACAAGCCCGTGTCGTGATACACCGGCCATAGTAAAATTACTTTAACTATGCGATATTTGGTCGATGCCGTACATACCGGTGCCATTCCACCGCTATGTCCGCATGTGCATACGATTCCCTCTTATGTGTACGTTTCGTTGTGTATTGTACAATAAACTCTATTTAAAGAGAGGTAGAGACGTATTTCTATAGGAAACGATCGAAGAGGTAAACACATAATCCTTAAAAGGTCACGAAAATAAGTGTAAAAAGGAAGGAAAGTTTCTGTATCCATACTTCATGACGCTCTGATGGACCAGAAACGTATTGTAATGTATTGTATTGGAGATAGGTAATGAGTATTACTGTTGTGCAGCGGATTCTGCTGTGCAACTGTGGTAGGGCCACGTAACAGTTTTCACTGTTGCACGAATGGGCAGGTCCGACTGACGGTTTATCTGATGTTAAGTGCCCATCATGACTAAATACATGCAACAACTGCGAGTTAAAACATGCGTCGACAACTTCTTTGTATCTCACTTATAACACAATACTTCCGTTACACTTCTACATTCGGAAGGTCTTGCTTGGCCCCAACACAGTGATACGAAATATAATTACCGCCAAAAACATCCAGGTAGGTTCACTGCGGTGCCTGAACCTCTTCAAGCACTCAATTGTGTCCGTCTTCGCCTGAAAATATCATGTAGTTAATCAAGTACATCGTATGAAAGAGATATATTACAAAGGCAATATGGAGGTTCTCCTAGTACATTAATAAAACAAAATGAAATGGTGTATTACACATAAAATCTAAAAAAATATCTAAGCAGGGATTAGTAGATTGGGAAATAGCATAGTATTTTATATATATATATATATATATATATATATATATATATATATATATATATATATATATATAAAAATTGTAACATAAGCGTTGCTTAACTTAATTTAGCAGTTACTTTTTTGCTTTTGTTGCTAGTTTTTGTTGTTAGTTTGATCGCTGAATAATGTTTGGGGTAGATTTTATCTGAATGGTTCCTATTAAAAGTTGATTAAGGTCGTCAAAATGATTTGTTGACAGGTTCATATGATTTAACAGAGTTAAAGTCTATCTAACACCAATTTGGAAATCTGGGCGAAATGATAAAGACAAAGTGTAATCACTAATGATATGTCTCATACAACTACTAATAATAATAAAAAATTGTGCAGAGAATAGGACTCGTAGCGAAACAACACAAAAGCATCTTACCACCGCGAGGTGTAGGTTGTCACCTCCAATTTCAACTTTGATCTTCTTCAGGTTCCCTACCATACCCAGACAAGGTCCACACCATTCCGAATATACATCGACCACTGGAACATTTCAATAGATTTATAGATTGCTCTATAAATTTACCATTTCCTAAGTATTAATTGTTAGTGACTTTATGCTCAACAATTTAGGAAAAATACATAGATTCCATCGTGGATAATGCAGAGGCACTATATGAACTAACTAATTATTAGGAATGCGATTTTAAAGATAATTAATGTAGGTTCATATACCATTGCTAGTGTTATTTTTCGGATACAAAAACACTTTCATTTTTGCTTCTGGCGTTCGGCTTAATAGTTCAACACCCTCAAGTTTTTACCTCCAAAGGTTCCGCGAAATGGGCGCACCATTAGCTGTCCCTCCGCGTTTGAACACGCCATGCGAGAAGCTGGTTAATACAGTTTAGTAATAGTATAGTTTGCTTATACTTAGCAGGAAATCGTACGGCTACTTGTTACATAAAGTTTCTTCGCGTTACCAATAGACTACTGACCCTCTAGCAATGTTTTAATAACACACAGAACGAACCTCTAGTAATGTCTCACAAACAGACTGATCCAACCTCTTAAAATATCCCAATAATAAATTGATACAACCTCTAACGGGGTCTAACCAATAGAATGATCCAAACTCAAGCAATGTCTTTGCCAATAGAATGACCCTCTAGCAATGGTTAGTCTGAAGTACTGTCAGCTCACCCAGCAATCCATTGCGGCAGATATTGTTAGAGAATGTCTTAGCGATACACTGACCCAATCTCCATCAGTCTTGGCAATAGGCTGACCCACTAGCAACGGACTATCTGTAGTACTGTCAGCTCACCGAGCAGTCCGTCCCTTTGCAGGAACTTGTTCCACTCGTCGTCCGTCGCCAGCTCGGCCTGCAGCTGCACCTGGGCCGCCTTCTTGCCTGCACCGGCGGCGGCGGCGGCGGCGGCGTTCGCGACCGCGTGCGTCAGCGACATTGACGCCAATGGGGCGGCGGCCGCGGCGGGGGCGGGCGGGCCAGGGTCGGATTTAGGTGCGGTAAAAAAGATAGTACCAAAAATTTTATAGGATAGTATTTGACAAAAAATTATAGTACAAGTAGTAGTAGTTAAATTTTCACTTTGAATTTTGAATAAGAATAGAACGGCCGTACCATAAAAATAATAAATTAATCGTGCTATTAGACAATTATAAACTCTATTGATTATTTCATTGAGTGCAAAGTGACTGTTTGAGAAAGCGGGGTATTGAAAAAAGGCCAATTATTGTCAAAAAGTCCAAATTATTGAAAAAAAAGTTAAAGAATTACAGCGTGATTACAACCCAAAGAGCTTCTTTTAATGTTGGATTGGCAGTGAATGGTATAAATATTGGTCATTTAGGTAAAGTAATTTTAAAGTGACTTTACAGTACGTTTTCGTACTATCCTTAGATATGGATAGTATATAGTACGAAGCATGAAATTATAGTACAAATATCTATAATTATTGTACAAAATCCTACCCTGAGGCGAGCGGCGGCGTTAAGTTCAATTCACACCGAGCGGAGCACGTCGGCGCGTTTGACGTTCGCGGCGTTTGACGGTGGTCCGTACCGTTCCGACCGTGCTGGTGTTAACGAGACGACAATGCAGGAGTAATATTTGTGCATCACAGAATTTTTCTTAAACACAGAGAACAGTACTCTGTTCTTGGTGTTGGAAGTACTTACTTGGTGGAAAGGACATATGTACTGTACTTCATTAAGTACAGTACATATAAACCATTGTTTTAAACGTTAGGTTACGAGCAGATGCGATCTTATTAGACATCATTCAGACGTTTCAGTATCTTTCATCCACGTTATAGATCAGTGATTCTCAACCTTTGTTTTGTTGCGGCACATATTTAAAGATTTCAAAATTTGGCGGCACACAAAGAAAAAGATAAAAATTATTTACTTACTACAACACACTGCATAAATAGTTTATGACAAAAATTTTAAATATACGAAATAAACTAATATATACTACAATAATAACTAAACGTTTATTAAGGGATTAATTACAAGCCAATAATAAAAATATTTTTAATGCAAAATTTGAGCTTGATGTTTTTTGATTTCATTTATATTTGGTCGTAAAAATGACAATGCTAGTCTCATATCGTCTTCTGCATTTAACAATCTTGATCTTTTTTTGTTTTAATGTTCGCTTATGCCAAAAAATATTTTTCTTTTTAAATGATATAATTTAATAACATTAACATTTTATATATTTGCAAAATTTGGCGGCACACTTTTGAAATTTGGCGGCACACAAAAGTGCCGCGGCACAGTGGTTGAGAATCACTGTTATAGATGATGAACGTCGCGCCGGCGTTCTCCGTTTTGGTGTGAATCGTACGTCAATCGAAGTAGTGGTGTAAGTAATAAGCGGGTTTAAAATATTTTATTTAATATAATAGTCATTAAAGGCGAGACTACAGTCAATTGAAATTTAGATTAAGTGGGACCACTTGCAATTATTTATAGTACTACTTCAAATACCTATATAGAAAAAATAGTAGTACATAATATTATTTATGATGTATGACAATTTTAAACAGCTTATTACCTGTTCATTTCGTAAGGGATTAAATTTTATTAGGATTACCTATGTTTTTATTTTTTTGCAGCTGTAGTTGTAAATAAACATAAGTTAATCTAGTTTCCAAATATCAGACACTCAATATTACAAGCAAGAAATCTACAATAAACTATATCGCATATTCATATAATTAGATTCGTCCGCGATCTGACAGATCTTGAAGGAATTTATTCTTAGTTAATTTAAGTCTTAGTTTAGTCAACTCTAGTTAACTCTACAGTCAACTAGTTAACTAGTTAACTCTATAAGTACTCTAAATATGTACACTTACTAACTACTTGCATTTTAATGAAATACATAATATAGATTTTCGCCATCAATACAATAACCAAAATCATGAAAAACTTTTTTTTTTTTCAAAATTTCCCCAATCTGAAATCAATTTAAATTCACTTTTGTGAATAATTTTTTGTGACCTACATTAAACTAAGCAAATTTTGTACTGATTTAATCGAGTATTAATATTTTGTTTTTATTCCTGACGTTTACATAGTTCAGGCAGACGACCCGCGGATCTCTTCCGCCGAAGCTGACAAAGACGCCGGGCAGCAAGTTTCAAGTGGATTGGAAAACGGTTTAGATTCACAATTTGGTAAATTACAAAATGTTTTTTTGATTAATTATTATTTATAAGTTGTTTCGGATCTTGGTATGTTTTACATTCGTACCAGCTAGCGCTACGATCGCGGTGTCTAATATTCAAAATTAACTTATTTTACCTACTTCCAGTTTGTCCCGATAGTTGGCACTTGATTCTGAGCAGAACTTTAATACATGTGTAAAGGACAACCTTTTTTAGGCCTGCTAATACATTATAATTAATTATATAAATTCGCGAAACCCTATTGAATATTCTACGGAACTTACTTAAGGAATCTTTGATATAGTGTATAACAACGACAACGACATCGTACCGTTAAAATTGATAAATATATAAGAAACTTTTTGTGCCGGTAATATAGATGGCGTTAAAGCCAAAAGCTGTATTAAAACAGAGAGTTATTTATTTGAAATTAGACTTTCAATTCGATTAATAATTAATTAGATCTCAAGCGGTCTTAATCAAAGATTTCAAATAATAATTAGCTAGCATTAAAATGATTAATTTGAGAAGTTGTGTCTTATAGATAGTCAACATAAGTTTACGTGACAAGTTGATGATTTAATTGCTAATTAATTACTCATCCCTAAATTCGGCCCATAGTGAATAGTAATTTAACTGTATCTTTAACATTTTTAAAAATTTCACATGCATACCTAATTAAATATTTATTTTTTAAGTTTCTGTATTGTGGCAGTAGATGTCACTGTGTTCAGTTTTTATTATTGAACGAGGTGATTTTATTTCGCATAAGAGCTATTTTAAAAGGTATAAGAAAATAGTTGTTTCTTACAGTAGGTAAGAAAGCATATAAACGGCTGGCGAGCCATGATTAAGCCTACCATTAAGATTAAGAATACCATGATTAAGTTAAGTGATTATTGTCGCTAATGGACATTAACAGCAACTAAGGGATTAGAGATGCGTTTCTGTCCTTTAAAAACATTGGTCCCAACCCCAAGGTATACCTCACTCACTAGACACACGAAATGAAAAAGCGTAAACTTCTACTTTAGCCTGTTGTTTTGTGTGGTTAGTTACTTCTATTTACTTCACGGAACATCCGCCAAAATGAGCTTGGCGGCCCCCCAAACCGGTACTTATAATAATACCGTGACGGCGCGAGTCGAGGCTCGCTTAGGGGGCCCTCCAGCTTAGTCACCCATAATCGAGGTTCAGGCCACCTCAAGCCCGGTGGGTCTGTGAATGCCTTCCAAGGTCAACAGTGGTTGATCCAGTCAACAAGTAGGTAGGTACTTCCCCGGACGAGCATCCCGGTTCGGAAGCGGAGGCAGAGTACGTATAGGTACGTCCCCATCAATCAATCAGTTGCAAAACAAATACTGTAAAGTTTTAATAAAGATCTGTAGTCTGCCAAAAGCCTTTAACAGCTGATGATATTCGTATATCTGTATATCTGTAAAGATATATAACAGTGTTGTAAACATACGTTAAGTCCAGTCGTCTGCGCTATGGTTGCGTTCTCATGGTATCTTCTAAACAGAGCAGGACATTTTTATAGTAGTAGCATAAATTTTTCTAGATATATGGCCTGCTTTTCAAGGCATGGTAGCCTATACCAAATACGTGGTAAGATATCGGTTTAGTGGTATTAAAAGAGTAATTAAATTTAATAAAACATAATAGTATATAACTGTTAGTTCAAAAGGTTCGAACGTAATATTGACTTTGACAAAAATTATGTTATAATAGTGCCTGAAAGTAAAGTACATTTTATGTCAATTTTTTACGTATCAATTGTATAGTGTTAGCAAAAGCATTGTTTGTAATTTGTAATGAGGGTCGCGCATCAATGGATGTATGAGAGTCATCGCATTTATTTCTCCCGGGCTATACGTTACAGATATTGACGTCGGCCATCGATGTACATAAATTATTGGCGCATTGATTATTACGCCAATGGCTCGACGGTATCGTGGCCCTCGTCAATCATCCGCCATTTTTTGCGTGATATAGTCGTTTTTAACCGGGCAACATTCGCAATGACGACGGCCCGGCTCTTTTCCCGCCAAATTGCACGGCGACACGGCAGCTAGGCGGCCGTAAATCGACGTTTACGACACAACTTCGCGAATTAAAGGACTAGGACCGAGATATATTAATAGCGTTCGCCTAATGTAATCGTTTTAAGCTCGCTCAGGGGTCGGTTCGTCATTTTTGGGTTTGCATTTAATATCGTAATCCCCTACCATCGATTAGTAAATAACCTACGATCGAGATTTTCTCGATATTTACAATTGTTTTGATGTATGAAATTGTTTAAAATGCTATGCATCGTTGTACATTTTAAAATCGTTCAAACTGTTAAATATGTAGGTATATATCTATACCATGAGGTTTAATTAAAATATTATTCCCGTTTTAAACTAAAGCCAATTGGCTTGTCTTACAGACTAAAGCGTGTTGGTCAAAATAGTTAAATTTTCATATCTAATCTAATCTAATTTTAGAATCAATTATTAGACAAATTCTTCTTATTAAATATGAAATAACATTATCAATTGAAATTTCTTTTGACTTTGAAAATTGAAGACTAATCATTTTCAAAGTAAAAACATCATAATTATTTTGTTTATACTTGATATAATATTGATCAAACTTTATAACATTTTAATACTGATTCACTTCCAAACAATTATTATATTATTGGTAAATTTTGCACTTCAATATGTTTCAATTAATAAGTCCGTTACAAAACTACACATAAAGAATAAATGGTAATTCTTAGA